TAATAACAATAAATTGCTTGCAACGCGAAATAAATGAGTGTCATCGGGCTGATTGGACACAATCAATCGTCGAAAGGAAACGTTTGAGAGGAGGCCAAGCAAAAAATTAATGATGGGAAATCAGGGGGAGATAAGGAAAAGTGATCAGTCTTAGGGGAGGTAATATTGATACTAAATTCAGAGGATAAGACACAGGAAAAGGGGAGGCCGGGCCTCGTAGATTTAATGTAACTTTCTGTTTAATAACGGCGACCTGATTCTTGCATTTTACTTCTAATTTGTGACTTCGATTGTAATGGGGGGATGGTAAGTATTCCCCAACCTCCTTGAATTTTTCCATTCTCTGAATATTGAGAAGGACCTCTGAGTTTGTTTTGGCATTTCTTCTTATAGTAGTACGGACAGGAAATAGCGGAATTATCTAGATTTTTTGTATATAATAGGCAATTGACATGTAAAAGTGCCGTTTTATGGTTTATTTACAATAGTTATTGCATCAGCTGTTTCATTGAGAATTTCTACTTATATTAAAAAAAAGAAGTAAAAAGAGATTTTATTACAGTCGCTATTACCACTTCTTTAACCTTTATCTATGGTGATCCAACCTCTTTGCTCGCAAAACTAAGCTACCTTCACCATCAACTATCAGATCAAGTATAAATAAAATAAAAGTAGCTAACAAGGAAAAACGTTTAAAACTTAGCTAACGTTTGGTGTTACGGGCTTCGAGCCAAAATTCCTAAAGTACTTACTGCTCAGTGCCTGGAGTATTTAGTGAAAACTTTTTGTGGTTCACTTCAGACCAGATCACGACATTGTTTGGTTTTATTTTCTAAAAAGTTCCAAAATGTAATAAAGTTTTGAAAATAACCCTTATGGTAGTTATAAGAATGAATAAATTTGGATGCATTAACACTTAATTTCATATGTGTCCTCGTATATGTTTAAACTAGCAACCCTTTTCTAGAAAAAGTGCAATGCCGATACAAAATATCGGAACTATTTAGTGGACGTTGTTTTATACATATACAACCATTTCCCATCAATTGCACTATCTATTTAAAAAAAAACATTGCACCAAAATCCGTTGCGTAGTTATAAACATTTAAGCATACATGGGGATATAGGGACACAGAAAGTGACTTTGTTTTATATTATGTAGTAGTAGTATACTATATAGCAGGCAATTGGTTTAATCAGCGGTTTATTTAACGGCCAAGGCCCTGTTACTGGAACATTTCTAGTCGATATGTATTTTTAATGGCAATTCCACAGTCATGGCAATGCTGCGGAACACAGATATAATATTATTATCTTCCCTTTTGTTCATCATTGCAAATCAGTTTTGATAAACATCTCTTCACCCTTCAACTAAACGTCGAAACGAGAAATGCAGCCATTCAAACGTACGGCTATTCATTCAGTCTGTAAGTTAAAGTTGGCAACTAGCTGTGAGACATAACTATACATGTGGATCACGCAAAGAAATAAAACGAATCCGAAAACATGTATCAAATGTCTTTTAAAAATTGTAAACTGAAATATATTTAAATTTGGAAATGGAATCAGACTTCGATTTTCGAACTTTATTCTTAGTTATGTACAGTCTATGGTAAGATTCAAGTTTCAACGTCATCTGAATATACAGGCAATCTTAATTGCAATAAAATGTTTAGAGACATATACTTCAGTCCTATGAAACAACTCCTAAAAACGTCAAACGAACAAATAAAACACCTGAAATAAATTCCGCTTACCTACTTTACATAGTGTAACATTAAAATGTCATGTTTACATTATGTAATGTTATGCGAAACTTTCAATCTGTCCACAAGCGCAGACTATCACGCATAAAATAGAAAAACAGCCCGCACCGGAAGATGGGCCCAAGATTAATTGTGACGTCAGCAGCGGAAGGGGAGATGGGGATGGGGGACGGAAGCAAGGGGGGACAGACCGGATGTCCGGCTGACGCGGCGGACTGTTTGCTAGCGCTCCTAGCACGACAAGAATATGTGTGAATAACCGAATATGTGGTTAACTTATGAAGTAATTATAATTTTCGTATTAATTAAAACGTAAAGTTAAAACCATACTTTTTGATTAGGCTCGAAAATTATAAGATAGCGTTTGTTTAAAAAAGTTTTCTGTAGACACTTAATTTGAAAGTTTGTATTAGGATACAGCTAGCGTTTAAAATTAAAATTAACATTTAATATACCTTTTTAAAACGATCTACAAATACCAAACGACTAAAGTTATGATCATCTCAGTAATATATACCAAATTATAGACTAGTGTACCATCTTGCCACATTCCTACAAACTATGCGCTCCATTCTAAACAAGGGGCCTCATAGTGCGCATTCTGAGCAACGGACTTCGTAGCGCGTATTCTAAGCGAGGGACTCCGTAGCACCGAGTAGTATTTTCGTAGCGCGTCGTAGCGCATCCTAGTGTTTGTAGCTAATTAGCTACATCGTAAATCAAGACAGCAACTTAGAAACTGCAACATTTATTACTATTTTCATTTTTCTTTGCGCTTGTTACTATCTTTTTAATTATTATATATATTTTCTTTACATTAAATTTAAATGCTTGTTTTTAATCATGGTGTAGCGACTATCGTGTATACAGATTTGCTGATAATAACAATTTTACCGGCAAAAAGTACCCAACTTTACACTGAAAGAAACTGACTGGCGATTCAATTTACACATCTCATTATTTTCCTATTTCTTGATACAACAAGGTACTGCCACACATTCTCATTTGTCGCTCTTTTATGACCCAGCCAACTAAGCAGACATTTAAAAAAAATTAAACAATAAGTACTTGTACAGCATTATAATGTAGTTGAAGAGTTGTACAACGATCACAAAGTCTGGAAGTGCCATCAATCGTCTCCAACGAGCGCGACCGCTCGTAATGATCCGGCATTCAGACTCCTACAACAAAACTCATAAAAGCCGGTGTACGTGTAACTCTCTACTTTAAAATTACAAACAGTCGGGCAAGTTTTAGAAAACTCATCCCTGTGCACGACGCGGCGATAGTGAAACTAGATGGGTTCAGAACGTAGTGACAGAAATACGAAAAAACACTTAATTGTAAACTAAAACCTCAATTTTCCTCTAAAAACACGAATAAAGTGTCTAAAACAATAACGCTCTCATCAACGCGTTTATATTTAAACTTAGTTTGCATATTATTCTGGCTTATTTGGGAGAATTAGGTTATAAAAGAAAATGTGACATCACTAATCACAAATTTGAACGAAACATTTTTTTGAAGTTACCAACATATATTGTTTTAATAAGCAGGAATTCTATACTACTAATGTTAAATGTAAAAGGTTGTGAGAATTAACATAATATATGTTTGTTATTCTTTCACGTAAAATCGGCTGGACCGATTTGGTTGAGTTTTGGTATGAAGATAGGCAAAACCCTGGATTAACACATAGACTGGTTTTTATCAACATACCACGCGGGTGAAGCTGCGGGCGGAAGCTAATATACTATATTAACCTATCGTTTGCTTAATTGTAACATTTCTAGTAAACAATAAATCTCCGTTACATAGCATTTGTAGCTCTTCGCGCAGAAGTAAAGTTCGTCGTGTTAGTACGAAACGAAAGATGAGCAAATAATGGCGAGTACATGTGAATTTTATTCATAAACTGTGTCTAATAGTTGTGTTCATGATAATTGTGCATATCCTTCCACAGTTCACGCCCAGGACGCTGCATAAATGTATAGAACAAGTTGCTACCATTTATAGTCAGAATTTATAGATAGAAGTGTTCTTTTGTTTTTTTTTTATGTGTGATGTTCCCCTTTACTTTTTAACCATTTAGAATTTTTGAATATTTGGTTTATTGATATTTTTTTAGTAGTACGTGTATATGGGGGCTTACTCTTAATAAGGAGAGTTAATGTTATTTTGGGATTATTATTCGATTAACTAAGTATCCTATTTCACTGCACGGTTGGTGCGGTGGCCGGGCAACGGCTGGCGTGCAACTTGTCGCGGGTTCGATTCCCGCACGGAACAACTCTTTGTGTTAACCACAAATTGTTGTTCCGGGTCTGAGTGTCATGTGTATGTGAAATTGTATGTTTGTAACCGCATCGCAATGTGGGGCAACGTTTAAAAAAAAAGTTCAATAGTAGCATCGTATTAAAAGCAATAAAGTGCAACAAATAGACTTGCATTATAATGTACAAAACAAATAACTGGTGATTTTATTGACAATAACGACTTTTTCACGTGAACTAATTGAGAAAATCTTTAAAAAATAAGAAGAATTTGTGTTTTTTTAAATAATTTTCCTGCTTCTCCCAAAAGTCTTTAAAATAGCAACTAGTTTGCTAATATTAAGATTACTTTTAACAGGCACAGCACGGTTACAATTTCTAATTAGAATAGTTAAACGAGTTATTAGATAAAGCAGTTAAAACGATAAATATTTACTTGCGGTTCCCACGGTACAACAACACAGCTTCCGTGTGATCTTTAAACGTGTTTCATTAACATCTACATATCATAATGACTGCTGATTCCTTTGGCAAAAGTGAAAGTTTACGCAATTATCAGAAAATTGGTTGCTTATGGCTAGGCGCTCCAACATACTTACTTAGATCGCGTCATTCCGCGTCACAGATAGCGGTCAAAAACCCGCGTATTATTTACTAATAGAAAATTGCAGAGATTATAAATAAAATTAATGGATACTTTTGCTCATTCAAATCACAATCTACTACCGTAATTGCAGATTTTTTTTTTGTTTATTTAATAGGTCGGCAAACGAGCAGGCGGATTACCTGATGGTAAGCAATCAGCGCCCGCCCATGGACACTCGCAACGGAGGAGTTACGAGTGCGTTGCCGACCTTTTAAGGATTAGGGATTTGGAGATTTAGGGATTTAGGAGGGATTGGGGGAGGGGAAGGATTGGGCCTCCAGTAACTCACTCACACGGCGAAACACAACGCTGTGATTATTTCACGCCGGTTTTCTGTGAGGCCGTGGTATCACTCCGGTCGAGCCGACCCATTCGTGCAGAAGCATGGCTCTCCCACACTTTAATTTAATAATTAAGTACTAAAAGTTTTCCTGAGTAGCAATTTTATTCCGAAAACAAATAGGTAAGTATATGAACATCTTATTTAGCTAAGGAAGCTTCTGTCATATTTCGCGTGTAAGGAACGGAATGGTTTTTAGTCAATTAAAGCCGGACACTATGGCGGTAGATGTAATTTTGAGGAGAACAAAAACTAGTACTACTTTGATTAGCCTGTGAATTTAATCGAGGAACTTATGCCTATCCAAAACAAACAGACCAAGTGATACCAATAAAAACGAAGCGATCAAAACAAAATCGTTGAAGCAGTTATTTAAACAAGAAAAGTTTACGAACACGATATAAAAGACAGGATAAAATTGAAAAACACCACGTAAAAACTGGATTCCGTCGCGGGCCTTCTTCATTACCATTTATATGGGAGAACTTGCAACGCTAACTTATAGGGAAACTTGCTAATACATAGATTATAAGCACTGAGAACTGTTGCATTTACATAATGGCCGCCAGAGTGGGTTTGCCGGAGGGCAAAGGGCATCAATATTGCTAATGACTTTCCATTAATGTTCAATGTCTTCACAAGTTTTGAATTGGTATACCTACACAATTGTTAAATTCTTTAGAAGTATGAGAGAGACATTATCTGGTCTCGACCTTTTATTTTTCTTCGTGGCAACTCTAGGTGTAGATATCCGATATTATATATTATTATTATATAGATATTACCTACTTGTTTTTTTAATAGTGTACACATTTTGATTGCAGATGTTGTGCAAATAAATGTATGACTTGTTCGTTCAGTAGGTATTAAAACAACTGTCCCAAATGACTATAAAACATGTGGTATTATTCCACATCATAAAAACCAAAAAAAATCCATACTTTCTTACTACTTTAAAATTAAACAAACTCAGTGCATATTCGCTAAAAAGTAATTACGAAAACACCGCTAACTGTGGTGAACTTGATGAATTACTTACAATCATTAAAGGGTTACAAATTGCTTTCAACACCTAATTTATACAGTTTTAGCGCCATATCGGTTGGCGCGAAACGCGATCATTCCTTCCAGCCAGTCCGTATATCATGGCCAGGGTAATGCGAACACTGTCTCTATTCCGACCTCTTTCGCGTGCCACACGAAACATGGCGTGCCCTATCTTGTAACCAACGTCTTCCAACTGGCAACACAGTGTCACTTTTCTAACGTCAAAAATTTGCACAGATTACACACAACATTTTGGGTTTGCGAATCAAGAAAGAGGAAGAATCGAAAGTAATATGATGCACAAAGCCTCAGATAATAATTGTGTTTTGTTGTGTAATCAACGGATGTGTTTTGCGAAAAAAAGAGTATTTTAAAACGTGTACCTAATCTAGCTAGTACTTACTTATTTCTCACAATGACATATCGCATTTTTTTGTAATTTGTCATATTAACGATACCCATTCATAAAATGTAAATGAAAAATAAAGGATTTAAAAGTAGGCAAATAAAAAAAGCGTGAAAAGATTTTTACCACTAAGTCGACCCCGAGTTCTATTTCAAAGCTTGCCCTCCAGTTAGAAAACAGACATATTTTTAATTATTATTATTTATGATTACTATAATAATTCTAAAAAGTATTGAATAAATTAACAATGTATATTTATATTAAAGATACCTGCAAATCATAATTTCATATTGTTTGGATCCGTCCGATACGCTGGACGGATCAGATTCGCACCACTCTCAACACTGCAGTCCACGATGCTCTCCACTCGGCGGCAGATAGAAATAGATGGCGGAGAGTAATACGCAGTACACTGCTTCCACGAGGTGGTCACGACCCTCAGCACTGAGGAAACCGACGCGAGGAGGAGGAGGAGGAGGATCCATACCCGTAAAAAACGTAAAAAGTAGGCAAGGTTAACCCTTTAACTGCCACGTGAGTAGGTAATGTAGGCAATTTTTACAACTTTATTGTGGGGACAAATCATTGTTTTGCACTTTTTTATTTTTATTGTATTTTTGGTTTTAGAGAAAGCCGGGTTTTGTATAGCATTATGATTTAGTTACGGCAGTTCACGCGGTTTGATACGCTTACTGTGCCTTAACCCAGGATGTCGGGTTCATCTCTTTTCTAGTTGACAAAAGAAAAATAAATAGAATACATTAAGTATGTCATATATGTATAGTTTTGTTGAGGAGTAATTGTAGAATTTTCATTTTGAGTATATTTGATTGTTCGCGAGTTCCGTATAACCAGTGCATCTTCTTGCTTAAGCAGTTTTACAAAAGTACACCATAGTTGTACATACAGAGTGATTCGAGTCACAATTATTATTACCCTCGGGCATTCTGTCATCAGCCGCGTAAAAGGTGGGTGTTGTTGTAGGAACAGTAGTCGTCTGGTGTGATGTGGAGCCGATGAAAGTATGTATGTCTTCTGGAGGCCGTAGTTGGTGATTACATATCTGTGTCGTGTGTAAGTGTAGGTATGTGTATTTCCGAATGCATGCGATGTTGGATAGGTTTTGATATGGTGTCCCTCTTCGCTAAACGTATAGCACTACTAAAATTTTCAGTTACATCATAAGTAGTGTTGTTTATATAGTTACCGCAATTTTTAAACTACTTAAGTTGACGTTTATTATGGAGTTTTGGTAAATTGAACATTTAGTTCCAACTATCTAACTAGATGGCGCTGCATAAAACGTCACATTTCTGAATCGCGGTGTTAAGATTCTCCGCCGTTGAACGACCCTCGCTCGGTGCCGATAGCAAAGCATACTTACCTGGCATAGGGGATACCGTGATCAAGAAGGCGGTTCCCCCAGGGCGAGATCCTACCATTGCACTGCGGTAGGGTTGACCCCTGCGATTATCCCTAATGTGGATAACTCGGATGCGTAATTTTTGGTAGTGGGGACTGCGTACACGCCGTCCCCTCAGATCTCTTGAAAAATGTATCTATTTAACGACTAGAATTATCAATCCAAAGAGTAGGACCAGTTTACCTATTGTGATGGATGTGATCTACTCTATAATATTTAAGAGTCATCCTCAACTTTAAAAGTCGTTAATTTAATTGTTATGGTTCGAAGTAGATAAGTTAAATTACAACGTTTTCAATACATCTTATTTTAATTCTAGTTTGTAAAGGTCCTTTTCCGTCCGTGTTAATACAACAAATACTGCTATTGTCAATGGTGTTTTTTTGTCTCCCTTACAAAAGTGTATTATAGACTAAGGCCGACGGAATCAACAGGTGCTATTCACTTTAAATATTCCATCTTGTCCTATCATTTTACAAATAATTGACAAACTACCTGTACTTAAACTTTTTAAAATTGAGTTTCAAAAATCAAATCTAAATAGCATTACCCCTGCGATTATCCCTAATGTGGATAACTCGAATGCGTAATTTTTGGTTCTCAATATCGCAATTCATATAGCGTGAGCAATAGCTTTTGCCAAGTTTCTTACAGGATTGAGTTCTTAACCTTGATTTTGTAACGCAGCGTTGGCTCATTTTGTTGTAAATGCGAATGTTTAAGTAAAACGGGCAACGTCTAGATGCTGATGAAATTGGGAGGTGGAACGTACAATATAAGTTTAGAGAACGGAATGTGGTAATCAGATCTTTGTTTTACTGTATGTGCTGGAAGTGTGGCATTGAGTACGTACAGATACGCACGCAGTACAGTAAATTCATCGTACAGTACATCTGTTGTTAAGTATCTAAATGTTTCTTGTGTGCATCACTTTTGTAACAGTTCTTTGAGCTCTTTCTATTTCAAAAATGTACTATTCCCCGCTCCACCCCAGACGGCGATTCTCCATTGGCCGTTCATAGGATTGGGATAGAAATACAATCACGAATTTTCTTAATGATGTAATTGAATTTTCTCATTCGACCTGAAAGCATGGAGATGTGAGCTTTGAAAGGTTGAATATTTCTAAAGTCATGCCCAAGTATCTAAATATAGAGCTGCGGTCTATTGTTAAACAGTTACAGTCTACAGGTGATGGATTATGTGCGCTGCTACACGTATGAAATTTAAGTTTGAAGAGCCGTGGAGGACCGAAGGCTGATGTTTTTAAAAAAGCTATGGATGGTGTCTTTTTCACATTCAGTGTAAGAATATCGAGAATATCAGCTATAGTGCTAAGGCTTCTCTCAGCAAGTCGATATACCTACATTACCCCAAGTTTTTGAAAATAATACAAAACGATTTCAGCGTATTGAGGCATTAAGTACGTCCTTCATATAAAATGCGAAGAGAGTAGGGCCAAGAGTACTTTCCTGAGGAACGCCGAAATCAGTTGGTAGTAGGCCACTTCTTTCGTCCCCCACCTCGACTAGTTGCTGATGGATTGTGAGATAACTTTTGAATCAACTTAATGCATTACCAAGTATTTCTATTTCCGCTAATTCAGAAAGAAAAAGATTTACGGATATACTATCGAAAGCCTTGGCTAGATCGAAGAAAACTCCTATGATATTTTCTCCTGAGTATATGAAAGAAGCTATTGAATTAGTAAAGTAGTATTGTAGCATCTTCGGAGACTTACCGCCTCTGAAACCAAACTGTCTATTTAATATTAAATTATGTTTTTCTAGAAAGCTAACCAAGTTGCATTTGACAACATTCTCTAAAAGTTTTGGGTAAAACGGCTATTGGTCAGTATTTTTCTGATAATTCCTTGGAAGCGCTTTTGTGTATATCTTGCCCGGATTTTTTAACAATCGGGGAAGATTCTAATTCCTTCCAAACTTAAGTTCAATATATGTCTAAGTGGTTTAAATATTTTTTTACCTTTAGTTTTGATTTTGATTCTGGCTAGTCCAGGAGTACTGTATTTTAGTCGAATGAAAAACTTTTCTATTTCTTTCTTTCTTTCGTGGTAGTTGGAAGAACCAAGAGTATGAAAGAGTTTGTGAGTTATTTTTTATACTGAGTAACAGGTCATAGCAGTAATTTCTGTAACTTTTGTACACAGTACATAAGTAAAATAATTTGATAAAATTATTTAAACATCAACCACAAATAGAGTGCTTATCTGTTTCAGTTTAAGAAATTTTTGAAACGTATGTAATATGCAAAACGATTCCGCATCTGTAACTTTGATAAAAACGATTAATACACATAAAGTATATATAATACTAACAGTCGTCCCACGCTATCAAGTGGCTATAAATAAAGTCTACGCGGTTTAGTTCCAATAATGTAACTAGATGGCGCTCTATAAAACGTCATATTTCTGAATCGCGGTGTTAAGATTCTCCGCCGTTGAACGACCCTCACTCGGTGCCGATAGCAAAGCATACTTACCTGGCATAGGGGATACCGTGATCAAGAAGGCGGTTCCCCCAGGGCGAGATCCTACCATTGCACTGCGGTAGGGTTGACCCCTGCGATTATCCCTAATGTGGATAACTCGGATGCGTAATTTTTGGTAGTGGGGACTGCGTACGCGCTGTCCCCTCAGATTTGTTGGAAAATTACTGTTGGTCAGAGGTCTATGGGCAATTTATAATATATAAGAACTGAATAGATTATATTATTATGTAACTGTTCCAGGCCTATTACTCAACCATGCGAACGGGTGTTTCTGAGTAGCTATTATAAGAATCGGTTATACCCTAAAAATGAATAAGTGGATCATATATTTGGCTAGAGGGAATGTCAGACTCTTACTGACTAAAACCCCCGTTCCTCATCCGGTTCCAGGCCGAGGCCGCTGTACCTCATTGCACTTGACCCACGACATATCATATATTGAAAGGGCTTCTTATTTTATACTTTGAATACTTTCATACATACACACAAACAAAGCCAGTTTACCGCCTAGTAACATTTTAATTTTAAACAGAATTAATTGAAATACGGTCAAATGGATATTATTACACAAGCATAATGTGAGGACACTAAAATGTTGTCCACATTTTAACTTATTTATTTATGAAATAAAATCTTACCTAAAAATTAACATTACATCTAATATTTGATTTTAACGCCATCTAGGATCAGTCTTTGGAATGACGGTTACAAACTGCCGGAGTGCTACGCCACATGCAGTTGAGGGTTAACACAAATGCCTACACTCGACGCTGATTGAAAGCTTCTGGTAATGCTATTTAGATGGCGCTTTTGGACTTTTATTTTTGAATTAAAAATTTTATATTAATTAATTATTTTTGAAACTCAATTACTTTTCAAATAAATAGTCATAGGTAGTTTTTGTTTGTCAATTCTTTGTAGTAGATATTAGTTTAAGGACAAGATGGAATATCTACAGACAATACCAGTTGGTAATTTCGTTGGCCATAGTCGGTAATAAAAAGAGGGAATAGGATAGAATGGGAAAGAAAAATACTATTCACAGTCCATTCCAGACGAATATTAAACTTAACTCTTTTAATAGTGTAATTGTGTAAGTCCTCCTTAGTGTTCGATTGGATACTAGACATAATTTTCCAACAAATCTGAGGGGACGGCGCGTACGCAGTCCCCACTACCAAAAATTACGCATCCGAGTTATCCACATTAGGGATAATCGCAGGGGTCAACCCTACCGCAGTGCAATGGTAGGATCTCGCCCTGGGGGAACCGCCTTCTTGATCACGGTATCCCCTATGCCAGGTAAGTATGCTTTGCTATCGGCACCGAGCGAGGGTCGTTCAACGGCGGAGAATCTTAACACCGCGATTCAGAAATATGACGTTTTATAGAGCGCCATCTAGTTACATTATTGGAACTAAACCGCGTAGACTTTATTTATAGCCACTTGATAGTGTGGGACGACTGTTAGTATTATATATACTTTATGTGTATTAATCGTTTACAGATGCGAATCGTTTTGCATATTACATACGTTTCAAACATTTCTTAAACTGAAATAGATAAGCACTCCATTTGTGGTTGATGTTTAAATAATTTTATCAAATTATTTCACTTATGTACTGTGTACAAAAGTTACAGAAATTATTGCTATGACCAGTTACTCAGTATAAAAAATAACTCACAAACTCTTTCATACTCTTGGTTCTTCCAACTACCACGAAAGAAAGAAAGAAATAGAAAAGTTTTTCATTCGACTAAAATACTGTACTCCTGGACTAGCCAGGGTGCTACAAAACTACTTTACTAATTCAATAGCTTCTTTCATGTACTCAGGAGAAAATATCATAGGAGTTTTCTTCGATCTAGCCAAGGCTTTCGATAGTATATCCGTAAATCTTTTTCTTTCTGAATTAGCGGAAATAGAAATACTTGGTAATGCATTAAGTTGATTCAAAAGTTATCTCACAATCCATCAGCAACTAGTCGAGGTGGGGGACGAAAGAAGTGGCCTACTACCAACTGATTTCGGCGTTCCTCAGGAAAGTACTCTTGGCCCTACTCTCTTCGCATTTTATATGAAGGACGTACTTAATGCCTCAATACGCTGAAATCGTTTTGTATTATTTTCAAAAACTTGGGGTAATGTAGGTATATCGACTTGCTGAGAGAAGCCTTAGCACTATAGCTGATATTCTCGATATTCTTACACTGAATGTGAAAAAGACACCATCCATAGCTTTTTTAAAAACATCAGACTTCGGTCCTCCACGGCTCTTCAAACTTAAATTTCATACGTGTAGCAGCGCACATAATCCATCACCTGTAGACTGTAACTGTTTAACAATAGACCGCAGCTCTATATCTAGATACTTGGGCATGACTTTAGAAAAATTCTGCCTTTCAAAGCTCACCTTTCCATGTTTTCAGGTCGAATGATAAAATTCAATTACATCATTAAGAAAATTCGTGATGGTATTTCTATCCCAATCCTATGAACGGCCAATGGAGAATCGCCGTCTGGGGTGGAGCGGGGAATAGTACATTTTTGAAATAGAAAGAGCTTAAAGAGCTGTTACAAAAGTGATGCACACAAGAAACATTTAGATACTTAACAACAGATGCACTTTAAGATGATTTTTTTATTTTTAAAACTTAGCCCTTATAACCACATTCTTCTCTCTAAACGTATGTTGCACGTTCCACCTCCAAATGTCACCAACGCCTTAGCTAGACGCCCCTTTTACTTACACATTCGCATTTACAACAAAATTAGCAAACGTTGCGATAAAATATAAAAAAAAATTTACCAATCCTGTAAGAAAGTTGAAAAGGCAAAAGCTATTGCTCACACTTCATTTAGCGATATTGAGAACCAAATATTACGCATCCGAGTTATCTACATTAGGGATAATCGCAAGGGTAATGCTATTTAGGTTTAATTTTTGAAACTCAATTTTAAAAAGTTTAAGTACAGGTAGTTTGTCAATTATTTGTAAAATGATAGGACAAGATGGAATATTTAAAGTGAATAGCACCTGTTGATTCCGTCGGCCTTAGTCTATAATACACTTTTGTAAAGGAGACAAAAAAACACCATTGACAATAGCAGTATTTGTTGTATTAACACGGACGGAAAAGGACCTTTACGAACTAGAATTAAAATAAGATGTATTGAAAACGTTGTAATTTAACATAACTACTTCGAACCATAACAATTAAATTATCGACTTTTAAAGTTGAGGATGACTCTTAAATATTATAGAGTAGATCACATCCATCACAATAGGTAAACTGGTCCTACTCTTTGGATTGATAATTCTAGTCGTTAAATAGATACATTTTTCAAGAGATCTGAGGGGACGGCGCGTACGCAGTCCCCACTACCAAAAATTACGCATCCGAGTTATCCACATTAGGGATAATCGCAGGGGTCAACCCTACCGCAGTGCAATGGTAGGATCTCGCCCTGGGGGAACCGCCTTCTTGATCACGGTATCCCATATGCCAGGTAAGTATGCTTTGCTATCGGCACCGAGCGAGGGTCGTTCAACGCCGGAGAATCTTAACACCGCGATTCAGAAATGTGACGTTTTATGCAGCGCCATCTAGTTACATTATTGGAACTAAATGACCTGACATAGAAAAGACCTCAAACTGACTCACATAGTATTAATGCCGAAGGAAATAGAAGAATTAGTTATTGTCAGGTAAAATCATACTAAAAGTTAATAGGATAATTCAAATTATCGTAAAAATTCTCCATAGGTTCGACCCGAGAAAAGTCAGTCGAGGTCAAAGGTCGAAGTCGGAAAATTTACCATTTTCAATGCTATGGAAAGTTCGCTCAAAAATTAGGTCAAGCAAAATTGAATTTATTTGCAAATTGTCTAATTTCTTTAATTTCTGAGACCCATTGTTTTCTCCATAAACATTGGAGGTGTTAAAACCATAAATGTCAACGCATCAGGAATGTTTTGTTTTTCAAAAAAATGATCAGAGAGATAAAGACAAAAAAAGATCTATATTTTTTAAGTTAACAATACCATGTTTTCTTTTTGCAGTCTTCTACTAAACCATCTAGCTAATTTATTAATTTATGTAATGGCTTTAATAGTATACAGACACTTTAGCACATGTGACCTACAAATTATAATGCTACACCATTATAATTTGTAGTTCACATTTTGTGTTATTTTTCATTTCGATAAAAATCGCTAAACCCAATTTTACGACCTTTGATCGATAGAGAATTTTTAAATAATAAAACCTGCGCTGTTGCTCGTTTTTGTCATAGCGTGATGTTTTATAACATACGTATAGGCTTCCTCGATAATGGTATTTCAAACCGGTATTCTCGGAGATTAGCGCGTTCAAACAAAAATACTCTTCAACTTAAAAATATTAGTATATATGGTGTTTTAAAGAAATCTACAAATTTTCAACTTGTTAATAATTGTAAATACAGATATCTAGATTAACCTGCCTACACTAATGGACCAAGAAGTATGAAAAATATTTCTTTACATCTGCTACACTTGCGGTTAATTGTCGTTTTTCTTTCTTGAATGGCAACCGGGGTTAATTGTCCTTGTAGTGCCAATTATTTCTTTTTTTTTTGTTATGTAAGTAAAAGCTAGACTGGTCCAAGATAAGAATATCTTGTACTTTTCAACAATTAAAAATATTAAGTAACATTTTCGTAGTTTTATTTCAAAATTCCAAAACCTTACGCATGACAACAACCTTACGAAATATCACATTAAATCAAATAAAATTAAAACTTCTTGATAATTAATAAATGACTATAATTACACAATCCCGCATAATATCCGAGCCGCTAATGATAAGTTAATTAAATATAGCAATTTGTAGTCTGTCCCCTACGTAATGGATGATTATTTAGTTAGATCAAAGACAGGATGAATGTATCACGGTAACACGGAAGATGAGATGAACTTGTGTCACTTAATTCAAGTCACTATAAGACATCATCTTACGAATACACGATAATGTCCTACACTTTCATAAGGTAGTTTCCAACTAGACAAATTCAGGTCTTTTATCCAAATGTTAAAACGATACCTTTCTATGAAATTTGAATGAAACTCCAAATAATGAAATTTCGGGCCAAATTGCTTACTTACTTCTTAAAAATTAGCTAAAAAATTAGCGAATCAAATCGATGAATAAAAGTATAATTATTTTTCCATATATATTTTATATTGAATTGAAACGTCGAAATAATTTATTTTTGACGTAGGAAACTACCAAATGCTGTGTATTTTTTATGAATAAAAAGGAAGATTACAAACTAGTCTATTAGATACTATTACTAATGTACTAGCTTTTGCCCGCCACTTTGTTCGCGGGGAATAGTGACTTACTGCAGATAATTAGGTTAAAAACATCACAACATCTTATGTCCTTTCTCGAGTTCCAATCTATATGTCTATACCAAATTTCACACAAATGGGTTCAGTAGCTAAAGCGTGAAGAAAAGACATACAGACAGACTTACTTTCGCATTTATAATATTAAGTAGTTTGGATTGTTGAACTTGTAAAACATATTTTGTTAAAAGGGTAACGATGGTTTTTCTTTCTTATTCTCTGAGAAGAAAGAACGGGGTGGTGATGGTTTTAATTAGTAAGAGTTGGATACTCCTTCTGATCCTACTCAGGGCGGTAGAAGAAATTCGATGATTCCCCTCTCCATACTAAATGCATATTATCTACAAACCCCTATTTGCAACACAAGGTGAATTACAAAACACACCGAACCCGAAGCAAGGCTCTGTCACACTTGATACATTAAAAAAAAAAAATAGGCGTTACTTTTTAAATATTGTATTCCGCCAAAAATTCGAAACATATTTTTTGAATAAAGAAATAAGTAATGCAATTGTTATTTCAATTAATCTTTGTCTAAAAACCACAATCATACTTAAGTACCAGTTGTACGTATGTACAACTGTTGGTTCTGTATTAATGTTTATTTTAGCTCTACACTTCTACTATGTAGGTACGTTTTGAACCATAACAAGCGATCGATCTTCACAAGGGTTATCGAGTATATTAAAAAGTATCGTTAAAACAATTTATTCCCCTACCTCTTGTTATGCACTTTAAAGCTGAATTGCAGTATCCGGCAAGACGGTTGTAATATATTTAAAATCAGATAACTACTTATGTTTGTTTGTTGACCCTTTTTATAGGCACAATACTGATACTAAATTTCTCCATTCTCCGTTAAATGAACGGATGTTTTTATAAATATAACATTACCTCTTCAATTACTATCAATTCGAAAAAACCGCATCACAATGCGATGCGTAGTTTTTAACATAGGGAAATAGGGACAGCGAAAGCGACTTTCATCGTGGTAGCCCGGAAGTTAAGGCCCGCTCCTCATACATGAGGGTGCGGGTCGCGCGGGTTAGAAACCTGACAAGTACTAATACTGACTTTTTCCGAATTTTTTCTATGATTGTTTAGGCACCACTGATATACGGTGAAGAAAAACATCCTGAGGAAACCTAGACTTACTACATTACTTATTACATACAAAATTTTTAATTATAAGTTTGAAATCGTCAATCCGCCTTGAGCAAGCGTGGTGATTAACGTTCAAATCTTCTCCGTGTGAGAAGAGGCCTTTGCTCAGCAGTAGCCTATTACGATAGGCTGATGGTTATACTTAGAGAACCATGACTACTTAGTGGCTCAGGCACCATAAACCTACAATAATATTGCACAATATTTTAATTGCGCAATGAAATTGAAACCCCAAGCGCGAGCAACAATTCTAGCGAAGCACACTGAACTAAAAATATTGTGCAATAACTAAGCCTACACAGTGCAAAAATATTGCACAATGAAATCAGAATCATATTCGACGATTGCGCAATCTTCAATATTAGTCCTAAACAGTCAAATATTATATTTAATTACCAACAATTTGTAACAACGCCCTTCATTGCTCGTCTAGGAATCTCCAAGGATAGCGTTTTCCAAACAGTCCACCCAAGTAGATATCTATGATTAATCTATAGGAACTTATCGTACATTGATAATATAAATGTGAATACCCAACTGGGTAATGTTTGGCATGCAAAAAAGGTCAATAGCAGGAAAATCTATCTAAAAGATTACCTTATCTATCTAAAACGTGAATACATTTTACAATGACAAAACTTGTTGCAAGTTCATTGAAATTAAGATAAGCACCTCTTTTTAGGTAGTAGCTGTGTGTTTGGTGATGTCATATATGTATACTCAAACCGTCTTTGTGGTGCAATAGGAAATAATCTTTTTATCTTGTAATCAAAGTACATTTTTCAATACTATCTTTTGAATGCCTAGTGCGAGTTTTAAGTTAAGGTGATCAAAACGTTACAGTACGTAACGCAGCCTTCTGATTGGTTGGTGAATTCACAACGCGCCAATCAGAGTAGCGAACGGCATACTAATAACCATACAATCAGCTCAAAGAGCAAAGCTGCTGTATAATCTAATCCTACTATTCCACTAAAATATTATAAAATGGCTATTCTCGCGCGGTTTCACCCCTGCTCAGCTCCATTTGATCTTAGCGTGATATTTTATAGCCTATAGCACTCAAGAACATTGTAGCTATCTATCAGTGAAAGAATTTTGGCAATCCGACCAGCGGTTCCAAAGACTACACCCTACATACAAACTTTCAAATTTTACCTCTTTATAATATTTGTATAGATGTGAAAGTTTGTCAGAATATATGGATGTATGTTTGTTATTTTTTCACACCGATTTGTTTGAAATTTGGTATGTAAATAGGTGATACCGCGGATTAAGATATAGGATACTTTTTAATTCACCACGCGGGCGAAGCAGCACTCTTATACTATAGTTTCATACAATACATGTGTTACGTATGCAAACACTCGTTTATATCCAACAAGATCTTTGACCTTGACTACTGAATAGACCTCACAAAAACGTCACTAAATAATTCATGACTCATACCACAAGAAGTCTCTAAAATGCAAACTTGAGCTTGTTTGTACAACAAAAAAAAAACATTACGAAACTATTGTTAAACTAATTCTCCTCAAACAAAAGTTTCGAGACTTGTAGGTAAAGGATATAAAGTCATAGGTTATCTGTTAAATCTGGACCCTGTTTATCCCTCAATTCCTTTAGTAGTTTCTGCTTGGAGGAGGTAACAATCCAACTTAAAGGAGAAGTCCACTGTTTATACCGATGTATATATTTTGTGTAATAAAAACTTATTCAAGCATGAGGGAAGGGCAATGGCATAAAAGGACTTGTGACTATTCTGAATATCTATTTTTCGTGTAAGAAACATTCATACAAGTCTATGTCATATCCAAACTAATATTATAAATTCGAAAGTGACTCTGTCTGTCTGTCTGTTTTTTTTTCGCGCCTAAACTACTGAGCCGATTTCTATGAAATTTGGTACAGACATAGTTTGGAACTTGAGAAAGGACATAGGATAGTTCTTATACCAAAAATTTTCCGGAAGTTGCAGGGAGTTTCGCGGGCAAAAGCTAGTTATATAATAAATTTTATTCATTATTTGATGGACTTAAAGCTAACACACTTACGACAGAATCGCTGACAAGTTACCATCAGGCGGTCCGTTGGCTCTTTTGACCTTAATGACATAAAAAAAGCACTACGTAAACAAGAATGACTAGACAAAACCGGCTAGACCTACAAAATGTAGAACCAAAACAATCTAGATAGCGTTGTTTAGCAAAACAGAGTCAGCAATGGTCAGTATACACCGATGCATTATTCAATTACGTTGATAACACTTAAGATGATCACTGCTAATAAAATTGTAATGTCTTGTTTCCGAGATGTGCGCGTGGGCACACGGACACTGTGACCCTCATAAAGAAAGTTTTTTGACTCTAGAACTGCGTATGAGTACAAGATTATAAGATAATATCACACTGCATTCCAGTGTTTATCCCTACTTACATATTTCGTTAGGGAAGTGTTAATAAACAGCATTTGAAATGTTTATTTGTTTGATCTATAAAATGAATATAGACTTGATATGCTTACTTAGAAATTTAGTTTAAGATATACGAAGATACACAGTATGCTCTTCATGTAGCAGGTAGTAAGACAGTTATACTAATAAAAAATACCAAAAATATAGTTTTTTCCCTAGCTGTTCTATACATCACTACATCTATACATAGGTATAGTAGTAGGTTTAAAACAAAGTTGGTTTCTCTAGTGTCCCTATGTATATAATCCTAATCTTTAACTACGCAACGGATTTTGATGCGGTTTTTTAATAGATAGATTGATAAATAATAACATACAATAAATTGTGGAGAAATTTAGTACCACCAATGTAATTAAAAATATAAATAAGTATTACAATGATAACACTTGTATTATTTTTTATTACACAGGACTAAATTCTGCTTACCTTGCTTTATGATTCAACAGTGTGACTAGACAAACGAGCGATACGTCACTTAGTATAATAGGCAGACAGTAAATTATGTTAGGTATCATACACAAAATGTATATTCACAGGTCTTCGAACAACTTTGAAATTTCATGAATAAATATGTATCCCTTACGTTATTAAAGAGTTATTATTTTGTGCTCTGCATCTAAATAAAACATTATTTCAACGTTATTCAGGATTATTCTAAGAAAATCTCGGTACGACGGATATCTCCCATTTTATTTGTTCATAACTCTCATTTGACAAAATTGGATGACACACTCTGTGCGTAATTCACCAAGAGCAAGGAGGTGCTCGTAACCCTATACGCGACGCGCCATCTTTTTTCTTTTCTCTATGGTGCAATCGACCTATGTTTACATTACAGTTTTGTTTCGCAATATTATTGTTGTACGCTCTAAAATAATGTTGCAATAAACATTTCTTGAATTGTGTAATACAAAGAAAATGCTTGGGAATATCTGTTTTGAGTCATTGCGATAATTTCACATTGTCTGCCAATCTTTGTTCCATTCCGAAAGATAATTTTGGTCATATTATCGATAATAGGTTTTATTGATAAGCCATACATAGGTCAAATATTCAAGTGTAAGTAATAAACATTAAATTGCATAATATTAATTCTGTGCGTGATAATTTGGTAAATAATTTTGAAATTATAATTTGGTTCTCCCTGATGCAAGAGAATTGATATATTCAATAATTTAATTGAATGAAAATAACAACGTCATTTTAATTTGTAGGAAGAAGGGGCGAGCCCTTACAATAATATCATCAGGCGGTAATTTCACCACCCCATAGAAACTTGTCTATCAATTAAATTTCGTGAAAAAAAATACAGTATTGTCAATGAGGGATCCGTTTATCTGTCCAACGGTTAAGTGTCGGAGTTTAATAAACTGTTTAATTAAGAGCGTGTTAGCGGCGCTGGGTTAGGTTAGGGCGAAAGCGCAGTGCGAGTTGCGCGCGCGTCCCGGCATCATGCTGGTGTTGGCGCTGCTCCTTACGATGTGCGCGGCCGCCCGCGCCAGGAACTTCAACATCACCTACCTCCGAGTGCCACAGGTTGTACCTGCACACCAAAAGGAGGTCGAAATCGAGTGCCGATACGATGCCAACTTCACTCTACTCAGCTGGTTCAAAGGCTCACACGAATTCTTCAGATATCGTCCTGGTACAACACCCAGCACTCGTTCTTTCCCTATCCTCGGGGTAGGAACAATAGAAATGCTGGCCTGCGGTCCTTCATACTGCCACTTGAAGCTGGGATCGTTAACTACGGAGGCGAGCGGTTTGTACAGGTGCGACATTGAGAGGGATGTGCCTCCATACAAGTTTGCTACCAGGACGGCACACATGGAGGTACACGGCGAAGGACATCGGAGGCCGTTACTGGAAGGTTTGGCTGAGGAATACAGAGATGGAGACGTGATACAGGCTTACTGTCGTGCGTCTCCGGACTCGGAAATCCGTTGGTACATAAACGGGCAGGAAGTGGAGGAAATGCGAGGATCTACGAATTTGAAGAAAAAGAGTTCTCGGTTTATTTTCATGGGTGTACCGCCGAAGATATCAGTGCAGTGCGCGGAGTTTAGACACGAAAGAGTGTATGGCTCGAAGGAGCACAAAGCTGCGTGGAGTGAGATCGGTCAGATGAGCCAAGAACCACCGAAAGCGAAAAATAATGCGAATGCATCCAACACCCATTTAGGATTACTGAGCATATTATTAGATGTATTTATTAGATACATTGTTTTATGCGTAGCGTTGTAAATCATGTTCCTCGTATGTTTATAGTTGATTCCAGTGAAGAGTATTAATAGTTTGTAAATGCATGTGTGTTATGACAGTGCAATGTATGCAGATTTATGATTAAAATAATGTTATTTAATTTATTCACTTGTTTATTTTTGTGTTTAAAATCCTAACTAGTGTATTTAAGTCGAGGCGACTAGCTATTAAAGTCAGTCGTCTCTGTTTCTATTCCTATTAAAACCAGTTAATCCTGTAAGGTATCATGGCATCACTTACTCAGTAAGGGTTAAAAATCGAATAATTTCAAGATATTAGCACTTTTATATTATAAAAACTTGGAATAACCAAGTTTTTCCATGGTGGTAATTCGGGACACAATATTAGAATAATTTTAGCCTAACAGGTAACTCTTTGGCAGCAATTAACAACTATAAGTTTATAACTGTAGGCAAGTCTTATTAACAAAATTATAATAGATAACCAACAAATCAGAGGGCTAAATAGGGTAACCTTTCAAAACTGGTACTGGGTATTCTGTTCTAAATAAATATATTGTTTTTTTTTATAGGACCTTTAAGCAGTACCTACCTATAACAAATGTTATCTACATATAACACTACGGCTCCATTTGATCGAAGCGTGATGTTTTATGGACTATAGCACTCAGAAACATTGTAGCTATCTATCAGTGAACGAATTTTGGCAATCTGACCAGCGGTTCCAAAGATTACCCCCTACATACAAACTTACAAACTACTAGTAGTAGTATAGATGACCTTACTGAAAATGAACCTAATACAAGCTGGTAGGTACCATTAATCTATGAGAAGCTTTTTTATGATATAGGGCGGCAAATGGCGGCAAACTAATAAATGGATTTTAACCTGATGGTAAGCGATCATCACAAGCCCTCTCAACTCTACAGGAGAAAAAAATGCGTTGCCGACATTATGGGGGTTACAGATTTAAGGATTATCTATGGTCTCCGGTATCGTCAAACAGGGTAAAATATAGCTTAGGTAACACACGCGTCACTGGACTGCGGACGGCGAGTAGGTAAGGGTAGCTCACCGCCCGGCCAGAATCAGGCCCGAGCGTACGGTGCGTAGCATTCCACGCGCGCCTCTAAGAGCCAATAAACCACCACAGACGGGGGCCCTATACGGGGTATTTTTAGTCGGGGTTGCGGGAAAAGCGTAATGAGGCACCGAGGCCTTGGCCCAAAACAGGAGAAGGAACGAGGGGTTTTTAGTCAGTAAGAGTCTGACACTTCCTCTCAAACCAAATCATATAAAAATCATTTATTCCAACTTGAAATTTTGAAACGTCAAAATATAATAGTAGGTCATTCAGCATAGTCTGTCACTCTGTTCGTCAGTGAAGCTAGGTGCTCTCGTCTCACCCTGGGCGGGAGAAGCAATTTGATGACTTTCAACAGGCAAAAAAAAGGATACACAAGCTTTTTTCCACGCCGGTTATGTAAGCGTGGTTCTGCCTTACTTGGCACAACAGAAAAGAGATTTTAGCTGTGGTAGGCTTTACACCATCACATACATATAATTTTATCCCATCAAGTATACAAGTCAGCCGGGGTCACGGGGCAACCGCAATATGGTACCGCGGCCTCGGCCTGTAGCAGTAGACGGAAAGGGGTGGTGGTGTTATTCACTAAGAGACAAGTAGTTTGATGATTTTCGCAATAAAAAAATTAATCAGGCACAAGTGCATACTCAACTCAACCATTTTTGATATCAGTCCCGTGTGATAAAGGTTGAACGTATTGCCATATACGGGCTTGAGGGCGAGGGCCTACTGCTTCTTTACTGTTTACTTGACTCTAAGGCGATCAAAATATTAATGATGTACGGCATCTGATCGGCTTGATCCAAGTTAACTAACCACGTAAACGTAATTTTAAGAGTCTTCATAAACAAAATAGGTACTTAATTTAAATAGATATAGATATAATAAAATAGGTCAATTAGAACCCAAACAAACCGAACACGGTTCCTAGCCTACCTGTTTTAAAATAAATCGGTTGCCTACATGCAATTTTCCGCAAATAAGTATCCGTATTACTATAATAAACTTTGAAGCAATTTACAAAAGCCATTGTTGAAAACCCATGGTAACTGGGTAACTTTATTTATCTACATCAATAAAAATTAAATGCCATTTGTCAGAAGCTTTAAGAAAGACAATAAAAATCGTTTATTAGATTTTCGTTAAAAGGTGAAATTTTTTGCAATTCCTATAGAATATAACGAACTTTAGATCATTATGTTGTGCAATATTATTTTGTTGATTAAAATTTACACAACGTATGAAATTCTTCTATCAATACATTTCACAATGATTTTCATGACTAATGCATCGGGTTTCCTTTGAAATGACGCGGGACAGCTGACAGAGTTACCAGCTTCAATTTTTTGATCTAAAAAGGGTATAAAACAAAATTCTATGAAATCGCATTAATAACCCGCTAGCAATAATTATGTATAACAAAAAATCTTTTTTCTTAGATACTACCCTAATATAATTATATATGTTAGATTTTTCGATTTTGCTAATACTAGTTGTAATTTTTTCTTGCTTACAAGTTTTCAATAGGGTAATTGAAACTTTATGTAGTGGCAACACTGAAAAAAAGATGGCGTAATTTGTTATCCCCACCCCGAACAAAAAGTGACAGCGCATTGCGCAAAGCCAGGAGTTTATAGTGTGCATGTTACACGGTTAAACATGTTAAAAAGTTTTTCGGAAATTTTAGTTTTATGTTATATTCAGTGCCCCGATTGTTCAACAAGAACTGATATATTGAACTTTTCTCCATCTTGATTAAGTGACATACTTAGTTTAAATAAATACGTAGTGAATATAATTATTTAAAATAGAGTCTATTGTAAGTAATCGTTCGAAAAAAACATCATCCACAATGCCTAAAGGAAAGAAAAAAGGAAAATACGGTAAGTTTCAATAAATTTTAGTGTTCAGAGTTTGGTTATGTGGTGCGTGGAGTTAGGGATCCGCCAAGAATGAGATCACGCGGCGACCTTGTGGCGACGGACTTTCCGCGGGACGTAGTGACGTTTACGTATATTTGTTCACAGTCGCAATACTGGATGCCAACAGCCTGAAGGCTGCTAAATGACCATAAGTTTAGGTTTTAATCTTTCGAGAAGTAATTGCGGGGTTTCACAAGCCTCGTCTTGGATCGCAGCGCAACCTTTACTTTCACGTTTCATAACGTTGCAATGCCCACATGTCAATTTCAATGTGGTCACGCTTTGTCTACAGACGCAGCAAACGTGATTGTGGCCTGACATTTGGGTTATTTATCTAAACTGATAGTGATTGGCCTTGCTAACAGCTATTAGAATGTACATTACATAATTTCGCATAATAATTTACTTCCTAGACTAAAATATAACATGTTTATTTGTCTTGCTCATAAAATGTGGATAGCAGTATTGCATATAAGCATGCAGTTATGTTTAGTAATTAAATGCCCAATGAGACTGTCATCTGAATTGCTTCAGTATGAGTAATTCTAAGACCATTTTTATTTTACTATCTCCATCTACATAGTTGTATTACAATTTAAAATATCTCCTTACCCACACCACATTTTAGATTTAAAAGAATCTAAATGATATGGTGACAAAATTTACATAATATTATTCAATAAAAACTGTTTATCTCGAGACGCTACACAAAAACTATGGACCCAAACCAAAAAGTTCACACCAAATACAATATATTTAAAACTATGGGTATGGGTAGGAAATTAGATAATTAATTTACATACTGCTATAATTATTTATATAAAAAATAATTTACCAAAAAGGTGTGTGCTTAACTGCCAACAATTCATCATTGTTGTTGGAAAATTATTATGTAAACATTGGTCGGCTGTATGAACATTTTCAATGTCACTCTGTTTTATGTCATAGACTGGCTTGGCAACAGATCTAATAAAATCTAGATATACTTACTATTCTCTGCATAAAGCTACAAATAGGTAGGCTACGGTAAGGAAAGGCTGTAACCTTTCCTTACCCATAGTTAATTTAAACTTTCTAATGATAATATGCTTACTTAATGATCAAGTTAGCAAATTATTAAGTATATAAAAATTAATTGTTACAGAAATAAAACTTGAAAGAAAACAATAGCTGCCTGTTTCACCGCCCATACATACACATATGACGCAAACTTATGTTCTATTTTCCAATTTATCTGGTACATTGTATATCCAAATGCTCTTAATCCTCAATAATATAGTACTGTCTATTGTTCTTCAAACTCATTTGCAAATGTAATTAAACAATTAGGGATATCAGCATTAGAAAGTATGCATTAAGTAAATAATTCAAAGTAAAAGTGAAGAATGTAATGGTTACCTCATTATTAATTATTTTCTCATTAGTGTTAATTACATGTTTAGTAAATTTATTTGCCTAAGATAAGATATCTTTTTTGAAAATAATGTTGCCAGCACCAGTTTTTGTTATTGCAATCTGAAGCGTCTAAGCAATTTTATTTACCAACAATAGTTTGTTGGTAAACACAAAATGGCTGCTTCCATGTGGTGTTTGTTTTTTCCGCATTTGTACCTTAACAGGTCAGGTGGGACTGCAAATAAAATATTCCCTTTTTTTTCTTTTGTGGTCAGTATTCAGGTTAACCTTTTTTTTCTCAGACCCATCCTTTTCCTTGTTTTTGTGTAGAACTTTTTTTGTAATCATTGTCAGCCATCTTGAAATAAGTTGTAACCATAATAAAGATTTTGGTTCTCATTGTATTCGATTTTACTGCAACTGCAATTGTATATTATACCTATTCCAAATATTTGTTCATCCAAATTGTTTTCTAAGATAATAAATAGAGACATAATTGAGTGATAATTCATGAAACACCAGAAGTGTACAATGTACATGACCAGTCTTAATGCATCTAATTGATCAATCACAGTTCGCAGTACAGTCTAATAATACAGAAGGTTAAAAATTATGTAACAATTACACAGGAAAACAGTGTGGAACTACTGACACACTTGTGATTCCAACTCATTGAAATTCTTTATACATGGCCCATGGAAATGATGTTAATGCCATATGGTTCTTTTAAGAATATATAGTAAGTTTTAAGTAAGCATAATCTGTTTTAAAGCCAGTTTATATGAACACTCCCAAACAAAACACTGCAACAGCTTTTTATGACCATTCAAGGACTTATTCAAATAAGGCCAGTAAGTCCTTGTAAATTGCCAAGGTTATTATTGCAGTTACATTAATTATGTAATAAGTAAGTACATGTGTTTTACAATGGCAAGTCGACGCCAACGAAACCTTGTACTGCGGTAAACTTCTGGCCATTCGAACGCACGCGATGGATATCGGAGTTCTATAAGTGTGATATTGGTACAGGACTATCTGTCTTTTTGAATTTCGAAACATATCCTTCAATGGTTATGCATCTAGATACGCGGGAACGTGTCTAGCCAACTGCAAGTTACAGAAAAAGAAATTATACTGTGTAATAAGACTGCCTATTATAGGTTCTCAATTTTTACAAGTTTCGCCTTTGAAAGTATTTATATACTTATATACTGAAGCCCGTATAAATGAAATAAGTAAACAGCAGCGCTCCAACATGATACGGTTTTACGATTATTGATTTTTGGACCCAGAACCCTCAAAAATGTCCTTCTAGTACACCCTACTCTAGTTACACCAGAATACGATCGATGGTTTCGGAAGCGTCTCGGCATCTTATAAATAGATTTTCATGCTTAACTAGATTTTTTATTTTATTTGATCTTCGCTTTCTTTTAAGTCTTGAAATCTTTTGGAAGCCACGATTATTCTTTTTGTGATGACGTCAAAACTAACAACGGCAACCTCCTATATGGATTTAGCCGTATTAGACAATACCTTTATGTCATCATAGATGATATTATTTCTGATACAGTCGTGACAAGCGCCTCTGCTAACAGAAGTTTCGGGTCAAAATCCTAAATCCGGCAATTTTAGAAAATTCTAATCTTGCCATTGTTGGATAGAATCTGGATTGTTCCAGGTATTGAGCGCCAGTTCTAATTGGGCCACCCATTGTTTTATTAATACTAAGCATCTTTTTTATTTTTTCAGACCACAAAAGAACAGAACAGGCTTACTCTTCAGACGAAGACGCCGGAATAGACATGACCATCGACAATATGTCAGAGACCTCCGCTCAGTCGGACCTTAAGAGCATCCATGATGATCCAGGTATTTATAAGTTTTTTATACGACCCATAGGTATACATATTATATGTATGTACAGAAGACTAGGAGATCTAGCCAGTCTTTTTTAATGGATACATACATTCCTTAATCCTCTGTGCAAAAAACAGTTTCTTTGAGATTAGTCAAGGAATTTTATGTACAGATCTGCTTTAAATGGAATATTTCAATAGATACAAATTATTATTATTATTATTTGTATGTTGGCTGCTTTCGATATTCAGTTGTGACGTAATAAGGGTTGGCAACGGTTTTCATGTAGTGTTAGTAAACAATAAATAAAGGTTGTGCCAAAAGCTTCGTGGCTAAATATTGTTATGATGGTACTTATAACAATAAATCTTTTCATCTGTCTCTTTCTACAGGTTTTTTGTCCTTTTTTTATCTGTTTTGAAATCGTGATGAATTCCTCGCGATTAGTTATAGCTCAGGTAAGGCAATGACACAGCGATATCAGCTGACGAATTTTCTGTTAACAAAAAACCATTCTTTGTCCCAATTTGTCGACAAGACTTTCAACTGTAATGTAAAACGATTAGGTTGAAATTTTACGCCTGTTGCCTACCAGTACAGAAAGCTATCTTCATCTCTCACATATTTTAAATTTCAACTTTATTACTTAGCGATAAAGTTTAGAATCTATCAAACAATTCCAGCTTTGCCATCCCTTACGCCGTCACTGTTTCGTCGCTAGCTTTTTATGAAACTGCTTCGTTTTGTACGTCAAAGTACCGTGTCCCATTGATTTTGTGCTGTAGTAGTACCTATAACGGTCAATCGAACTTCAGCCTTAACTAAACGAAATATGGGCCAATTAAGGTAAAACTCGTGTAAATAATAGGGATGTATGTAAAATGCATCAAACAGCTGTGCTGATCCTGAGCGAGTAAGTACCGTAGCAATAAGTTTGCTATTTCATGTAGATCGTAGATTTACAGTTGGTAAATATGCTTTTAATTAGACCTTAAATTTATAACCTTATTATAAATCTATATTGCCAGTCTAGTATTATCCAGTATTTTATTAGTCCCATCTTCACATTTGACTGCAAATTAGTTATGATCATGGTTCGATCCCGGATCTATCTGAAAAAAGTGACAACACTTACCTTATCAAAAGTTTTTAAAAGTGTTCTACGGTTGTGGTGTTCGATGCCCACAAGAAACCGTCAGTGATTTGTTATTGTAGTTCATATTACTATACCACATAGGCTTTCAAACTGCTTCAAATTAGATTTAATTCTTAAAACATAATGAATAAGGTATCACCAACGTAGATTACATACAACATTCAAACGTACGTCCTTGACATTAAGCTTAATTTTATTAATTAATGCCAACAAAAGAAGACAACGTCTGGCTATGCTAGCTAGCAACTACGAGATGCCAGAAAAAACTGTTTTTATTCTTTACTCAAGGTCGATCAGTTTAAAATATATTCAGTATATTTTAAAATCATTTTATTATAAAGCAGAAGTATTGTTTTTATTTGAACGCGCTAATCTCTCGTACAAGTTGTAAAATTTTATCTCACCCTTACATAACATTTTTAATGTAACCTCAGGACCTAACAGAGCAATCATATCTGAAGGCTGAACAGGCAAAAATAAATCGATATTCCACTCACCCTTGTTTGAACAATAACGTAATTTAATCACATTGTAATACAGGGTTGGTCTAACCTCAAGCGCTGATCTCGAATCCTTTTGAGAGCCGATAAAAACTGTTGAAGTCTCGTCCTCCGTTAGTATTGGACACCTTTTTCTGTCATGGCGTTCAATGTCTTTACCCAAATTCAACTCGATAGCATAGTATAAAGAAAAGGGTCGATAGCCATACTTGTCACTCACACACTAAAAGACTAAAATTCGAAGTTTAAATAAGGAAAGCAACTATTTCGAAACGACAAAATATCGTTCATATCACTCATCCGTCAGTCTTACCTTAAGCTAAGTTTCAAAGTATAAATTTGCTATGTGCTAAGTATTTAATTCCTTTAAACTTTTTTAATAGTCTGTTAAAAATGCACACGCGGTCGGCACGTGGAATAATTAACTATGAAACATTTCCATTAAAAATATTCGCAATTAAATCGATTCATTACAATCACAACTATGCACTAGCCTACTAGTTACATAAAAAATCCTAGTTTTATTCACCGAGTAACTTATCATTTTGTTGTTTTTTTTTATCTGTGGACTCAATTTTATAATCTATATTTTAATGGCAACATTATACTATGGCGTAAGTCTATGAAGTCGCCAAAATATTTATAAAATATTTATGGAAACAAATAAATGGTTATTACAACATTGACAACTAATTATTAATATTAAATACCAAACAACAGTTTTAGTGCCACAAACAAACATTCCTGTTAACTTTGTGAGGTAATTAAAATATTTTGTTATCTATCGGTCTTTATAATGAACTTTGTCGCTCAGTCCCGTCTTTAAAGAGATAAAAACTGCATATAAAAATTACCAACCAATACTAAACCAATTCGGAACTTCACAAGACCAATACACACAAGTAATTAGATCATATAAGCAACTTAATACATTACACTATAAGAAAAATTAAATAACACAACGTGTCAACGTGACCCTCAAACCTAAAATAAATGGCGCCTAAATAATAATATTATAATGACCAAAAGATAGCGTCCTAGTCGAAAATATGTGATATGCTACTGTATTCTTGGCATGTTGGCTTAGCTATGTTATACTCGCTTGCCTAATTAGAGTCTTCCTGCAGCCAAAATTGCTCCTTCAGTTCCTTTAAGCTGTTTTGTTTTAATATTATCAGTGATTTATTATGTTTTCGGCTTACTCACGTAATAATTTGACGAGATACTCGACTAGTTTCAAGCCATGCTAGAGGCCCATATTATTATCCGAAAACATAATAAATAATTTAGAATGTCTCACGAAAGTTATAATAAAAATATTATCAGTGATCGAAGAAAACAGCAATTGAAAAAAAAAATGTTTGTATTCTGGCTTTTAACCATAGAAATTAATGTTCAAGCCAAAGCCATCTACTAGGTAACGCAAGCTTACGTAACATAGGCAAACACTGACAACTTCAATATTTTCAACAGGCAACCCAAAGGGAAGGAAGGTCAGAGAAAACAGGATCATATGGAAAAAGACACAAAATAACGAAATTCTACCAGAGGAACTACAATGTATGATCAGTTTCTTAGTTCAAAAAGAAAATATCGATATAGGGCTATGTTTTTGCATCAATGCAAATAAATATTATAAAAATATACATAGCTATTAATAGTTCGTGTTATTGAATTCAAGCTTTCTTGTTTGCTTAAAAGTTGTTACAAAAGTTAAAGATTTGATAATTATGAACGATGTATGTTAGTTTAATCTGCTTTATTGTATTGTGTTGACTTCATGTTAAACATATACTTAAATTTAAATACATAGTTAAATCACAAGATAAAAGCTATCCGATCAGTACTATCGCAAGAATAGCTAGCAGCACTAATGTAACTTAACTTATATCGATATTTTCCATAAAAAAGTTTGTTTTCGTTCCTAAAAGACATTGTTAGAATATGAGTACTGTTCTCCAGGGTCAGAAACACAACGAGACTTTAAATTTGAAGCGCCGCGGCCATTTTTGAAGAAAATTGTGAAGGAACCTGAAGCGCGTTTAAAGGAACTTATGGAGCAGCACATTAGATATTACAGACCTCCTCCACCTCCACCTGAACCGGAGCCCGTGATAGATCACAAAGCTTTGAGAGGTCTTTAAACGCTCTTATTAAATGGTTCTAAGGTTTATTTTGCAATGCTCTACGTTGTCGCTTGGAACGCACACTTACACAAACACCTTGCTCACTTTGCTTGTCTTGTTGCCAATATTGTCCGTCTTTATCCTAAATCATTGTATCTGAATCAATGTTCTATCACCATCGTTCTTACGCCACCTTCTCTGCTCATCCTCATTTGTAACGCTCTTCAAAGCAACTACACCTACATCATCACCACTTAGTATATGTTGCATATATCCTTATAACATAACCAGTATACAGGTTTAGAGATCAATCACCCCAAAATATGGTAAGAAAAAACATGGTGCTTAGTCAATAAACGCCGTGAAGTAGCTCACGCCGAACGCTTTATTGTTGTGTTGCATGGTACGGAATATAGCCAAATTATGTGCTTTCAATGTTTTCAGACGTTTGTGAAATGTTACTTAGATTGAGATGAGATGAGATGTTCGAAAATGATCTGTAAGATCATTTTCGAACATCTCTTATAGATCTACAATTTGTGGCAACTTTTTTATCCATCGTCGATTCCCGTGCAGTTTGACACCAGTTGCTCAAATCACTCAGTATTTCATTACATTTGCCATCCCTTTTACTAATAATCCCCCAAAATCTGCCTATCAGATAAGCAATGTCATTAAGGCCAAGGCCCAAATAATGCTTTCATATCGATAACTGCATTGGACCACTATACGACAATCGATATCGTTCTAGCGTCCCAGTGTTACGTGAAAACTTGGCTAGGCTCCTAAACTTTATTGACCCTGGGTTTAATAATCTGGTGTACGTAAAAATTAAGTGTATATGTAACCTTTTTATGATGACCTATTTTCTTTATTATAAGGCTTTTTCACTTCGTATGACGATATTTTTCTATATTGAACATTAATATCGCTATTCTATCCGTGCTCTTATAAAACAGTATAGTTTCATAAGTTAATATATAGTAGGAAGAGTTCTTAATATGTAGTAGTTCTTCTGCTAGCTTTTGCCACGCGAACCAGACACGTTATAAAAACACGAAACAGACAGTGTTTCTTTTCCTTATTCAAATTATACAAGAATAGATTTGTTCGAGTCTTTCTGCGCGCCATTTTTTGCTAACAATTATTTGCACAGTTGTGAAGGTCGTGTCGTTGACCTAACGAAGGACAGTGACTAATGTTTTGATTACACAGACGTATCGTTATCTGATCCACTAACATTGAGAGTACCTACTTACCCACTCTTCACAAATACCCTCTGGTATAAAAAACTGGAATCAATAGTCAGTTAGTTAGTTTATAAAAGGCTTATTAGAGGAAAATCTTACATTACGTGAATAACATACGGTTTGGCTATCCAAAAATAGTGTATTATAAATCAATTACATGTTTAAATACTTTAAATGCAAGCAGTATTGTCCATAATATATGGCTATATCAATCTGGTTTCGAGAAACTTCTAAATCGTTTCCCTAATAATATTTTTCGAGTAGCTTAGTCTTCAATTCTCTCTAGATTCAATATATTACTTAGAACTGTAGGTACTTATGTACTTCTTATCTTAAATTCATAAAATCGTCGTACACGTGCCATTGACCATTGGGCGAGCGAGTGTGAAATGCATAGATTATGCCTATATGACGCACTACTGTAATTTAATATTGCACAATCCATTGCCAAAATTGATAAAAGTATTCTATCGTTACGACACGTAGAATCCCTTTTAGGATTTCCATTTCACTACATAGGTACAAGCCACCGTTTAATATTCATTATAATTATGTTCATTTATTGAGTTTCGCCATGTGAATCCCGAAATCCCTAACAAGAGTTACAGCCCTCAAAAGATCGACAACGCATTTAGAAGGTGTTACCGAGTGTCCATATCCATATAGCGGCGCCAATTGCTTACCATCCATCCATCCATCAGCTCGTTCTGCGACCTAACCCCTGAAAAAAGATTCTACCTTCAGATAGGGAAATGCTCTTTAATAAATAAATCCACGTGAGTAAACCTACGTCATGACAAACAATGTGGCGTCATAGCCATTGCGTGGGATCTGTGACGTCACTGTAAAGATTTACACGCAGTATATTATATAACGTAATACAACCTACGGATGTCGCGTCACAGCTCGCTATAACGTAGATACGAGAATTTTCCAGAAGTAAAGTTTCCGATTTCGGAGATCTATACAGTTTATTTTTTGTATGGATGGAATACTTGTTTTAATAGTTGGATTGAAATTCATGTATCAGTGAGATTCGATATTTTGTTAAATAGTAAGGGTCGTGCTCGTTCTTCTCCATACGAATATACGAAGTTGGAGCATTGAGCTTTGCGGACGGACAGAATGACAGACAATTAACCTTTCGACTTTCCAAGAGGATAATACAAAAATAATTGTTCATTTAGATCTGGTAGTTTCAGAGTTTAGCGCGTTCAAACAAGCAAAATCTGCAGCTTTATACTATTAGTATAGATTTGAAATTAATGCTTTGTATTGATAGTTCGTGATGGGTGATCGTTTATACAAATAATTTTAGTTTTTATCGACAAGACATTTCTTTATATTCAGTCCGTTTGACGCAGGAGCTATCGCAGTCATTAGCACATTTCAGAACAATAAAACTAACAAAGACGGCTTTAATAAGGCACCTACGGCAGCAGTATGCTAATTTAATTGAGCTCTGTTCACACTTTAATAAGTTGACGTGGTTGCCAACCAAATTTTTTTGGATAAATTATATTTTAAGGCCGGTAAAATACTCGATATTATTATTTTGTTATCTCATTGTTAGGCAAGCACTTATCGAGGTAGTTATATGCACTGTTATGTTTGAAATAATGACATACACGGTATTGAATACTTTAAAAACAGTTTTCATATATTTTACTGTTCCCCGTCTCACATAAATAAAACTTTTCCATGTAGAAAATAAAACTGTTTTCAAAATAATTCAAATATGAATGAATACTTACATGAACTGTTTGAGAAAAGCTCTGCTAGTATCAAGTCATACCGGCACATATTCAGGCTGCAAGCGATCAGCTTTATAATATTTACTAGCTTTCTGCCAGCAACGTCAACCAGGCTCTCTAGCCTAGGCTTAATGAACTCGAACCTTCAACAATCCCTGTGTCCAATAGCTAAAATCCGCATGAAAAACGTGTCAGTAGTTTTCGAGTTAACCTCATACAGACGAACGTTGTAGAAGATTTTTTAAATAATACATACCTATATCAGTCTATAAAAATTAAAATATAATAATAGTTACATGTCAGTATTACCCAATATTTTTAATACTGTTTTTCTATTCTTTTTGTGACTACGAAATAGTTGCCAAGTTCCCTTGCCAAACTAATGCAATTTTTCTGCTATCAGGGCTTGTAATTTTACACTTAATGACATTTTTTGCGTCGCATTCAGGTCAGGTCAAGTAATATCTATATGTTTTGTTATTTATCGTGTGATACATTATCAAGTGAATGCCATTACATCATAATATTATATCGGCTAGTAACAAATCAAACGTAAATTGTATTTAAAAACTCCTTTGTTTGAAATTCAACCAAAGAGGAGCTATATTTGGTAAGAGAGTCCTTAGAATAGTAGGTTTTACTCAAAGAAAGTAAAAAGGTACAACGTTCTGACGCAAGTTATAGCTCGGCTCGGTTCCATACGTAAAAGCGAAGAATGTGGTGACGTTTTTAAGATAAGGTGTATATTGAAATCAGTAGAAATTTTATATCATACAAAATCGTTCTAATACTGGCCAAAGTCCTAAAACAATAATATTATATTACAAATAATGTGCATCAATCATCAAAATAATTAATTCGGTAGTTTCCTATGTCAAAAATAATAATTTTGATTTTCACCACAGTTAATTATTAAAATATAATCATAGAAATATGAACATTAATAATTTTCAAAATATATACAGCAAATCCACAGATTATGTTCAACAAACATTAATATGTAACTGACTAAGTTTGATCTTTATAGTTCGTATGTTGGGCGTTCCCAAGGTTATCAACAACTAATTTGATAAGTTTGCCCACCTCGCCAGTGGCCTTGTAGGCACCACAACACCTATTTCGAATAACGATTCGCGATATAGAACGTTCCGTGTGGAATATTTTCAGTACACTGCTAATAAAACAAAAACGTGACTTGTTTTTAGAAGTAATTTCAAGTTGCATAACCCCTTAGCAAATTATTTTTAAACTTTAGTAATTGGAATAAAGCTTATTTTTCGTAAAAGAATTTTCGCAATGTATAAATGCAATTTTACCATTGTTTGAAATACTACACATCTCGATCCAATTTGGTGATACTTTTAGAGAAAAACGAGCAAGAAACTCCTTGGTTACCGTCTTCGTTGATGCCTCCTCTTCCCTTGCTTAACCTGTACCTTATTAAAAATGAAGGTCAACAATTTGAGAGATTAGTGCGTGCTTTGCTAACTTGGGTTATGAACTTATAACAAATTACTTTAAAACAGTTTATCATTACGACATGTAACGGAGGCGTGTTTCATTTTATCAAGTTGCAACATTTGTAGTATCGCGGTATCGTATCACTAGAATGTAGTTATCATTTAGCTTCAAAAGTTGAGTTATATTTTGTAACAATTATCTATAATTATTGATAAACAAAAACTCGTTTGGTAATGGCATACAAACTTCTTTTCTTTTTATTGTTACTTTAGTATTTATTATATAATTTATGCTTATTTATATTGGTAAAAACTGGTCTAGGTTTTAATAATTTAGAGTCTTGTTTATTATTATAAATTTTATTATAAAAATGAGGTTTATAATCTCTATAACAAGAAAAATCAACCTTGACATACTGTAATACAGTTATTTTTACAATGTACTTACACAGGTATAATCTGTATTATCCAACTAGCAACACATTGGCTACTACATTTAGATTACAATTGTTATGTAATAAGTGTTTTTACGCGTCATAAAATAAGCTGTGGATGTAGTAAATCAAACTTTATTACTATTAGTGGTAGGTTCCATTTCCATCTTTTATTCGTATTTCATTAAATTTAATAAAAATTTAAAACGCTCTACTACTTTCAAGCCACAGCGGGACTCTTATTCATGTATAGGGTACGCAGTTGCTTACAATAAATTCAGTCTCACAATAGTAATCGCAAAAAAAACTATGTATTCTTCCTAACTGATTCATGTATATGTCGATTCCTATTAATATTAATGGTATGTTGTGTGATTTGTCACTGTGATACTTATGATGCAACAGCGTATATAGTTGATCTGACATTTTTGTCCATAACTTATCGCTTTTACAGACATAACAGGAAGTCTACGATGTCTGAATGGCTTAATGAGAAATATTCTAGATACAAATTGTTTATAATTATTATAAGACATTTATCTCGGAGGATACCAAAGATTTTAAGCAGTTTTAAGATGATTTAGCCTGTAATATCGTATCATCATCATTGGAATTAACGATAAAACATATGGTATAGATATAATAGTAATTGATAAATCGTCAATTTGAAGCAGTTTTACAGTGAACTAGTTTTGCTTGCATCTTTACAGTCATCACCCTTATAAATATTAAAAGGTTTCGTAATTTTAGTCACGCAATTATCAACTTTATGACACTTTCATTTCGTCTACAGAAAGCGAAATCCAAGAGAAATTCGAAGAGAAGGTGCTTGAGCTGATTGAGTCGCTGAACGCTCGTGCTAACGCAGCTCGTGCGAGCGCGTTCGTGTCGCTTCGTGCAGCGCTGCAGCGGCGTGCGTTGGACGGCTTGTTGTCGTCCCACCGCGCCACACTGGCCGACCACGTGTCCCGCGCTCTGCGCCGAGGAAAGGATGGAGAGAAAAAGGCTGCAGCTGCTATTGCACCATTGCTTGCTTTGCAGGTGAGGATCTTCATGAAACTTAAGTGTGGCAGGGTCATGCTTTTGCACGAATGGCCGTGTGGTAGCCGGCTACTCCGGAGTAATACCTACGGCCTCACACAAAACCACTTGCAACTCCTCCGGTGTAGGCTACGGTCGGCGCCATTTACTGATATGTTTCACACAAAAAAAACATTGGGTACCGCATGCTAGGCCCTTCTAACTTTATAGCTTTTCCTACAGATCTCGACTATTTTCTAATTAAGCGTTGCCCTATGTTTGAATTTTCTTTTTTCTTTGAAACGTTTACAATCAAGTCCTTTTTTCATTATGGATTAGAAATAAAGTCTAATTAAAATACCCAAGAAGTTAATATTAGCTTCTTAATAGAAAGATCTAAGCTGATCTGATGGTGTTCCAAACATTTGCTCTAATGTGATAATGTACTCGGATATGTTTTAAAACATTATCTATTGTATCAATGTACTAAACGGTGTCTTATTGTATCCACAGATTGGAGAGGATGGTACGGAAGAGTTCGTCCGCGAAGTCCGGCCCGCTCTCATTGCCGCCTGTACAGACAAAACAGCTTCACTTGACACACGTACTGAGGTAAAAATAAATACTTATTACACACTTGCTTATATTACACTGTTTGAAATCGACTAGTAGATAATATTTATCTTTTTACAATCTATAGGAAGACTAATGGGCAAATTTTATTAACAATCTTAACCCCAAGGTCTTTTTTGAATGTTAACTAGGTATCGAGAGACATTTAAATTTATTAGAAATACTTACTCTCGTGAATTGATTAAGAAAAGTCATGAAATCGCGCAGCAGTTCGGTGAATTTAACCCAAAATCGTTTGTAATAAGAACAAGATTGATCCAGAAATTTCGTATTAAGATTGGGTAATAGTTTCGATCGTCAGGACACTTAAAGATGTTTTCAGATAGTTGAGTGTTTTATTTACAATGTTAATATTTTCTTACAGTGTTGTTCATCTTTGGCCGTGTTATGCTATTTGATGGAGGACGACCTCTCTGAGATCTTGGAGGTTATGCGCATGTACGAGACCATCTTCAGTGGAAGCTACCTCAAGGTAAATATAATCTCTATATCTAAATATTTTTTATTTCATTCTCTGATTTCTATTTAATGATAGAAGATACACATTCAAGTTAATTGAAAATTGGAATGTCCTCTTGAAAGTGTGGGGACAACATCAAAATATGGTTCTTGTTTTAAGAAGAATAACAATATTCTTTTGGATAGCAAAGTCTCAGACGTGAATATTATACGTAATGTTTTGTATAACAAGCATTTACTATAAACTTTTGCGTTGCATATTAATACTTTTCTGTTTTACGGGTGATAAGCATATTTTATAGTATTGCGGCTATAATTATATAAACGGAAATATAATACGTTATGGTACGGTGGCAGGGTGACGGCAGCGTGAAGGTGTCTGGCGCGGCGGTGGATGCGGGCGCGTGTCACGCGGCGGCGCTGGACGGCTGGGCGCTGCTGCTGCCGCTGCTGGCGCCCGGACATGCGCTCGCCCTGCTCACCAACCAGGCGCCCTCCTTCGCCAGGCTCGGGGACCTGCTCGAGGCTGTCTCGCTCGAGGTTACTATACATTACGATATCTACATACATTTTATAATAAATACTTTCCAAATACAATTGCTACTTCTCTAGCTTTTGGTACAAGAGGTTGTCCTTAAGGGTTATTTTCTTTTTGTGTTTCGCTGTACATAAGTATTACACCATTCTCACATAATTAAACCAACCAAATTATGTACCAAAGAATCTTTGTGAAACTGATTTAAAAAGAGTAACCATGGAGTTTCTTGCTGCTTCTTCTCAATCTGAATGTACACTTTGGAACGAGGACCTAGCTTCAGTTAGAGGACAGACTGACACTTTATATCTTCAAAATTTTGTTTGACATTCAAAAGTGCCTGTAAATAAAATAAATTATTTTAATTCATAACTTTGTAATGTACAATGGTTTATAAGAATTATTTTGCGAGAACTTAGCTTAGCCTTGTTCCAAGCATTACCTTATTCTAGTGAATAGAATCATTGAGCCACTAACATCCCTCTTATTTGTTGGTCCAATCATTTTTTAAATACAATATTTGTGTCTCCAGGTCCGTATGGCAGCAGGTACAGCGCTAGCCATCGCGTACGAGACGGTGACCGACGATGACGGAAGCGCGGAGTCCCTCACCGACCTGGTCGACGGCTTGCTCCCGCGACTCAGCGAACTGGCGCGCGACTCGCACAAGTTCCGCGCTAAGCGGGACCGCAAACTGCAGCGAGCCACTTTCCGAGACATTCTCAAGTATTTCGAGGTATGTTAAGGGTTTAGTTTATTAACTTTCTTGGATAGTAAAAAATCAGCGCTGCCCATGATGGACACCCGCAACCTTAAATGAGCTAAGATTGCGTTGCCGATCTTTTGGGGATTTAGTGATTGGGGAGGGGAGGAATGGGCCTTCGGTAATGTCATTCATATGGCGAAATACTACGCTGTGGTTGTTACACGCCGGTTTTCTGTAAGGCCATGGTATTACTCCGGTCGAGCCGATCCATTCGTGCCTTAGCGTAGTTCCTCTCACACTCTACGACACTCCGTTAAAGTTCTATATGTTATATACAAAGATTGGCGTTACTGAAAAAAAAAAACTTTAGACTTAATATGAAGCAGTAATGGTTCCAGAGCGAATACTTCGTTTTTTGTGAATAAATGGTTATTAAGATGTGTATATGTGGTACAGGAGGGCGAGGTGCCGAGTATGTCGGTCCGCGTGGGCGTGGAGACGGCGTCGTGGTCGTCGTGGAGCGGCGCGGCGAGCTACGGCGCGCTGGCGGCCGCGCTGGGCGGCGCGCTGCAGGCGCTGGCGCCGCGACACCTGCGTCTGCGCGCCGCGCTCGGACTCGACGACGTGCCGCCGCAACCCTTGCCGCCCACACACAAGCAGACCAAGCTCGAGCGGGTACATACTTCCTTATTTACATGTCTATGGATTCAAAATTACCTCCACGACTGGCGCGGTGACTGGGCAACTGGCTGCCACGCAACGTGTCGCGAGTTCCATTCTAGCAAGAAATAACTCTTTGTGTATATCCACAAATTATTGTTCCGGGTCTAGGTGTGATGTGTATGAGAAATTGTATATTTGTAAATGCACCCACAATACACGAAAAAATCCTAATATGGGGTAATGTTCAAAAAAATGATATCTCTTAACAATTCTTGCATGTAATCATGTAGAAAATAAATAAAAGACCTTAATGTAACCAGTTTATGATTTTCATACTCACAATAATTTTAATTTCACAGCACCTACAAAACAACGCGGCGTGCAAGGCGCGTACACTGGCACGTAAGAAGAACAGAGACAAGCGTTCCGCGGCGCTCGCCATGTGAGCATCCCGCAGTCCCGCAGCCTGCCCGCATCCCGCAGCCCGCAGCCCGCGCGGTTCATCACTCAAACATCTTTCGGTTTAGTTAGAGCTTAGTTTAACGCTAGCAATCGTCAATTGGACGCCTTACTTCGTAGTAGCACCCCCGGCGGCAGTAGAACCAGCCTCTTCAATACGTAGACTGTGTGGCCGCCGGACCATGTGTGAGGTTCGTGTTAGGTTAAAATAGGCTAGTTGTTAACCAAAGAAATTCGTATTATTTTGAAAAATACAAGTTGGAACCGTCTATTTCGAGGCATCTCGTTGATTTTAATTATATTTCTCTCTCATTACTCAGCACTGTCTCGTTCGGTCGTCCCTTAGTGTTGATGTATTTTAAAATTGATATTATTGCGATCGATGTTTTCATATCATTTTGTATAATAGAACATTTAATTCTTACTCCATGCCTTGGTGGTCTGGTGGTACTCCATTCCGAACTGATACTGCCGGCACGTAGAACTTAAATGTTGCTATTTTTTAGTTAAATATTTTACTTTAATTATACTTATGTTATATTATTGATAATTTTGTTTTTAAATTGACCGTTTGTGTGTTAATATAGATTACAATATAATTTATTAGGTTAGTATGTCACTGCATTGATTGTTTTACTGTCAATGAACATATGTATTGGTAAAATCAAGTTGTGGAGTAAGGGCGATTATATTAAAGGTTTATAAAAGGAATATTTTCTATGACTTGTGCTGTTCACATGAACATCATGTATATGTATATGTGAGTCGTATGTGTATCCGCGAGAGGATGAATGCATCACAGTGCAATTCATACGTTTATATATAAAGCTTCTCTGTAAATATTATTTTAATTAGGATTCGGTTTTGGTCCCCACGACTTGTAAGATATAGGATAAACGGAATGTTGAAATAATATTTATTATGAGAACCAAGTTTTTGTTTTATTAAAACCTTCTATACCTCAAGCACACAAACTCACCCCGCCTTTGGCACCATCACACAGAACATCAATGGCCCATGACGATCCACTGCTGGGCTACGGGACTTCTAAATTACGCCCGATTTCTGTTGTCAAAACAGGCAACGACAAGATCGAACTGCGACGCTAAGCATATTAGTGGAATAGCAAACCAACAACACACATCAACTCAGCCTTCACGTTGCTAATAGGTACCGACGACGGACAGATGTTCTGTCAAGATGCATTAGTGGCTTTACTCTCCCGTGATCACAGATGTCGTGGTGGCCCGGAGGTTAAGGAGGCTGCTTCTCATGCATGAGGGTGTGGGTTCGAAACCTGGCAATTACTGTGACTTTTCCTAGTTATATGTACTGACATACGGTGAAGGTAAATATCGCGAGGAAACCTGGACTTAATCTAACTATAAGTTTGAAATCACCAACCCGCATTGAGTAAGCGTGGTGATTAATTTTAACCTACTCCGTATGAGAAGAAGCCTTTGCTCAGCAGTGGGCACTTATAGGCTGATGATGATCACTTGAGAACATGCGATTTTGAATATGGCGCTCTACCCTGGCAGGTAGGTGCTACTTTATATCTGACTCACACAACTAACAGTATTTTTTTGTCATCATCAAATGCTTCTCCCGCCCAGTGTGAGGCGGAACTCGGAAGTGTCAGACTCTTATTGACAAAAACCGAACCGTTCCTCCTGCTCTAGGCCGAGGTCGCGATGCCTTATTGCGCTTACCCCGCTACCACGGCTAAGCATCAGCCCTGTAGGGCCTCGTGTGTGGTGGTTTATTGGGTCTTTGAGGCGCGCGCGGAACGCTACGCGCCGTACTCGGATCTGGTTCTGTTCGGGCGGCTACTCACCATCCATAGGCCCGCGGTTATGGTGGCCGGATTTCGGAGAAGGGTTACTTGGATTAGCAAGCAGAAACATAAAAACAATTGCTCGTTAACTTCCTATAAAATTGTGACTGGTCTTGATAAACTCCTTTAGGGTTTCCTTTAGCCTGTTTAGCCCAACAGAATAGGACGTGGCAGAGACGCTATGGCGGAAAAATAACTTTATTACGACGGACAAGAGACGGATATTTAGAGACGTCTCAGTGTTAATTAGGTCTAAAGTCGGAAGTGATCAACGACTTACGAGGCATTCTAAATATTAAATATGATTCCGAACGTGTTCGAATCATGAAATTTCTTCTTCGCTCCGACCACACTTGCTCCAAACCACAAAGTATAGCTTTATTAGTATATCTATAGCTATTTATTAGTATAGCTGGGCGGCGAAAAGGTTAAAAAACTGCCGTTGCTCGTATCTCCTCTGTTTCAGAACATTAACAGCCTCGGCCGGTATTAGGATACTTGGTGTCGACATATCGAGGGAAGCCTAGTTCCGCGGTCATCTCCACTACATGTAAGGCTTAGTAAGTCGCGAAGAAGCTAGATGTGCTCAATAGATCGATGCAGTATTTTACTCCGACGCATCGCCTGCTACTTTAAACGGCGCAAGTTCGGCCCCAAATGAAATACTGTGCTCATATTTGGGCGGGGGTACCCCAGTACCAGCTTCTCCCTCTAGACTGCAATCAACGACGAGCTGTCGGCATTTCGGACTGGTTGGACTCTTTGGCACCGCGTAGGGAAGTAGCCTCTGGGAGTGTTCTGAGGAATTGTTTGCATATTTATATGCGGCTATATGGGATTAAACCGATTAGGAAAGCTTTCATTCCCATCACATAGATAGTTGCCCCTGCATCATACCTGACTGCAAGAAGATACGTAGAGTTGGATCTATTTTATACAACTTCAGCACCCTCATGAGCCACACATATTTATATGGCGTAGAGTTACAGCATGTTGGCTGTGATATGACTATACCTATCGAAGAGGAATAGCTTCTCTCTCTCTACAAGACCCTTTCCTACATCCATTTTGAGAAACTGATATAGACACACATAGACTTACTACTTACGTCGGTAGACATATAATAAGGATATGAAATAAAACATCAATTTAAACACATGACTAGCTTTATTCTCAGACACATAATCATCCCAGGGTTCATACAAACGTCAGAGTCCCACGCTACAGTCATAATTATAATTATTACAACAATTAAATAATCATGTCTTATCCTAACATCGCTCCATGGGTAGTGGGGTGCACTCCTGCGCAGTCATGACTAGACAAACGTACCACAACATGAACATGAAGAAGTTCTAATCCAATGTGTCTTTAATAGAAGTATACTCGCACCAATCAGTGGATTTTGGGTCTTTTAATAATTTGATTACTTGAAAAATATTCTCCAAGTATCTACAGGAATGCAGCCCAAAGAATTCGTTGCACAATTTTAAACATCTGATAATAGAACAAATCAATAGACCCTTATCTAACTCGGTATAAAATGTTAAGCTCATGTGTCAGACTAACTACTGTAGCTAAACATTTTAACTTTCAATTGACAATTTTGAAAAATAATACTCCTCATATTGTCCAAGTAAGTCTTAACTCTGACGTAGATAATGAAAATCAATTCAATTTGCGAATATTAATCCTAGATTCTCCATATGAATGCTCATGTAAAAGTTAACTAACTAACAGTAGATATGTGGGTAATTTGTATGGGAATGCTATTCAATAGAGTTATTCAACAAGTACTTTAGCTACAGTCCGCCTGTATAATCAAGACACTCATTACAGATATCTTAACTCTAACGATTACATAAATGGTCTTCATTAAGTACAAACATTTACTTGTGAACACAACTCGAGGGTTTGGACCAAATATGGCGCCGGCTCGAGTGGTCTTCACAGCGACAATATACATCGACTAACTTTAATGTGCAATTCCGCGATATACATAATGCAAAAATATGAATCAACATTTTCGATAATAAACGACTAAAATAACTTTAAACATTTTCGTGGAAATACTTTACTAACCGACGAAGGCATTTTGATGATTGTTTATGTCTACTTTATAATTTTTAAAATAAACTATTTCTTTTAATTTTAAGATATTCAGGCACTGGAGTGGCGGCCGGGGCTTCTACAGACGTGATGGCCGGCCGGCGCGGTACTATTGTCACTCGATCGTTAAATATACTCCTCTCAGCTAAGAAACACTTTGAATGGACAGCTCCACGTAGTTACTCACTAAATCGAAAGGAATCACAACATCTCGTTATATTTATTTGCTGTGCAACACAACCTATTAGCGCATAAGTATACCAAATAACGTAGCAATCGGAGGTATGTATCGTAAGGCAACCTTGAAGGCAGTCAACATGTGAATTCAACATTTATTGATTTATAAAATGTTACAAAATATACCTAATCAGGTAAGTGAAGCTGGAAACTTGTCGTAAAATATTGTCTTCTATTTATAGATTTTACGTGGCGTGAGCTAAATATACTGGCTTAGGAAACCGTTTACAAATGAATTACTAAGTATGATAGAACTCTCATATTACAGCTGTAGTAAATACAATTAAACTACAAACACGACAAATCTATTGTCTACTAAGAAATCCTGATTGATAAAGTTATCCTATGAAATTGCAACGTACTTTGGTAATACCGAAATATAGTGTCAATATATCTAAGTACTTAAACATACTTATATTTAACCAACATCCACTAACGTAAACTTAGTGACTTAGGCCTTAAGTAAGGTAACATTTATAGAATTTTCATTCAAATCTTGCAAATGGATCTGATGGACAGATATAAGATACTTTGCAAGGGGACTCGATGAATGGGCAATTTACTAACACAAACATTTTAAAAATAAATGCGATTTTTGACAAATTTCGAAAAAAGTCCGTGTCATTTGGGCTTTATTAAATGAGCAAGTTCATGCTTAACACTCTTTGGTACACTTAATTAAACATTATTTATATGACTTAATATAAGAACTTAAAACATCTCTAAATATATACATACACGCTTCTTTCGATATTTTTTTTACTCTGGCAATGTAAAAGCTTTGGTTCATGGTTGACCAACATTCTTACTACTAAGTTTAAATAGTTTTTAGTATATTACATAATTCTATGAAAGGAACTAAGGATATTTAAAGTGAACATAGAATTATCATTAATTACTAAGTTTAATTACAATGAAAAGATGATGACTAAGATTTAACCAAGTAAATGATTTCATAGACTTTGTAAAGAAAAAAAAATTTTTATGACTTATAGTTATGGAAATATATTAGAACTTTATACATCCCCTTCCTCATTTCTCCGCACACTACTCAATTTATTTACACAGATAATTTTAACAATTCATCAGCAAATAATATTGCCAGTCCGAAAAAATACAAATATTTTAATAAAAGAGCCTGCTTTTAAGAAATAAGTAGTTTCTCGATTTTTACGAAAAAATGCGTACCTTTATTATACGAATATTCGATAATTTTCTATAAAATTCCCATCCCATATATTTGACATGAAATGTGCATGAAAGAACTAAGTTTGTGCCTGGACAATATCCTACAAGTAATAGATATAATATTAATATTTACATCAATAAAATACATGTTACTTTGAAACATCATGTTCTAGGACCTTATATGTATGTTCACAATCAGTCCCTATGTACGTTGAAATAATTGGAACCAACATCCAAGTTACAAATAAAATTTAGCTGCTATTTACTTCAGACATACCTAGTACATTTTTATTAATTACCTATATACACCGTACACCCATATCAATTTCCTAGATTGTTTAAGAAATAGCGTATTTTAAAATTAATCACGAATTTTCTTTTTACTAGAAATTTCAATTGAAATGTTTTTAAGAATGTTGTAACATTCACAGTATTTGAAACAATAGTAACTTTAATAAAATAAGTTACTAGGTTTATTCAACTTCTTACAAATATAAATTTAATTGCACTATAAAGGCAAAACCGGTTATTAGTTGAGTCTTTAGTAAATTTCGAGAAATATTTAACCAGGCCGGTTGCAAAAAATGCATCAACATGTATAATGTCAAGATTTTGAAGTGTCAACAAGCATCATGGTTGTCCACTTAAACATTTAAAAATTATCTACTGATAGATAGATACGTTGTTTAAATACAGTTCACTATTATTCAATACAAAAAGGTCACGAAGTGTCAAGTATTCTCGATTAAATAGGTTTATAAATATTTACTTTTAATTATTATTTTACAAACTGGCTGAATAGACAGACGTTGGACCTATCTCCAAAAAACCTCTTTCGAATTTCAAATGTTATTTAAAAATCGAAGAATAGTGTTTAAGTATTTTGTATACTTAATAGAAAAAGGCCTAACTCAAAAATGAAGGTATTCGAATCTTTTATATATGTTTCAATAATAAGGTTCAATTTTGAAGTACCCTCTTTTATGAGTTAGTTCTGTTTTCTATTAAACATGGGATTGTTTATATACAAATATTCATAACACCCTCAGCTTACTTGGTTCCATACATTGTATTATTCCTAACATTTTCCTTGATGACTGCTTATTTATAGCAATCATACATACAATAAATTACTAATTAAAAGATCATCTCTTCAAAACATAAAGTGAAAATGTCTTAGAAAAACGAGAGACACGTGTAAACCACTTTTTTAGCTTTACCAAAAAGCTGTTACGCCACGCAACATATTATAATGGGAGAAATTGATTTCTAAAATATAAATACATATTGTAATCCAATAAGGTCTATATTTCTATTACCTTATTCAGAATGTCGTGTGTCTCTCGTTCAGTATATACGTAGTGTATCTTACTCAGCTGCCATCTTTTGTTTCTTGATCTCGGGAGGTTCGTCGTCCTCCTCCTCATCGTCGTCCCACTCCCAGTCCTGCTCGTCATCCTCAGGGTCAGCGCGAGGCGGTTCCTCTGGTACATCTTCTTCCTCTGGTTGTTCCTAGAAATTGATAACGTATATTTTTATTTTTTATTGTTTTATTGGGGTTTTTTTGTGAGGGGGAAAATCATCAAATGACTACTCCCGCCCTGGGTTTGACTGCACGGTTGGCGCGGGTTAGATTCCCGCACGGAACGACACTTTGTGTGATCTACAAATTGGTCTGAGTGTGATGTGTAACTGAATTTGTATGTTTGTAAATGCACCTACGATACCGAAAAAAACCATAGTGTGTAGCAATATTAAAAAATATGCGTGCGGCGAAAGGGAGTGTCAGACTCTTACTGACTAAAAACCCTTCTCCTGTTCATTTTATTGTTTCTAGGCCGAGGCTGCGATGCCTTCTTGCGCTTGCGCTTGCCCAGCAATTCCGGCTAAAATGTGTAGAAAAATATAGTAAGTCGAGTGTAAGTAGAGTATACATACGAACGCGCGCTGCATGACGGCGATGGGCGGCGCGTTGTGGTGCGCGGCGACGCGGCGCTCGATGAGGTACGACACGTACTCGTCGTACAGCAAGCGGATCAGGTGGAACGACCCGAACGATGCCGCGGACCTGACGTACATGCGCCATACAATCAATATTGTTGCTATTACATAGTATAAAACAAACTCGCTATCTCTGTCCTTATACCCCTTTAGTATATGGTTATTTTTAAAACTATGCAACGAATTTTGATGCGTTTTTTAATAGATAGATTGATTAAAGATTATGTATTAAAACATCCATTAAATAGTGGAGAAATTTAGTATCATCATTGCATCCGTCTGAAGTTGTCGGGTCGCTAGTACCTCAAAAAGCAAGGACATAAGAAAGTATTAAGAAATTGAAAATATACATAGAAAATCATTTGTATTTTAGTTTCATGTCAAATTGGCACGGTGAACATTTGGTTTAACAATGTTCTTCCATCTTTTGCAGTTAAAATCATTGCCCTTTGACCTTTACCTAGGTTAGCAACCAGTCAAGTTCCCTCATCAAATATTAAAGTAATTAAGAAATCAAAGTATAATGTATAAAACGTAGAAAAGTTTATGTTAAACATTTATAAGGTATGTTCTCCTATTGTGACTGAATGAAATTACTAATCTCATCCGCTTGATTATAGACTAAAAAGAAAAATAAACATGTCATGAAAAAAATATCAATTCTATCAAGAATATGAGCTTTATAGATGTTAGTTTATGGTAGATGAGAGTCCAGCCGTGGCCGGGTACCTGAGCGTGAGTTCCCGTATGACAAGCGAGGAGTAGAAGGACCAGTCCAACAACAGGCGGCGGGCGCGCGCTGTGTAGTCGGGGCGACGCTCGTGGGGAGCCAGCGCGGCCAGCACGCAGCCCTCCAGCCACGCCGCCCACTGCTCCAGCGACGCGCCGCGACCCAACGTCGCCTGCACACACCACACTACATCACACCCATTCACCGACATATCACAATCCTCAGCCAGCGCGGCCAGCACGCAGCCCTCCAGCCACGCCGCCCACTGCTCCAGCGACGCGCCGCGACCCAACGTCGCCTGCACACACCACACTACATCACACCCATTCACCGACATATCACAATCCTCAGCCAGCGCGGCCAGCACGCAGCCCTCCAGCCACGCCGCCCACTGCTCCAGCGACGCGCCGCGACCCAACGTCGCCTGCACACACCACACTACATCACACCCATTCACCGACATATCACAATCCTCAGCCAGCGCGGCCAGCACGCAGCCCTCCAGCCACGCCGCCCACTGCTCCAGCGACGCGCCGCGACCCAACGTCGCCTGCACACACCACACTACATCACACCCATTCACCGACATATCACAATCCTCAGCCAGCGCGGCCAGCACGCAGCCCTCCAGCCACGCCGCCCACTGCTCCAGCGACGCGCCGCGACCCAACGTCGCCTGCACACACCACACTACATCACACCCATTCACCGACATATCACAATCCTCAGCCAGCGCGGCCAGCACGCAGCCCTCCAGCCACGCCGCCCACTGCTCCAGCGACGCGCCGCGACCCAACGTCGCCTGCACACACCACACTACATCACACCCATTCACCGACATATCACAATCCTCAGCCAGCGCGGCCAGCACGCAGCCCTCCAGCCACGCCGCCCACTGCTCCAGCGACGCGCCGCGACCCAACGTCGCCTGCACACACCACACTACATCACACCCATTCACCGACATATCACAATCCTCAGTATTTCTCTGGTATTATTCATGAGTAGCGTGCATCGGCAAAATATATCAAGTATACAAATAAATGTGTTACCTTGAAGTCGGCCTCGAGTTTGTGCGCCGTGGCAGCACTACCGCAGGAGCACGCCCAGGCGGCCTGCTCGCGGACCACGCGGAAGTCCACGCGGTTCAAGTCCGCTAGCATCTAACGGAACAAAATTGCACATAGTACACTCTATTTTTAAACTAAGACCGATATAATTATGTAGATTAGATATATAAAGTTTTAAGAGATAAATCCAAGTCCGAAAATGTTTTTATTAGGATATAACATGTGGTGGTAAAATGTAGAGTACATTTTTTTTTGATTACGCGTCAGAATATTACTGACTAAACCCAAGGTCAAAAGAGGTTAAATTCCTAATTAAAATTTAGTCGATGATATTGTAACTATTGTAAGGCGCGGGCGCGCGGCCTGCGCGAGATGGTTGAGCGAGGTGTAGGTGTGGTGGGTACCTGGTGTATCTGGTGGTGGTTGTTGAGCACGGCGCGCGCGGCCTGCGCGAGATGGTTGAGCGAGGTGTAGGTGTGGTGGGTACCTGGTGTATCTGGTGGTGGTTGTTGAGCACGGCGCGCGCGGCCTGCGCGAGATGGTTGAGCGAGGTGTAGGTGTGGTGGGTACCTGGTGTATCTGGTGGTGGTTGTTGAGCACGGCGCGCGCGGCCTGCGCGAGATGGTTGAGCGAGGTGTAGGTGTGGTGGGTACCTGGTGTATCTGGTGGTGGTTGTTGAGCACGGCGCGCGCGGCCTGCGCGAGATGGTTGAGCGAGGTGTAGGTGTGGTGGGTACCTGGTGTATCTGGTGGTGGTTGTTGAGCACGGCGCGCGCGGCCTGCGCGAGATGGTTGAGCGAGGTGTAGGTGTGGTGGGTACCTGGTGTATCTGGTGGTGGTTGTTGAGCACGGCGCGCGCGGCCTGCGCGAGATGGTTGAGCGAGGTGTAGGTGTGGTGGGTACCTGGTGTATCTGGTGGTGGTTGTTGAGCACGGCGCGCGCGGCCTGCGCGAGATGGTTGAGCGAGGTGTAGGTGTGGTGGGTACCTGGTGTATCTGGTGGTGGTTGTTGAGCACGGCGCGCGCGGCCTGCGCGAGATGGTTGAGCGAGGTGTAGGTGTGGTGGGTACCTGGTGTATCTGGTGGTGGTTGTTGAGCACGGCGCGCGCGGCCTGCGCGAGATGGTTGAGCGAGGTGTAGGTGTGGTGGGTACCTGGTGTATCTGGTGGTGGTTGTTGAGCACGGCGCGCGCGGCCTGCGCGAGATGGTTGAGCGAGGTGTAGGTGTGGTGGGTACCTGGTGTATCTGGTGGTGGTTGTTGAGCACGGCGCGCGCGGCCTGCGCGAGATGGTTGAGCGAGGTGTAGGTGTGGTGGGTACCTGGTGTATCTGGTGGTGGTTGTTGAGCACGGCGCGCGCGGCCTGCGCGAGATGGTTGAGCGAGGTGTAGGTGTGGTGGGTACCTGGTGTATCTGGTGGTGGTTGTTGAGCACGGCGCGCGCGGCCTGCGCGAGATGGTTGAGCGAGGTGTAGGTGTGGTGGGTACCTGGTGTATCTGGTGGTGGTTGTTGAGCACGGCGCGCGCGGCCTGCGCGAGATGGTTGAGCGAGGTGTAGGTGTGGTGGGTACCTGGTGTATCTGGTGGTGGTTGTTGAGCACGGCGCGCGCGGCCTGCGCGAGATGGTTGAGCGAGGTGTATCGTCGCAGTGCGGCGGCCAGCGCGGCGGCGGCGGCTGCCTGGGCCCGCGCGGCGGCTGCCGGCGCGCCTCCCGCGCCCAGCGCCAGCGCGCCTTCTAAACTCTTCGCGAAGTTGCGGATAGCCTACGATCATTCAACACAAACTTATTATTTACTTCTTTTACACTGTTAAAAACATAACACTCCTATAACAATAATGTAGCGACATCTATCGCACGTAATGCAGCAACATTATAGCAATCCTAAGTACGTATATCAGCAGCTACCTGCGTGAGTTGTGGCGGGATGGGTCGCAGTACGTCGGGCAGCAGCAGGTCGACGGCGCGCTGGTAGAGCTGCAGGTCGGCGGCGCGCAGCCAGCCCGCCACGTCGCGGCGCGCGCCCAGCCGCCACAGCGCGCGCCTGCACAGCGTGTCCCCCCCGCCGCCGCCGCCGCCCCGCCGCCAGAAGGCGCGGCGCGCGCGCTCCACGGCGCCGGTGTCCAGCGCCGCCACCGCCTCCAGCAGCTCCGCGCCGTGCTCTCTGGACACGCCACAACACATCTTACATAAACCAAACCACCAGACGGATCACCCAATAGTAAAGCAAATGATCAGCGCCGCCGCTGAATAGTCACAAACGCGTTGCCAGCCTTTTAAGAAAGACTTAAAAGGCTGGACACACGTTTCTTGTAGTTGTGAAGGTCGTAATTTCGCGAAAATCGCACAGTTGTTGTTTGCCAACCTATCTATGAATTCTATGATTATACATTTACATTCCACTCCCCATACCACACGTTTTTCACCGTACGCTTTTCAGGCAAATTGGACTAGCTCGATCCAAATTGAATTATTGCAATTAATCGTTCCAAATGGCCTGTTAAAAGACTAGCAGACTTTATCAATGGTATCTTTGCACTCGACGGTATCTTTGCACTGACAAAAAAGTTATGTCTAAAAATCTTTTCAGTGGTTACCAAGCAACAGAAACAGTTCTCAAAAAAAAAAAAAAAAAAAAAAATCTAAAAACAACGCGATCCTTCTCCTGCTCGAGCCAAGCCAAGGTGAAATTATATTACCCGCAGCAGACTGGAGAAAAAATAGTCATGAGCATGTTTATGATTAGTCATATCCTCTGCAACGAAACTCACCTATGATGCCTCCTCAGCGCATTCAAGGCTTCAGGCGACACGTCTTCAGGCAGCGGGTGTATGTTGAGCGGCGGAGGTTCGGGCGGCGACACGGTGCCCATGTACTGGCGGTGAGCGTGCCCGGGACTGCTCGTAGAGTCCCTGGACCGATCGCGGGACCTGCCCTCCTGTATTATGTAACAGAACCGATGGTCACTTGGGTAGATGTTATATAATTGTATGGCATATACATATCAAAAGCCATTGCTATCAATGTACTTTCATATTATATATCTATTATTATTGTAGTGACGGGCTTGTGCTGAAAATTAGCACCACCACTCGAGTTATTGCTCTCGGGTCTTACTGCACACTTTTCATTTAAGTTGTACCTCTTTTTTTTACGGTGCAAATAAATATTTTTTCTTTCTTTCTATATATGAAAACACTTGTAAATAAGGTAATAACTGTTATGATGGGTGAGTTTTACAAACTTTGATACTGAGAATCAAAGGTAAAACTGACCGGTAGGACATAATAATGTGTACTTTTCACTTACCGTAAGTACTTTCCGTATTGATAAAGCTAAGCATTCACTTGTTACAGACAAAATATTCAAGAAATATTATCAAATTCTTTCTTTAGCTAGATTATTTTATATTTTATCCCCTGATGCAAAAACGCTCATTATTTTTGTGTAATTTAGATAATATTTCTCATTGCAAGTGAATGCGAAATTAAATCCACATAACTAATTATCTTCTAGAAAACGTCGATGAATTTAGAATATTGTCGTCAATATTACTTAAATTACAAATATTTATAATGCAAGAAGTTATAGCGAGACAAGTTTCGCAGAAAAACCAATAATTTAGTCTAACTATAAAAGATCGGGAAAACATAACGATTACCCTGAAACTGGAGCACACAAACACAATTATGATTAATTCAATTATGCGGTTAGACTTCTGAAGGGATATTTTATACAAAATAAATACCACTACTAACAGTCAAAAACTCGAACAAAACTCACCTGATGATCGAGCACGTCAGTTTTATCGTCGACATTATCATGTTGGTCACTGATTTCATCCCGGGGCTCGATGGGCTCATGTTCCACGCCGGGTTTTGCTCGGATCCCATAGTAGTGGTACTTGGAGTTTCCTCTAGTACCTAGTCTTCGAGTGCGTAAGCCTAAGAAGACTGATCTAATGAGTTTGCCGAAGGAGGCCGCGTTGACTGGTTCAAGGCGATGCGTGGCGCAGTGCCGGAGGTAATGCGCGTACAATGTTGACCGGGGCAGCGACACACCTACGCAAGTGGGGAACTTCTTATCTAAGGAAAGAACTTTTGATTGTCTAATACACACAGTTTTTTGTGCTGTAAAAAACCTGATTTGTCTAATAATCATTTAACCTTTAGCTGGATCGGCATTATAAGTCTCGTTTACGAAACACTAGATTATACTTGACAATATTTATACGAATATGTCTTAGAAAAATTAAGTATTAAAATGCTTCAAAATAACGATTATAATAAGGTAAAGAGTCTCACCGTCGGCGGTCTCGTAGTGGTCGAGCAGCCACTGCACGGTGGCGGGAGGCATCCGTGGGGGTTGCGGGGCGCCGCCCCCTGGCGTCGCGGGGGACGCTGGCGCCTCCGCCTCGTCGCCTGCCACCTATATCCATACACGCTTTACTATATCGTACTATACCCATCTCATTTCCACAACCAAATCATGGATGTTGAAGTTCCGCAACCATAACTTGTCGTATCAGACATCCGAAACAAAAATCTCTCAAATGTACATCACCGAATCCGATGTAATTTTCTTTATATAGGGATGAATACAAATTGATACTAACTTTGAATCTCCCGACAGATAAATCATCCACCATCACTTTTTATGTGTGGAGGCTTGTAATTAGCAACGTGATAATATTTGAATCATATAATTTGTCTATTAGTCTATAAGCCTTCTTTAAAATGTAAAAAATAATGTTATATAAAACAATCTTTTCAAAGAAAAACTGTTCTTCAGGAAAAAAATTAAACAAATTTTCCCATTTTTAACATTTCCCTGAATAGAATAATAAAGTCCACATGGCAGCAGTACATAATATCAACATATCATAAATTAAAAACCGAATTCCTTCTTTTTTTTTCAACAAAAAAATTACGACGGCGACGGGGTTGTACAACACAGGTTACGATACCCACTTAAATGTATTTTTAGCCTCGGCAGAAAATGTTATTCTAATGATAACTTCATAACGAGTGAAGGGTGGGAGGAGCTCAAGGATGTTTTTATTATTAGAACACGTTCGATTTATGAAAAATTATTTTTTCTTACATTGGCAAATTTACGTTAGAAAGAACATGGAAAAAAACATAATTTAGTACGTAATTATATTGAACTAGCGGCCCGCCCCCTCTTCGCACGGGTCCAACTATTTCTCTATCAAAGGGTCACTTTTTCCTAATCTTCCCCTCTACTTTTCTTATATTTTCTTTGATAAGAACCTTCTCCTGACAATAACAAACACAACAAAATAAAAATTAGCAAAATTGGTCTAGGCGTTGTTGAGTTATGCGCTTGCCAACACATTTTGCGATCCATTTTTATATATAAAGATATAGTAAAAACGTGGTGGCCTACGAATCTAATTACTAGATAAACGCATGGGTGTCTCATGCATCAGAGAGCGGATACTAAAACTTTCAAGCACCGTTGTGACTATTTCAGCGTTATATAATGTACTTTCTAAATATTTAGACAACACTGACAAACGGTTGAGGGAAACATCGTTAGGCAACCTGAATTTATCTAATTATAAGTTAAAAATCACCAATCCGCCTTGAGCAAACGTGATGATTGTTGCTCAAACCATTTCCGCGGAAACCCAACGACAAACAAAAACACAACAAAGTTTCCAATTTTTAAAAACAAATTTATCTTTGTCTCTTAATTATTATACTTAAATTCGTATCGTCTGCCACAATCTAAAATGACAAGAAAATGAGCAGTCAGATGAATTCTATATTAACTGAAATATTCTGCAAATATCGATCCCCTTAAGAAAAACGCTAAACATTTTGTAACGTTAACCAACATTATTTCAGTTTGTATTGTCACATTTTCCGCCCTTTGAACAATTACACCTGAACGTAATAAAGTAAAAACCAAAAACAATACAATGAAGATGAAAACTTTTCTTTAACAACACATTTCGGCTTCTCTTGTTTTTAAATTGAACTTTCTTTTGACGAAGTTCAGGGGCAAACAGTTCGTAACATAACAAAATGAAATTTTGTGTAGTGTTATATAAGTTTAATAACAGCCTGGGGGTGGCTCAACTTGAATTCGTTGTCGGATGTTAATTATGTATCATCTTCGTGTTTGTAATAGGTAGTTGTTATTGGCAAAAACTCCTAATCCCTATCTTACTTCTTATTAATATTATTAATGCGAAAGTTACGATGATGTATGGATGTTTGTTACTCAATCACGCCAAAAAGGCTGGACGGATCTGGAGGGAACTTTGCACAGGCATAGGATACACTCCGGAATAGGACATAGGCTACTTTTTATCAACATACCACGTGGGCGAAGTCGCGGTAGGAAGCTAGTATAGAATAAAACAAAGTCGCTTTCTCTGTCCCTATATCCCTTTGGTGTTTATCTTTAAAACTACAGAATGGTTTTGATGCGGTTTTAGAGTGTTTGAAAAGGAAGTTTTATATAAATAATAACATCCATTAAATAGTGAAGAAATTTAGTATCAGCATTTTACAAATGAGAAGCCGGGGAAGGGTCGCTAGTATCTTAAATATATAAGAAAAGGCATCAGAGTGTTTTTATGTATTAAAGAATAGTATAAGAAATAGGCATTAATAGACCGATTTTAAGACTGTTTCTTTTCATTAAATTACATTACTCACTAAGCAAATGGTTTTTCAGGACAATCCTATGATCGCCTTTAAACTTTAAAAAAAGCAACTGTAGTATGTCAATAAGACAACACAAAGGACATTTAATTTTGTGTTTTATGAAGGGCTTGAAAAGGTTTAAGTAAGTGAGATATACTCACCACAACGCCATAGGCAGTGTACTCGGCGGAGGAGGCTCCTCCCCATCCGTTGTCAGTAGAAGTACCTTCAGCACTGGTACCATTGCCGACCGTCGTCACGCCGTACACAGGGTACGAGCGTAGGGGATCCCTGGCAATACATACAATATCATCAACAACAATATACAGGGTTTCCGGTAAGAATGGATAACCCTGAAATGGCTTTTAGTATAGGGGCACCGTAAGAATTCAGACAGGATCATAAGATCCTGTCCCGCAGCGGTTAAGCACCCACATCTCGTACCTGAGGTTACGCGGGCGAAATCAGGCAAGTACCAATGTGATATTTTCCGACGTACTTTCTAAGATTATTTCGACACCACTTACAAACGGTGAAGGAAACATGGTCTATTTCTAGTATTAAATTTTAACATCGCCAATCCGTCTTGAACAATCTTTCTCCGTGTGAAAAGAGGAATTTGCTTAGCACTATATATAAGATCCTGAGAAGGCCGACTAGAAGAGAGGCCGGCCGATCTTCAAAAAACGATGACGTCGCTTAACACCATGATGGGCTCTCGTCTCTTGAATGCATTCACCAACAAATTCTTATAAACACAACGCACCTAACTCCAAACTAGAGCTAGTGGTGAACCGCGAGAGCAACTTATCGTGCATTCAGTGTTTATGCACAGAATATGGTGTTAAGCTGCAACCAGACAATGTACGGACAATAGAACTCATTTTTTTTTTGTCCTGGAGAACTGATCACTTTGTAATCAATAGATCCAAAGATCCAAGACAGTTTATGTTCTTCAGAGGCAGCGATCTCAGTTGGTACTTTTTTGATTGATCGCCAGCCGCTATTACAGTATCTTTAGGTTCGGGAGTTGGAAACTGAATTGCTCGCTGCTATTGTATAAAAATCAATTTCGAAGTCCTCAATTTCGACTTCAGAATCCCGATTTTTCATGAGTTCACTGAATTTCGCATTTGCGTTATATCAATTAAGCACAATACATTTGACTTATTAATTTAAAATGAAAATCATTCTAGTGGTTTATACAGTAAAAAAACAAGATTAAGTTTTAAAAGAAATATTGTAGCATTAATTCATTATAATGTTACATTAAAGTGGACTTTTGGAAGGAAAATAATATAGGTAAAAAAACCATTAGCTCACATATGCGTTGGATGTCCTTGTGTGTAGATCTCCTGCGGCTCGGTGACATATTGCACGTGATAGTTAACACCATTTCCCCCCTCACCTGCGGATAAATTAACAAACACTTAACAAAACAAAGGAAACTTAACCTTGAAGTGTTACCCTTAAAGCTCGGATTAGTAGTGAGAGTTAGAAAGCTGCATGAAAACCCGGCACAATATTTATACTCAATTTCATTTGGGAAGGTGACTGAGGATTTTTGTATTTTTTAAAGTACTAGGATAAATTGTGATAAAACTGCACTAAAATATCGATTTAATTACATAACGATAAAGCCCACATATAACGTAACTGGTACATAATTTTTAATGATTTTATAATCACTACAACTCCATTAACTTTAAAGCTAAATGCCACAGTCACCTTTCCAAATGAAATCGAGTGTTGGAGCTGTTAATTTAACCCGTTTGCGGTGACGAGCACGCTCCAAGTAGGCAGCACAAAGACTAAGGAGGTTTGACTCACAGGGGTAATACGAGCGGTATCGAGGCACCTCCATACTCCTAGAGATCTCCCAGGCAACTCGCCGGTAGACCTACACTTCCCAGAACAACATCCCGATTACCAACCTCCTTGCTTTATCTCCCTCTCTAACTTATACGCGTGTCCCCTTCACACCCCACCCCACCTGTTATAAACGTTGTAATATAGACGTAAGCGATATAATTGTGATTTCCCTTTTAACTTGTGTTTGTAGTGATGAGACAATGTTTGGCCGCCGAAGCCGATGAAGGTTACGTTCCGTACAATTGTTATTTATCGAAGAGCTAGCTACATATGAATGAGGTCTTATATGAACTTAATTTTCATGAATGCTTCTATCGTTCATTTGTGTTCAACATTGTAGACTTATTCAAGTCCAAGTTCTTACTTGTTAACAAACAAAATGGTTGAGTAACCTTAAGATTACTAAAATGGCCATTATGATGGTTTAGTACAATAAATTTCTTTTATTAAAAACCATAAAACAATATTCAGCTGAGTCATTATAAGTTAAATCACAAAACACATAACAGAATTAGCACAAAGAATTTAAAAGTAATGTGTAATATACACATTACTTTATATGTATGTTACATACTTTTAAAATGAACTAAACAACTTCCATGTTTTCAATGCCAAATAATAAAAAAAAAATCTTCAAAACCTAATAAAAATTCGCAGACGATGATCACAAAAACCTACTAGACAGACTCAACAACATTCATAAATCCAAGGCAATATAGCAAATAAAATCATGTAGAAGCCCTCTTGGATCTCTTTGAGCAGACATGTACTGTACATGGGTATAAAAAATTATATAAAAGTGGAGTAAATAATGTTCCGAGCTACCGGCGCAGGGGGGCGGCGCGTGGCAGGCGTCACGTCAAAGGTAACCAGCAGGTGGACAATAATGAATGAAGGATCATCCCCTTGTAATGCATGCACCCATTGATAATCATCACTCAGGTGGATAATCCTCGGGGGCATCGCAATTACGCTTTGTTATCAACTTTTAAGGGTATCATGTGCAATTTGTAGGATGTAATAAATTAATATTGATTGTAACTTGATCCGCTGCACGCGCAGCCCGTAGTGCTTGTTTCATGCGAAATCATACGACGTTCTTTGATTTGGTGTTGCGAAAAGGGTGTTGAGGTGGATTTTACCTTTTTTTATACAGGTTGTTATTTTGAACAAGGAGATTTGATTCAAGGAGCCAATTTTGGCGCTCAATTACAACAACTTTTTTCATTGCAAGAAAAATAAAATCTCAAAAATAAATTTATTTCCCCCTTAAAAGTCGCAAATTGGTTGATCATTTTGCATGGATAAGTAATTTTTTTTTTTTAATTTCAATATTGTTCTATTGGAAAATGTTTTATTTGAGGATCACCAGAATAGAGTCTCGTTAAAAATAACATCTTATATAGATTTATTTTTAGTTAATATTACCTATTGTTTGTGACATTTTTGTCAAAATTCAACACACACACTATTATTATCAGACTACGTTACCGTATATTAAAACAAATCCTTTATTTATTAACCTTTCAACCATTGTAATTCGAGACACAATAGGTGTGCAAACGCCGGCGTTCGCTTGGGGTTTGAAGAATTAACAAACAGATAAGACAAAAACATTTAATCAATTTAATGAAAAAATCGCTTGATCAGAATATGTTCATCCTTACCAGCAACTACCCTAACCAATTATAACAAAACTTCATTATTATCTACTAGTAACCCATAACCCAAGGCAATAAGGTTTATATTCCCTTAATTTTTTTAACAAATGGGGTGTATTTAATAGGGCATCAATCCTGACAGGTGAGAGATAATCAGGTATTATGACGTGAGGGTGAATCTCAGTAGTTTTGTCCATCAAAGGTTTCAATGCACAAAGAGTTTTGTTGTTTGACAAACTTTGGCAAGTGAAGTGGAAACTCAAAGAGGTGGAGATTTATTTATGTGAGATGCAACTTGGTCATAGAAACTTTTTTTTATAGGGGCCAATATAATATGGCCTTCCGTTATTCCAAACTGTAATCTTTCTCTGTTCCAATTTTGATCAAAATTCATTTAGTAGTTTGAAGACAAAGGAGGAACAAACATCCAGGCAAAGTTTTATAACATTACTAGCATGGTATTTAATCAGCGCCATCTGTGGACATTCACTAAACTAAAGAACACAAAACCATTCCTGGTCTTACAAAAAGGAGGTATTTTAGTATTTTCTGCACGTCAGTCTTTTCTTGAAAGATTTAAATTCATATCTATCTATTGATCCGTGAGTTAGGAGATGAACGTTTTTAATGTAAATGTGTTCATAGTGGTTTATTAGCAAATAAATGCTATATAAGTTATTTCAAACTTACCGAAATATTGACTGAAGATTCTTTTTCATTGTTATTAAACCATATAGGTACCATTGTTACTTATTAGTACGAACGTGCCAAACAGTGAATGATGAGTAAAATGGATATACACATGAAATTTATAGTGATTGATGTTTTAAAAAATCTTCCCAATGAAAACAACTCAATAAATAAAATAATTAAATTAGATTACAGGCAAAAATTCTCAGTATTAACGTATACGTATTTCAATTAGTTTGAAATCTTATTAGTTGCTCGACCGCGGACTGTTAGAAACAACCTTGACCAAGTTCCCAATAGTTAGTTGAAGCAGACCAAACCTGAAGTGTGGTGAAATGATATTTCTGTACGAAAAATAAAAAGCTTATACAGTACTCAAATGCAACTCAACTTCTAGTGGTTAATAGTTAATAATTATTATTTTTATGCACATTAAATTTTATTGTTAGTAGGTACAAGACTTTTTAAATCAGCTGGTCAGTGGAGACTTACAAATAAGATATTCAATCGATTGTTGTACATGTACAGACAGATTTTTTTTTATGAATGATCATAACATTCTAAATACCTTTACTTTGTATCTTTACTTTGTATAATTTTTACTCTGATATCGTTAACCTCCAGAATGGTAGTACGGACAGTATACCTAGTGAAGGTCGCTCTGAGTTCCCCAAACGGCCGATTTCGAAGTTATTAGGGAAGCCTTAGATCAAGCTGTCTTGTGACTTGTATACCCAATGATGACTTATCAGAGAAATACTATTTTATTGAGTTGCATTCTAGTGTTAAAAGCAAACCGAATCAAAATAAAAAACTTGCTTTCTTGGTCACTGTGGTCTTCTTTCTTCACAAGGAAATGCTGTTGATTCCATGCGCCTTGCACTGCACGTTGCACACAACATAAATAAATACATACGTACTTATATAAAATGTGCAACAAAAACAAAATATTATTATGTGCAAACATATAATATAATAGTCATGCTCAATTTAATATTCTATTTACAACACTGCGGTAAAAACAAAGTGCCAAAAAACTTGCTAGGTAACTAACTTTAAAAAAATATCTACACATCTACAAGTAGGTAATTCTACCAATCATACAAATGCAAAAACACAAAAGGTTCTTTTTTGAAGCCATTCGAAATCTATATATAAATCAAATTAGAATTCATATTCATCATCATTATCACTATATTACTGTAACTTACTCAAACTTTGGAATCAAAAAGATCCAATTTTTTCCGAAGATGCAAAATATTATTATGATTTTCAAACCAATGCACTTCAAGGCTGTAGCGTCGGAAGACCGTGGTTCAACGGCCACTGGTGTGAGAAGGCTACTAACAGATTCTTGGGTGAAAAAACACTCTGTACAAATACTAGGTCTTAATATAGTACTCACATTCGCTAGACACCGTGATGTAGGTGTGCTGGCCGTCAGTTGTGGGGCTGGAGTGACCAGAACTGTCGCCATTCACCTCAACCACCGTACTCGATACCTGAGGACCGACAGCCAACTTCCATCAGTAGTAGTAAGTAGAAGGCATACCTTCTAAGCACTTCAATTTGGGGAAGCCATAATGGTTTCCCGATTAGCGATTTCGATAAGACGCCCATACTGCTTCAAGCTGATCATGGCCAGCAAGGTTTAGTAATAGAAATAGATTTTATGGAACAGGCCAGCAAAGGATCTGGCATCACCAAATACATTGCCGATCTTTTTGGGAGATTTGAGGATGGGGATCCTCAAATCCTCCGGTAACCTCACTCTAATGTCGCAATTGTTTTTACTTTCCGGCCGTGTTATCACTCTGGTCAATCCGGGACATTCGAGCCGAAGCATGGCTCTTTATTAATACTTAAACGTAGTTCGGAGGGTCTACTTACTTCATTCTTAGATGCAGAACTGATTAATCACATGGTTTTTACTTAGTTGTTTGGTTAGTTACTCCAAAGAAATGCTAGATTGATCATTTTATTAGAAACTTTTACGAGGATTATGTTTTCTACGTCATATAGTTGGTCCCACATTCTAACTAGGGAGCAATTTCGAAATGGATCGATATGAAATATTTTCCCGGTAATAATAAAAAAGTGCGTACCATATTTACCTGTTGCATAGCGTGCTGCAAATGCATGGAGTCGGGTATTTCCGGTATGACGATGAGCTCACGCACGGAGGTCGGCGAGGCAGCGCCGCCCGCGCCACCGCCCTATGTACGCAACAAAACTGTTTAGCCAAGGGGACTATTAACATAATACTGGTATTTTATGGAACACAACTTATGCTGCCATACTAGGTAATTATATTTTAATATTTAAGCTTCAAGCCTGCGCAAAGGTTATGGTGCTTTGCGTCATCAGTGTTGCCTTTGAACGATTTGCAGGAAATGTAAAATATCTGACCATTGCTAAAAATACCATTAAAATACATTCAGGGTTGGAAAAGTGGCACTTTTAGTGTTGCGGTTGTTTAAGTTCCACGAAGCACCAATACGTCCATTAGGTAACAAGTTATTGATTTTGAGTTTAATTGTCCCTGTAGGTACCTACTCCATATAATGTAGGAGCACTTGAAAATAGATAGATACTACATACTGGTAAATACCAACTACTATCAACATTGGACTGGATAACTAAGGACTTTCAATGCAAATCGCGTAAAGAAGGCCTCCTTTTTTGAGGGGAAAATAATCAAAAATTTCAAATAAGTAGCTTGGTACAAACCTACACCTCGTTTTCAAAACGTAGTACCTATTCCAATAAGGGCCGATTTTTCAATAATTAGATAACAATTATTTGGAGAATAAATATGATGCTGTTGCGTCAGATTATTTGCATAAGACAGTGACAGCAACAATTTTATACCTACCTCAGATAACTTTTATCATTTATCCGACTATTGAAAAATCACCCTTAATCGCTTTACTGTACTGTACGCGTGACTAACGCATTTTCACTAGACAATCGTGTGCTTTATGATACAATAACATACACATGTAAGTACTTTGCTTTCATAACGAACCTTGACCTTCGAATGAATCATGATTAGTCAGCATAAACGACTGTAGGAAAATTTCAGAATCCGAATTGTCTGGTACTTTTAATTTTCTTTGCTGCAGTGTGAGAAAGTACGCATAATGAATAAGCCCGATAGTCACGAATTCTTAGATCAAATTGTTGGAATAGGAAAAGACTGTCGTCTAAACATAATGTGAATTATCTGGTTTAGAAAAACCTAAGGAATGACCTGATGCAGATAAATACTAAATTAACTATAAATCAACAACACACACAGATTTTGTAGGTATCGTGTATTTCTTAGAGTTACTAAGCACGACTGTGAAACATGAAATTTGAATTCTATATGTGTTCAGAACCAGTCGCGTTGTATAGTCAAACACAGGAAAATTATAAATATTGCACTAAATTACAAACGCCTGATATTATGATAAGCCAAAAAACTTACTGTTAGAACTACCCATCACCCTAAGCATAACGATATTATCTATTTCTATGATAAAACTGTTTATTGACGAGATAGGCTGGATACTGATGGAATGTTACCTGGGTAGGAGCCGCAAGCCGCGCTGCCATGTCGGGCGAGGCAGGCGGCGACGACTCCACCAGAACTTCGTCGCCGGCGCACTCAAAGTCTGAAGAAATCAATGTTGGAATACATGTTAAAATCATATAAAAACATTTGACAAAACGTAGCCCTCCTTATAATATTAGACAATGAATGAAACTTATATTGAAAAAAACTGAAAAAGTTCATAAGAATGATTGTTAAACATACCTACAACAAACTAATATTCATCTGAGAAATCTTATGTACTTTATTCTTCAAATAAACATCGAAACATTTAACTCATAGATCAATCATATATTTGGTTGTTTTACTACTTTAGTACCAAAAAAAAACAAAGTAAAACATGGAGCTTTAACTTTGCAATCCCTTGTAAATCTCCTAATTATAGTGAAAGCCATACCTGCTGCTAACTAATTGACAACATTTCAAAGTAGGGTAACTCACCCCTTTAATATTGGTACTTGCAATTTAATATAGTTCAGACAGGTTATATAATTGCACACTCAACAAATTAAAAAAAAATGTTTGGGCATAAGCACTACAATATCAAATATATGTTTTTTCTCCTCTACTTGAAATTTAATGATATTATTTAAAACAAACACAAAATCTGAAATTCAAACATTTGAAACAATTAGCAAGCAATATGTCTGCACTTTAATCAAATTACAAAACCACACATTTACTATTAGTCAGCAAAAACATCTAAATAACAAACAAAAATTCATCACAGTTCATAATAATAATATTTCTTATACATAAAAATAAAAGATTGCATCATTTTCTACTATAACACAATTAAAATGAATCATCTGAATTGTTGCATAACACCATCCCAGGTGATAGAGATGTTATTGATCTGCTGGGAGCAAGGGCGGAGAGTATCCGTGGAGCGTATCCAGGCAACACCTCATCCGTCCCTCCACGCCGGCACTCTTAACAAAACAACTATACAAAATCACTCACTCTCCAAATAGAACACATTCTCAAAACCCATCTCAGACATTTTGGAGTTTAATTTAATTTTTGCTACAAAATATCACTGGTACACAATAGCAACACATTATTGTGACTCTGCACTGGTTTGTATGACATCAAGTATTGATCAAACAACCGTCTCTATGTGTTTGGTTGGCTCAGTCTGTTGGCTACTGTTTCTGTGAGAATTTTGTTTTTAATGTTTTGTAGTGTGGGCTAGCTAGAGGTAGTGTGTGTAATTTGGTGATAGGGACATAGTGGGGTGGCTGCAGGTGCTTTGTTACGGTTCAGTGACACCACCTGCCATGTACCACCATAGGTAATGCTTGACTGGATATTTTGTTTTGTTTATGTAATTATTGTGTACTGTGTTTGCTACTGACATTTTTATATAAGTATTACATATAATGATTATAATATTTGGAGTGTGTCTTTTGTTGATTAGTGAAATATGATAATGTTTATTAATTTTAAAATAGGCTAAAGGTTTTTGTTACATTGATTTGAAAACTTGAGTGTTAATATTGTTAAAAAATGAATAATTGAAATTGCATAGATTATTGACAAATGGTTAAAAGTCGGAATAAAATAAATGCTTTTTACCAATTCTATTTTACATATAATGAACATTTGTAAGACCTTGATATTGATTAGGCCTTGATATAAATATCGTGCACCTTATGTATTAGATGGTACATAAGTCCCGAAAGTTAATTCCGCAGGTGAATAATCCTAGCGGGTCGTGCGCCGTACCAGGCACCACCGACATATCCCTCCTGCCCGATAACTTTGATAAAATTGATACGCGTCTGGGAGCAAAGGGGAGCTCATTTGAGCCGTCCCCCGCTCCAGGAAGCACGCATATCTTTCCCGACGCGCTTGACAACCATCATTAACGTTATCAAACCATTTTTTCAGGTTATTGGCGAATTAATTTATCGAGATTAAATTAAACCCACCTGCCATCCATACCTCGAACTGTCAAAATCATCATAGTTCCTATGATTATTTTACTCACAATTAAGATAATATTACTAATATTTATTCTATTTACAGGTACTTTTGCCAATTTTTATGTAACACGATAATAAATGACTTATCAATGTTGTTGTCTTGTAGCTACACCCGTTTCCTAGGCTACGGACACCCCGGCCAAATTTCAAGCTAGTGCTGGGTAAAAAATAGTAAGTCATAAATATAAATTATAAAATAGTAACTAGGTATTTTAATTTCCACTATTTGCATAAAACTGGGGGCAAATGCAATAATAAAAATTGAGCTTCAAAATATTCTTAAAATAAAGAAAAAAGCTAATACAAACGATTAGTATATTTTAAACAGACTGTGCAGGTGCAGTTGGGATGCAGCAAAGATTTCAAAAGAAAAACACTGTACAATTTTACAAAAATCTTAACGCTATTTGAACTAAAGAAATCTGTTCGTAAAAATAAAATTAAATACGAACATTTAATTTCTGCAAAATTAAATTTTAATAATAATACTATTTGCGTCAGTGTCAAAACTAAAATAAGTAAACACGCAACGTATCTACAGTAAACTTACCCAATTTAACATAGTTTGATCATTTATCATACATTTATAGGTCCAAACCCATCTATAAAAACCAGTTCTTACTTCATAAACGTTATCTTTTTATTTTTAGAATTTATATATTATACGTCAATGTCGGTTTCCTGAATAGAAATTATATTTTAGGAAACTGAACAAGGACTGACTTCTTTATAATAGTCATTTATTACTTTCGTCTAACTTACCTATATCTTAGTTATGAATTTATGACTTATCACAAAACTTGCCTACTAACAAAGTTTGAAACTCTTAAATAGTTATAGTAGAAGTCATATTTTACCTTCTAAACAATCTGCTTCAAAAATTAGGATTGCGTTACTATGATATTCGTGAACAATTTCTAAAGTTTTTTTGGTATTCATATTTAAGCCAAAAAAATAATTTTGTCCGTCGCCTCCTATTATCTTTATAATGTGTCGTATCAATACTTTGTGTCTTTTACCAAACTTTTAAAATATCACCTTGGTAATTAATTATTTATTTACGGACCTTAAAAATCAAAACCAGTTGACATTTGCAAAAAATCATTTTCAATCTAAAACACTGCATTCTGTTTTTAAATCAAGGTGGCTATTCTTTGTTTTATACCTACCTACGTGTTTTAAATGAAAACTTTGTAGAAACATGTTTGTAGAAAAATTGCCATACTGAAAATTTACCCAAATTGACAACTTGTGTTTAACGTCACTTAACTAATGTCAAATTGATTGTCATTTGTATGTTTTCGTAGCAATATCGGGCGCGTTTCAGCGTATAAAATCGACCAATATTTGACACAATCCATTGTGAAAGAAAAAAAGGCAAAGCAATAAGCATATTGGACAAAACGAGATACATATAACTAATTTACAGAAACTAAGCTTATATCAGTAACATACGTGTATAATCCTCATTTCGCTGCAACAGCAATATACAGTTGTTTTGCTTGTCATTGGTATCATGCTGCTGATTTAATATTTTTGTAATTTACACGCAGAGTTTCGTGAAAATTGGAACTACAAAGATACTATCACAATGAAAGTAATCGTAAAAAAGTTACAAGGGGGTGAATGTTGCTTGGAAGTAAGTCTTCAATAGAACTGAATTTGCTTTTTTGACCCAACATATATTTTATTCATGCGATTGTTCTAGGTTCTTCCAACCACACACATATCTGAAATTAAACGAAAAGTCGCAGAACAACTAAAAATTCCAGTAGAGGAACAGAAATTGCTGCTGCTAGGCAGGACATTAGTGGATGAACAGACAGTTGATGCATACCCTACAATAAAGGATGGAACTAAATTAAACTTAGTTGTTAAAAAGCCTGATACACTTCAGGAAGCTTCTATAAAGTACTTCAAGAAAATGTATGGCATGACAGACCTGGAAGCTATTGCTGCTGCAAACCGCCTTTTAAAGCTGGTGCAAGAAAAATTCAGTAAATTGTCTTGGGATGATCTTGATAGGCTATCATTAGACTGTATGCTGGAGGAAAATGGTCAAAGCCGAAGCCCTCCTATGGAGATAGAGCCCGAGTGTGACGATGTATACAGTTTATAATTCTGGACACTAATAAATATTTTGAACATTTTATTTGTATTTTACAACTAAGGGTGTTGTTACACTGCTAGGTATGTTCAGCTAAATATTTAAATATAAGATTAACTGTAGCATTTTGTAGTATTGCTATTTGTATATTGTGTAAGTTAGTTTTAATTGAATTTTTCGCTAGTGTTGCCACATTAGAAATACCATAATAAGAAAATGTGATCACTTCTATGTTTATACTGCTTTATTTTCTTAATCTTGTCACCTCCTCTAATCACTTTTTCTGTAAAATGTTGCTTCATGATATTTAGTTCTACTTTAGTATAGTTAAGTTTTACATTTGACCAAACAATGTGCTATGCTTTTGACAAATTAATTCTGATGGATTTGTAAAAAAGTAAAGATACATTTTTGTACATACAACATACCTAATAGAAATTTCCTAATTCCTATCAAGTTGCAGACCAGTATAAAATCAATCAGATTTATTGTCTAGCAATATTTTTTATTTCATGACACAAGAAATTATTGTTATGTATTTTGACTCTTTTTCTGTAGATATTTTTCCTGAACATTCTCAAGTGGCTGAAACATGTAAAAATGTACAAAACAGAGTGAATAAAACACAAGATTAATTATTCATGTTATTATTACATCATGCATTGTTTCATACCTATCTATAGTATAATACAATTTGATGGCAAGTAACACTGTCAGTGTCTTTGTCGACAGGTACAACATAAAATTAAATGCAATCATCTGACTTACCTACTGTAAGCTGATTAATACAATCTTCAAACCTTTTAAAGACATTTGAGAAAAATATTCTGAGACAACCATTGTTACATACATATTGCTTAGTTACTTAGTTCAGAATGCCTCTGGCTTGGAGCGGTTAGTTAAACACTAGTGCTATCATTCAATTCTTAAGACTAGAGCTCACAACTGCTCACATGTTGGTGAGATAAACATGTTTCACATTCATTTTTAAAGAGCCTATGCATATACAGTTTCTTGCTTTGTTGCGTTTGGACCTTGAAGTTCCTTTTTTTGGCACCATATTAGATACATTCTGCTTGCCATTATGATAAACATCGCGTTTGGATGTCTTATTCTCGAATTTGATCCCAGTATCGCAACTTGAGGTAATTACTGTATAGGATAATCTCTTTTTCTATTCTATATTGTATTTGTTAGAAACATTTTTAAAATTACCGCCATTAATATAACTGGCAGATTGAAATCGACCATAATCTAGGTCAATATAATACGACTTAACAAATATGTTTAAAGTTTTATACACTAGTAGTACTCATTGCCTTCACGTTTGCTCCAAAATTACGTAGTATTTTATATACACCCTCCAAAGATCATAAATCTAGTATCATGAGATCTTAGCTCATCACTAATAAAAAAATATTTACAATCTTCAAGATCAGAATCATAGAACAAACTGTCAGTGTCACAGGTAAAATAAATAGCTACATTTGTTGAAAGAGGTGGTATCGTTGGAGGGTATTGATCAAGTCACAGAGGCACTTCTCTTTACAAACCTATGTTCAAACAATCACAACCTTTTATGAGCCTAGGTTCATATTTAGGAGTGAATTCCAGCACATATGTATGAATTTGTGTGCAATATCCCAACTTCTTAAGTTTAAGAAGAAAAGTCCACGCCTAAGCTCATACTAGCTAACGCCATTCACCTCAGATGTGCTAGAATCCATTTTAATGGTCATTCGTTGAATCATTTACACATTAATATCATTTTCGATTATCATACTACTTGTAATCAATAACTTGATACATACATAAATGCAGTAAAAAGTAATACATAGACATCAATACACATGTTTTTATCTTATCAATAAGAGGCTGAAGTTTTGATACTGACAAGTCGAGTGTACAGATTTGTGCAAACACATTAGACATGCCTTTTTAGATTCCTAAATATTTTTAACCAATTTTTGGCTAATGAGTTGCAGACAATTCATAGAACAGAAATGTCTATAATGAATAGCCACTATTAAGAAATTACCAATCAATAGCATTGTAGCACAGACCTGATGTGTGTTTCAAAACCCCAGTCTCTTAGGGTCCATTTAAACGAGACTAAAGATATCATGAGACGAGCTAAACTCATTCTATATAACACCAAAACATGCGACATTGATAGATTGAAAAAATCTACTAGAAACAATTTATAAAATTAAATCATAAGACTATTATTTACAATGAAATATCATGCGGCAATCAGCCATTTGAGTATCCGACGATTCGTTGCTAGCCTTAAGGCCGGATGCGAAGATAATTTTAGTAAGAAAATCCGACGCCGAAAGACGTTATAACGATTCTTGCGGTATAACATGTAGGTACATTAAAAAATATCACACATATAAAAAAAAACATTCACTCTTCTATTACAAATAAATAAGAGTCACAGATACAGAATGTTGATAGTATTGGCAGTTAACTATAGTACATGTCTTTTTGCACAGACTATTTATGTAAACAAGTATTGGTATATAATATAATAACTCGATAAGTACGCAATAGAATGCTTTACAACTGACAAGAAGTTCTAAAACAGCACAGATTAGAAAAGGTGTTTCTTCGAAAAACTTTACAGAAATCGTAATTCATATTCATACAGAAAGCCAAAGTATTTGGATATGGTAACCCTAGGGTTACCATATCCAAATACTTTGGCAAACATAAATTGAAATATATTGTACCAGTGTTGCGGTAGTAATCTATCTATTGGTTTGGCGGGTGAATGCCAACCACCAAACAAAACAATAATTTGTATGATGCATAAATAGTTGCTCTCGATCAAATGTATAAAAAACATGTTATTATTGAACATTCTGACACAAGGCAGTGTACATTATAACTACAAAAAATGGTGATTATAATTGTGAATCCCTGGACATTTCGAAGAATAATGATTAACTACCCTAAAGAAGTATCACAAATGCAAAATTTTCCGAAAAAAACACCAACCACAAACATTTTTATTACTTCATAATGGATTAGAATTTGAACAACGACAATAGTTTAGCAAGAAGTTTCTATTACAATACGCTGTTATAAAGTACAAGTAAAAATCCATATGAAAATATAGAAACGGATTCTTTTACAACACTGATTCTATTTGTATCAAACATTTTTGTGATTAATCTATTTACAATGTATACCAAATGGCAGAAACTTCTTAAATATTGAGTTGATATTTATACAGATAACATTTCAAAAGATGGGTAGTATTACTTATATAAAAATCGGGAACCTATAGATAACCTTAGATTCCAAGTTACTGAAAAATAGGTCAATATAAAATTGATGCTTAAATTAAAGATGACATCTATGAAAAACCAGTTTTTCTCAATGCAGTAATTGTTTACTTCGAAGCCGTGTCCATTAGAGACAAATACCGGATATTCGCAAGAAAAAACATAACTAAGAGGTAATACATAAAGTTGATCTAATACTAACGAACCTGTCTCATCAAACTCCTAAGGAGATTAACATTTATACAATACGTACTCGGCTTTCATTCGTTGCTTACTTTGTGACGAACAACCACGGAGAATATAATCATTGGACTGCTAATCCGACATAAAAACTGTATTATAAAATATGAACTAATATTTTTAACATGAATGTGGATGCTGTAGAAAAATATAAATATTGAGAGCAACATTTCTGAGCTATGAGCATCGCAAATTAGAATATCTACACAAAAACAATAAGTAAAAGGACCATGCTGAAATTTAAACAAAGGCATAAATACGTCATTCAGTACTATTATGTGCATTAGCATTCCACATAGTTACTTCTCCGTGTCCATAGCACAGTAGTCCATAAGAACCTCGTAAATTCACTTTAGAGGTTAAAATTATGCATTATAGATGTTTCTAGAATATAATCAGTCGTAGTCACTATCTTCCTCTGCGGATGACTCAGATTCCGAGCTGTCAGGATGATTCTTTGTGATTTCGATGCAGTTGTCCACATCGGTCAGTCTTTTGAGCGACCGCCCTGAAACAATACATATATCTTCGCATCATAATCTTACCGCATAACTGAATAACAGGATTCAGGTAAAAGGAATAATAATTGCTCGAGTTCATTTGTTTAGATGGGTGTACCACAGGGTTTAATATTGGGCCCGTTCTTATTTGGTATTTCTAATAATTTAATGAATAGGTATGATGCCAAAAAATCTTAGTTTGGTAGAGGGATTTCACTCCTTTAGACGGCGATATATCGATTTTAAATATTGTGTGATGTCGCGATTTAGTTCATTAAGTACCGAAAAACGTCAACCCTCGACCTCACTTCTAAATTTTAATTTCTTTTATCTTATACTTTATTTTAAGTGCGAGAAAGCCAATCATCGGAACGAAGGGGTCGCTAGACCGGAGTGATACCATGTCCTTACAAAAAACCGGCGTGAAATAACAACAGTGATGTGTTTTGCCGTGTGAGTGAGTCCAATCCTTCCCTAATGATTGGACTCACTCATCGGGTAATCGAAATCTAGTAATCCTTTGAATTATATAACCGACAAAACAGATTCTTCAATTTAATGATTCCTCATATACGCATTTTCAAATCATGAAGTTAGTAGTACCATCATAGGTAGTATCATAACAGCAAACTGTCGTCTTTAGTCGTTTCTTCTTCTTAATTTAGGGAAAGTTAGGAGCACACTAATGTTAATGTGAGAAGATTCTCAGTTTACCCAACAACAGAACTGTGTAGTAGTTGACCGAATAAGAAACTTACCTGTCAGCGTAGTTAGCAACCTATTCTCATTGCCGGGCGGCATGTTGATCGGCCCAAGCTTCTTGGCTAGCTCCCGAGCGCGATCTGCACCTGAAACTGCAAAACATACATTGTATTAAAAATAGTACCTATCTATAAAAACATAATTTCCTATTCTGTATTGATAAAAACAAATGTGTATTGTGTTTATTGTGGTAGTTCGATGAATTGACTACCTTCAGGAAGTCAAAGGTATAATACTAATGTCCAGCAGTAACCCACCATATTTTTTATTAATTGTGTTGTCCCAAACTATAAATATACTACTAATTTTCTCCGATATCATAAATGGGCCTACATACAGTACGGCCGACTTATGTTGGCGAGTCTGAAGTTAGCCGTTTGTCTGCGCAAAGGATCTTTTAGGAACAAAATTGTGTACTGCGCAGGTAATCGGCTAACTTCAGACTCGTCAAAATACGTTGACGGTATTGAACCTAGGCCCGAAACAACACCGCATGCATCACACAAATTGTTGTTTAAATATGAGTTTAATACAATACAATAAGCAAAGTACCTCTGCTTCCCTCCTGGCTGGAGTCTTCTGTCATGGAAACTCTCTCAGTCCTGTACACACCACTCACAAGGTCCCACACGAATAAACACTGCAACAATACGGAACATAATTTAAATATAATAAAAATATACTTACTAATATATTTCGCTTTCTAATAGAAGTAACCCGTTTATGAAAAACACACTCAAGTCATACCCATTGTTATAGGAGGGTTCGGAATAGTAGCTGAAATTATCCATAAATATTGCGCACAGTTGAACTTACAAACACAAATATTGCACACAGTTGTACTCCAACTTTATGTAAGTTGGAGTACAACTGTCTGTTTCCATATCATGCAAAAACAGGCAACTATCCACACGGTCACAATTTTTAACAAAAGTTTTGGGGAACAATATATTTAAATAGGGAGCGCAATTCTCCTTCTCCGTGAGGGTCTCGAGGATTGCAAAATACAGACTACCACGAGTCGAGTTTTAAGAATTTACACCATCATATAGTAGTAAAATTATACAAATATTTTTAGCTTTATAATAAAAGTCAAAATAATGATAATCCATGTCGTCCCTCCTCATGATGACAACCTTGTGAAAGTTGTGAAAGAAAAATTAATAAAATACCTTGACTAAGTCAAGGTATAGACATCAAATACAATGCAAATTGTTCATGATTAAATAAATAAATATGTGAAGTATAGACATGAGGTAGGTTCAGAAGCCTGATACAAAAGGCAGTACTCATAGAAACGGCATGCATTGTAAGGTTTCTTTGAAGCCCCAGTAGCTTGGACCAGCCCAACCAATGCTGGTTGAAATACATTTTTATATTTTATAAATTTTTAATATTGACAGTGTAATTTAATGTAAATTCCAAGTTCAGTCTTACTTCGTCTGTTTATTTGTAATAAACTTAGAAACTTCTTAATGGATTCTTTGTACTTTCGCCAGGCGAAAATGCATTTCGTGAGTGAAGTTAAAACGTGTAAGTTTGTTTCAAGTGACTTTAGCAGAGCTGTGGGCAGAACCCAACTTATACATATTAATTGATAGAGCTTTAGTCTGTTTCGCATGCATAGATGAGTGTGGTGTGTGGTGTGGGAGAGCCATGCTTTGGCAAGGGGTCGGCTCGACCGGAGTGATACCACGGCCTCACAGAAAACCGATGTAAAGCAATACTTAGGTTATGTTTCGTCGTGTGAGTGCGGTTACCGGATACCGGCCCTATCCTCCCACCAACCTAAAATTCCCTATCCATAAATCTCTAACAGTATTCATGGGCAGCGCAAATAGCTTACCATCAGGTAATCCGTCTGCTTGTTTACAGACCTATGACATAAAAAAAATATTATTACCTCAGCAGCGTACTGTTGGCGGTGTATAAGGCACCCGGCACTGACGTCCTTGCAAGCCTCGCACTCCGCCATGGCGCCGTTGTCGTCACTCGCCCACATCCACATCGCACACAACTGAAACACGCAATAACATATAAATACATACTTATGCAAATAAGGTGAAAATATCTAGAGGTTGTACAAAAATAGATGTTCCTCTGATTTCTTTTGTTACACTATAATGATTTGTTTTATGTAAATATTTTATTTTATTGCATAAATAACGATTTGGGAGTTTTGAAGTATATAAGATCTTTACATGATGTACTTGTTAAATGTATACACACAGCTAATGCATACAGAGTATAAAAAATGTGCAACAAGATTTCGGCTGGCTCATACAATCGCCAATCACGGCTAACCACCATAGTAATAATGTATTTCACTCTTTTTAAGTCAGTAAGTATAACATTTTATAATTCATAAACTACTCACCCCAGACAAGCAGCCGCTGGACTGACAAACATCGATGACATGACAGCCCCAATCGAAGCAGTATATAAACTTTTTCTTATTTATATTACAGAGTCGGCCACAGACTTCATTGCATAGTAATTCCGTGTCTAGGGACCGCTGGTGGGCTCGTAGAGTTAGGGGTGGTAATGGAGGGCCTGCCCCGCACAGGCGGTCCCAGGCACCCGCCCCAATCCCTTGAAGGCCTATGTAGCCGGCCCCATGCGCTGATAGCGGTAAAGCCACGTGGTAACCTGAGATGCAGTCATCTGAATAGAGAAAAAAATACTAAGTTTAAACATTCCTTCTTAGATCTGTGAGGAAATGTTCAAGTAGTTTTTTTTTTTAGTTATTGTGTATTTGGAAAGTACTCTTGAAAAAACCATAGAAACATGACGCAGATAAAAAAACATTGTCAACCTTAGTTGAATGAATTAAAATTTATCTAAATCTCTTTATCTGCTTAGACGTAATTAATAAAGCACATAATTAAAGCGTTTGTGCATAAAATATAAAGTAGGTATTTTCATCAAACCCGCAGCAGTTAGCAGGCCACGCGATAAGAGAGCGATCATTATCATGCGTCAACAACGCCTCCAAATATGTACACAATATTTATCTAACAAAATGTTAAGGAAAAATTACCTTCTGAGTCCGTAATGATAGAAGTTATCTCATCGTCGCTCTCCACGAAGAAACGCGTGAAGAATTTGCTACATTTCGAGTTGCCAGAGTGCACTAGATACGGGTCTTGTTCGTTGACAGGACAATCCGAGAGAGTCTTCGAGGTATTATCGTGCACAGCGACAGTTTTTAGAGAGCCGTCGTCTAACATCTCCGTGACCCGGTACTCGGACTCGCTGTTGTGGTCGGACTCCAGCGTCGAGAGCCCAGGGTTCTTTAACTCTGAACTAGTAGTCGGCGAGGGCGCCCTATTGATCTGGTTGTGAGCTCTCAGTACCACGCTCTCCCCAGTGGGCGACTTGGCACGCTTCATCTGACTCTTACTTGTCGAACCTACGAAATATTTCCTGTTACTCCTTAACACCCTGAACGGGACAATGTTTTCGTTGTTGTCCTCAGAGAATTCGTACTTTTTATCAGCTAATCGTCGTTTCCTAAACATACTCAGTTTCTCACATTTCGTCTCTGCTTCTTCTACGAATTCGTAAGCTTTCTCCGCTATTATTCTATGCGTTTCGTTGAACCGTGACATGCTTTCTGCCGGCCGTCGCCTTGGAGACCGCAGTGGAGGGCTGATGAGTGTCCTGATGGAGGGCGAGGGTCCCTCCCATTCCTCTACCAAGTTATGGGAGATGGAGGAGGCCTGAATACATAGCTCTTGTCCCATAACATCAGGCAACCGCACAGGTTTAGACATTTGATAGGGCTCCATTTCGAATTCTGAGAAATCAGCTAGGATATTCTGAACGACGTTGTTCTGATATTTTGGGGACTGAAATGGTGCAGACACGTCTGACGCCGGGGTGCCAGGATTCGTATCAATAGAATTGACTTCCTCCCTTTCTAAAAAGTTCTTCGTGTCTTCCGCTTGGCTTTCAGCTTTCTCTTGGTCGGGTTCTACGAAATCTATCTCAAGTATGTGGATGAAGTCAGTGTAAATAATGATTTGATTAGAGTAGGCTAGCTGTACTACTGGTTCGTACATACTGGAGTCGGACGTGCAGAAGAATTTTGTGTGTATTGCGAAGTTGTGTTGGAGGCATCGTTGGCCCCAAACTAGGTCATCTGGAAAGACAGATATGTGTATAGGTCACGAGTATAATTATTTGAGACGCTGTCTAAAGTAATACGTACCTTCATCTCTAGAAAAACTTGTGCATCTCTTACACCCTAAGCGAGGTACTCCGATAACACTGAGGTAGGACCGTTCTGAACAGGAATCTCTGTGAACAATGTGTACAACAGTTGTAATGTTTGTAAATAGAGCGGGCCGTGCCAGCTTACAATACTTTAAACTATAACGTTCGACGGAAAAAGATTATAATTAGGTATGTTGACGCGGTATTTCTTAACAATAACAATAATTGATTGAGTAAAGATTTACAATATGTAGGTACCTGAGTTTATTTTAAAAAAGATAAAAACGTAGGAATTTTCTCGGATACGGGTTTCCGATTAGAGGTTTAGAAAATGTTTAAAAAGATATCAATAATGTTTTTCAAATTGTTGGCATAGAATTAGTGACAATCTATTATAAGTATTTCAGAGTTTTATATCAGGTACAATTAGAATAACATATTATAATCATTACAAAAGTTGTCAAGCTAACGATGGCGCAGTTAGTTGTTCTGTTTTATTATTTCTGCATAAATAGCATATTATTTTTATAATAACACACACAAATTCGTAAATGTCGTTAATAATAGTAAGTGACTGTAACGTGTGTTTTAAATTTTATGTCTGTGTATGGAGTGGTTAATCGTCAGTTAATATTCCGCGAATGTAATTTATAAAGTAAATAAATAAATTGTAATTTGCACATCTAAAATCAAACTATCAACATCAATTCTGCTAAACATTATTGATATACTGTTCCAAATGAATTGAAAATAACGGCTTACGTAAACTGTCAAAACCTCTACTAGTTTCAAGCTACAGCGGGGCTCTAATGCATGAGGCGGGTGCGCGTCGTTATTAAATTTAGTATAGTATGTCTCAATATAGTTACTATACAAAGATACTTACGCAATTCCATATACAACTATGACGTCGGGGTTGTGTTTCCACTGCGCCATCGATATAGTCACTTTGCTGTCCACACAATCGTCTCCGAACAACGGCACGCTGTGAACCGGACGCACTATGCGGCCAGGCACCCATGACAGAAAGTGTAGGCTGCAAGACAATTAGACATTATACGCTGTCTGTATGTTTAAATAGAATTGAGATATTAGGGATACGAAAAAAACGAATAATAATTAAGTACCAAATAAAAAAAAGTAACGATAGAGTTTCTTGCTGGTTCTTCTCCATACGAATCTACATTTTGGAACGTTTATTTTGTTAATGTGTTAAGGCGGCAAACAAAATAAGAGATTACTTGATGGTAAGCATTCACCGCCCATGAACACCCACAACTTCAGCGGTAAAACGATTACGATTTCCGAGATTTGGGGATTGGGGGTGGATTGGACCTCCGGTGGCCTCACTCGCACGGCAAAACACAACGGTTGTTTCACGCCTGCTTTATGCGGGCGAGTCGACCCATTAGTGCCGAAGCATGACTCTTCCACACTCACCTAGCGATACTGAGGGATACACTGACGAACAATTCATTTTTTGACGTTTCAAAATAAACTTTTTATAGGATTATTTGTAATAAATGGTATCATAAATGAGTGAAAATTTGGCTATTGATACCATACGTATTGGCATGAAATTGCTGCCGAATAAAGCAGTTGAAAAAGAGATTGTTTATTGAATAAGGCTGGAAATCGGCCATACCCTGATGGTAGATAATCAACACCCATAACATCAGAGAAGTTGCAAGTGCGCAGCCGATCTTTTGGTGCTTGAAATTTGAAATTGAAATACATATGTATAAATAATGTGACAATTTATGCTTTTATTTCGATAAAATTACACAGAATTACAGAGAAGGAGATAGACATATATTTTTTTTACTTGCAATAATCTAGTGCTTGATTGCGATCGACAATATAGTAATGCAAGTGTAAGAATAGGATCTCCGATTACAAATAATGAAAAGCAAACAGTGGATTTGGAATATTTATAATAATATTATAAAGAGGTAAAATTTGTAAGTTTGTATGTAGGGGGTAATCTTTGGAACCGCTGGTCGAATTGCCAAAGTTCTTTCACTGATAGATTAGCTACAATGTTCCTGAGTGCTATAAGCTATAAAAATCACGCTACGATTAAATGGAGCTGAGCAGCGGGTGAAACCGTGCGAGAGTAGCATAGATTATTATATAATAAAATGAAATCAATTAATTCTATTATTAGATTACAATCTAATGATTTCCTAACAAATGTTGTCATTTATCAGTTTCAAATATAACTGAAAGAAAGAGAAAACACATTTATTCGACAAATAGGCACACAAATACAAGTATATAAAAATACATAATAAGAACACAGTATTTATGAATACAATAATAAATTAATAAACAAAACAAGAATAACATATAAAGTATTAAAAAAGAAAATAAAACGCTAAAATAATAACAACATTCATGTGCCCATGCCAAAAGGGCCTCCACCTCAGCATATAGTTGAGCAAAATGCTCAACGCTGATTTTCAGGTGGCACCCTGCACTGACTCACGTCACGGACGGCGGTACCGCCAATCAGTAAAGAAAAGAAGTAAGAAACATAATGTGAATATAGAAGAAAGTGTGCGTGTGTGAAAATATTATCCAAATTATTCAGATATGAATACATTTTATATCATAATAAGTGAATACAATCTTTTTTTTTTAAAAAGATTGTATTTAACTGCTGTATTTACTGGGACATGTTGCTCCTAATCTGATAATTCCTTCATATCTAAGCTACATTTATTTATTATGTACATCAAGGCTACATTTTAATTTAATTAGTTATATATGTTCATACAAATTAAACATAGAATTGTCAAATATGTTGCAAAGAGTAGAAGAAAAAAGTATATTGTTTTTTATCACAGACAATAAAAAATACTAAAAAAATCTGTTGGGTCATTTGCCTGTAATTATAGATCGCACAGCCTTATTATTAAAGAACAAAACTGAAATTATTTTTCAGCATAAAACCACTTTCTTTAAAAATCTCTTTTTATCCAGCTGAATATAAGGATATACCACAACAAAATAAACTAATCAATCTATACTATGTAATGTTATAAAGCTGTTGAGTTTGTTTGTTTAAATGTCCTAATCTCCGAAACTACTGGTTTCGAAATTGAACAATCCTTTTTGTGTTTGTTAGTCCATTAATCGAGAAAGGATATAGGCTATAAAACATAAGGCTACAATATGTGGGGGCTGAGCAGCGGGTAATAAATAATTGTAGCTTTTATTTATGGTCAAGAGTAACTTACGTGAACTTAGAACTCTCTCTGAAGTACAGTTGTGTGTTACAGCTGTAAGTGAAGCTGAGAAGGAACTGCCCGCATTGGGAGAAGCCCATGAACACATGCTCTGTCAGGTATGACAGGGGCACTATGTCCATCAGGCAGAACCTCAGTCGCGGCGGGATCCTCTCAAACACTCTGCGACCCCTATCATTGCTTTTCCTTGATGTTCCACCATATGTCTACAAAAAAATAGTAATAATGTTTAATCACAATAAAAAAATTAATGCTTATCATTTCGTAAACAAAGTGTTACTTTTAGTTACTAGTAAAACCAATTCTCTATATTTAAATATATGTAATATTCGCATATTAACAAGATTCCACTATACAAGGGCAATTATTGTGGAAATTAATTGTGTGCCACAGACAAGATACTTGCATTGTGTAAATGGGGCAATAAAAACTAGCCATGAAGGGCTACACTAACAGAACACTGTTGCAATTATTATTTGAGTAGGTATACTCATGGATCTCATGGTTGTAATTCAGCAGACTACAGTGTGATAGATAGGAGATAGGACATATACAGTTAAGAGGTGCAGTTAGACAGGAGATATATATAGTTATGAAAAAAAAAGTCAGTTGAACTCCAAAACTATTCTGTTTGTCAGGATCATATTGTATTAAGTACATGATGACTGTAAATCTCAAATAATAAGTAATCTAATGATTGATAAAAATATAATTGTTTACTTTAGCATGAATGTATAAGAGATCTATCCAAACTAATATTATAAATGCGAAAGTAACTCTGTCTGTCTGTCTGTCTTTTCTTCACACCTAAAACTATTTAAGTGAAATTTAATATAGACATAGTTTGAAACTCAAGAAAGGACATAGGATAGTTTTTGCACCAAAAATCTGCAGGAAGTCACTATTCCATGCGAATAAAGTCACAGGCAAAAGCTAGTCAGGTATAAAACAAATGCTGTACCCCATTATTGACTTGGCAATTTCCAATTTCAAACCTTCATTAAGAATTAATGAAATATTTTACTTTTCGAGATATTTATTTTGATAACAACCACATTGTGGTAAATTCTATGTTATCACTAAACATTAAACATCACTTTTAATGGACAACAGAGTAATTAGTGGCAATTTGTTACATTACTTTAATTATAGCCGAAGCAATTTGTACTTAATTTCAAAGCTGATAAGTTGTATAGTCTAATATAATAACAGTGCTTATTTCTATGCTCTTAATGACCTGACAAAATTTTATTTATATTATAAATGTGAAAGTTTGTAGGGATTGGTGGATGTATGTATGTTTGTTAGACTTTAACACAAAAACTAGACGATGTATCTGGATAAAATTCTGCATATATGAAAGATAAAACTTAACATGGTAAAAAGAAGACCATTTTTCTTACCATGATAGGAAGTAGTGATTTCAGTGTAATTTCTATTTCTATAGCTCATTGAAGGTGGGTAGAAAAGAGCAATATGGATGTTCACTGTGCAACCAGTTTTTTTATGCAAACAAAATTGTAGATAAGGTAAACTATTATAATGAATTCTTTGACCTACTGCCAATTTCTATTTATATATCATATCTAAACAGAAGTGAATATCATATAATTATTTATATTTATGTTTGAAAAATCCTTTTTATAAACTAGGAAAAGTACCTGGACAACTTTTACATTTTTATGGTTTTAATTTTAAACTAAAAGCTACAATTAAAACAAATGTTTTACAAAGTTGTTGGAGTCATTTCCGAGATCCTGAAAATATATACACATGTATTTATATATTACAAGATTTGTCCTATTCATCTTGGTTTTTTCAAGCTGTGTGTTTCTACATCTATTATTATTGTTACATCAAATGTTCAAACAATTATTCCTCACTTGTAACTCCATAGCTGTACTAACAAATACTTAAGCTCTAATCAATAAAAGTTATTGTTATGGTTATATTCATAACACTGGTACTGTTCAAGTATTTTTCTCTCAAAACAATAACAAGTTCCTAAAAGTCATAATTGACCAGTTTAGCCTTGTCTCAATAAAAAATATTTAGCAATCAAAATGAAAGGGTATTAATTTACTTTTTTGTATATATGACTGGCAACTCTTAACTAAAACTAACTCATTCATTATGAATTTTAGAGGTAATATACATAAGATTACATTATTTACTATTGATATTAATTTATATAAGATTTGTTTACAGATTCATCTTATATCTTATGAACACTCGAAACGATGCTTACAGCCACATGCAGGTGTATTAATATTTCAGAGTATCGTCAAGAATACAGCATTGATACAGATTTATAATCTCAAGATGTTAGTAGCAAATAAATCATAATTAAAGACTGCATTAACATAGATCGAAGATAAAACATATATCTTGTGGTCTAGCAACATGCTTAATCGGCCATACACATAAAAAATACAAGAAACATAAACGAGACAAAAAAAAATAAAGCATAAGCACAGGATCAAGCTTTTGAACTTAGTGATATTTTGGTTTTAACTTACCTCTCTATTAAATAACTTATGGACAATATTACTACTATTATCTGACATGTTTCTGAGACTATTTGATATTATTTTATCGTATTCATTTCTACTATACACAGTAAACTTCTCAGGCTTTGCAGCCAAAGAATCCATGTTCGTTTGTTTGACTGAATTATTTTGACAAATATCAATCAATGTTGCCAATAATAGCGAATTGTATTGAGTGGTTTCATCTTTGGATACAGCTTCTTTCAACAAGTTCACTTTAGTTCATTCACTAACATGTCAAAAATTATAAAACTTTGACTATGGTTCATAAAACTAACCGAGAATGCCTTTTCTCGTTAACCCTGCAATGATGTCTGTTATCAGTTATCTGTTGATTGTTTGTCTCCGGCAAAGACCTTATACTCTAAACTAGACTGTGCACTAAGGCGCAAAAACCGAGCCGGTGCGAGACAGCTCCCGATGGTAGTGTGTCCCTTTCTAATGTAGTGACCATGACCAAACAGAATACGGGACAAATTGCTTGTAAAAACGATTATTTAAGGATCATGATATATTGATACTACCAAACTAGCGTAACTTCACCAACCTAATTTTTTGTAAGAAAAAACCAACAATCCAAAACGTGTGTATATTTTTACTCGACTTCCAAAAAGGAGGATGGTTCTCAATTCGACCATATACATATGCTTTTTTATGTTTGTTCGCCGATATCTCCGTTATTAATGAACCGATTTTGATAATTCTTTTTTTGTTGGCAAGGAGATAGTTTTAGAATGGTCCCATGATCTGATGACGGAAATCAGGATCTGATGACGGAAGACCAGAGAAATTGAGAACTTTCAAAAATTGAAGGTACGAGTGGTGCTTTTGCATGTGGTTTTAGTAGGCTTTTGACAACGCTACAACTTGCCGATGTTCGAACTCGACCTGATGATGGAGCCGGAAGACAATCGAGGGATCTCCTTGACTATTTGAAGTAGTTGCCTTGTGTTTGGGCTTGAATGATTCGTATTGATGAGCACTTTTCACCAAGATTGGTCGTGACTGTCATTAAGGGTCTGATGATGAGAATGAAAGACAACTCAGGGAACTCCAGAACGGTTTTCAGTAACTACCTCCTGTTTGGACTTAATTCATTTATATTGATGAGAACTTTGCACCTATATGGATTGTGTATAATGAAGGTCTGCAGTATACCTGATGATGGAAGTCATTGACATTTGAGGGAATTCCTCAACGATTTACAGCATTCAAAGCTGACTAACTCAGGACTATTATAACCGTGATTTTCGGTCTCAAATAGCCGTCGTCTTCTCTTTCGAGAAGCATGCTAGCTTTTTCTGCCTATTACTTAAAATGGTAAAATAAAATATTTTTTAACAAAAAAACCGACTTCAAAATAACTAAACTAAAAAGCAAAAAATAAATTTTGGAAGTCGGTTTTTTTTTGTTAAAAATTACTTTTTTAAATCTACAGAACCTGTAAGTAAAGTAAGTAAGTAAGTATTTATATAGTAATCTGTACACGTGGGTAAGGGTTGAAAGTACTTTTTTCTACTTTTAAAAGGGATATATTCCCACCATCATATTAATATTACCTACAGGAAAATGATGATTTCTGCGAGGGAATACACCGTGAGGTTGGCTGAATGTTTAACATTTATCCGAAAAATTTGTCTGATTCCCCTTGTGGCTACGAAAGTCAGATGGCAATCGCTTTACTGTAATTATCAGACTCGCCACTCCAAGATCGTATTCGGCGAACCTTGGCAAGCTCCTAGGTGAAAGCTTAGCATATGTAACCGGGATAACATTTGCTAAGATGATGAGGAGGATTATTATTAAATGAGTGTTAGGGCAAATGAATGTGATGCAGTATTGTGGAATGAAAAAGACTGTTTTCTTTTAATATTGATTTATTTTTATACATTGCTGAACAATACAGTTTTACGCAATTTTTGTCATAGTGTAGCCCTATTTCCTACATGCTTGAGGCTTAAAGTCTTCCCGTAGCTTTTATGTCTTAAATTTAAGTTTTTTTTATCAATACATTAAATCAGTTCCAATTCGTGGGATTCGTCAGATGCTGGATGGGCAGGCAAAAGGTGCTTAATTTTAGGGGTGAATTGATGTACTATCATATTAAGCATTTATTTATATTCAAGCTCTGTAAATCAGGAGAGATTACCAAAAAAAGTTTTTCTATATACTTTACTACATTGAACACATGTTGAAGCCTCAGATTAATATAATTACAATTTTGTTTTCTGACAAGCTTGGTAAGCATTATTTTTTACATTACTTTATCTAATTCTATAAAACATTCAAAAATTCTATTATATCAGTAATTGTCAACAGTGCGAATATTTAAAGTAAATGTTTATTAAGTTTTTATTATAAGAAATAATGTATTTTAGGCTATATTTTTTACTTTCTAAAAAACGGGGAAGGTGTAGTGTGTGAGATCTCTCCCCATAAGTAGTGTAAGTTATTAGGTATAACCACTTAATTAAAGACGATCGTCCAGCTTACACGTCTCGTATTTGCTTCTACATTGCACCACATTTTAATGTAACACTTACTGGACGCTTATAACCTATTTACACCTGTTTACTTATAATATCATTGGTATTAACAAGTTCTTTAAAATAATAAAATAAAAAATGAAAAGGACACAAAGGACAAAAACAGTTAGTCGTATCTTCTGCCTATCTACTGCGATATGCGATATAGTAAGAAAATCTTTGATCGAGAAAATTCATTGTTACCCTAACCCGAAATCAGCAAACCGCCATCTTGCATTAATTGTTACCAAACACAAACATTCAAGTACTACTGTTTACTCTGTATTAATGATTTTTCGTATAATACCGCAAATTGACTATTAATTATAAGGACTATAAAGACATTTATATACGTTTTGTAGTTTATGAATTGTTTGTTTTGTTAAAACATAAAACATAATTATATTTAATTTTCTACCATTTCTACCAACCCCTAAGGTTAGTTGAGCTGGCAAGATGTGAGACAAGGACACACTACCGTGAGGAGCCCTCTCGCCTGGACCGGTTTTAGTTTGTTAACGCTTTTAAGAAAATAGCTACCCTATACATAACGGGATAAAGCACATTTTAGCTAAACAAAAAAATTTGGTGCACAGTCTAGTTTTAAGTACAAGGTCTTTGGTCTCCGGTCTTAAGTTTAAAAATTATACCTACCGTAAATGTCAAATCGTGTTAATTTTGTTTTTTTCTGTCAATTGTCAACCAACGAGAAACTAAAAAGCGTGTTGGTTGTTCAAAAAAGTGATATTAAATATTAGTAACGGCTGTTCTTAATATAAAGTGATAAGAGAACTGTATAGTATTGAAATTGAAAATGGAGCCAATGACTTTGGGTAGTCCGACTCACTCACCATCAAACAGCCCGAATGTTGCTTATTTGCCGCCTTTCCTTTTGGGTGAAATAAATCCTCCTACGACTCCTCGTACCAACAGCCTGTCCCCAACGAAAGGCAGGAGTTTAGCTTTTGGTAAGTTAGAGGGTCTTTTGAGGTGTAAAATGTACATAATGCATGTTATCAAGAAATTAAAATTGTTTAAAAGTTATAAAGATCAGAATCTCGTGATTTACTCTGATTCTTACCACGTATTTAAGACTGATGGATTGAATGTTTAGACCCTACAGAAATAACGCTAAAATTCCAGGTTCACCTACAAGTCCTAGTCAAACATCGACTCCGGACCAGAAAGCTTACCGCCAGAACATGTCTATGCACCAGCAGGCGCTGTATAACCATCAGAACATGTATCCTAATGTTCCTACAACCCCTAACATTTACCCAAGTATGCCTACAACACCCAACTTATCCTACACTAGCAAACCAAATGGACCACCTATTGAAGACCTCTTTGACACCATCAAGAGTAATGAACCGTCTATGAACAAGTCCCTATTTCAGGATAGTTTATATGGCAACAATAATTCTATGGCCCAAAATGGCTATGGCAATATGAATAATTCTGTAAATAATCAGTCATTAGCAACTCCATGGCAAGATGGGTGTCAGGAACATGATGAGTATTGGGTCACTGTCTTTGGATTCCCTCCAAATGCTGCTAATACTGTGCTGGCAAGGTTCAGTAACTGCGGTGCTATTTTAGGTAAGGTTAAATATGTAGGTAAACATAATTAATTACATGGTAAAATTATAAACTCAAGCTTTGTTGTTGCTATTTAAAATATTTGTTGAAATACCTAAGTAATTAATATTTAAGTTATTTGAACAAGTCTTTTTACTTGATTTGTTGTTAACTTACTCATTCATACTTTCAGATAAACAATATCCAACCCAAGGCAATTGGGCTCATGTACGGTATGCAACAAGAGCTGAGAAGGAGCGTGCAATGTCACTCAGTGGGCGGCAAGTGTTGCCTGGAGTGATGGTTGGTGTTGTTGAATGTAAGGAGCCCCCAAGGATTGGTGTTGCTAGCCCTGGCATTACTTCACCAGAAAGGTTAGAGTCAAGTGATACAGTAAAATATAATCTCAGCCTAACTTTGAAAAGATATATATATAAAAAAATATAAAATATCACGATTTTGCTTGCTTCTTGCACCTACTGCTATCTCTGCATCGCCCAAAGGTTCGACTGGGAGAGAATGCCTGTGGCATTAAGTCCCCCTTGTACACAGATGTATGTGCAAAAGTGTAAATAAAAAAATAAAAAAAGAATAGTCCTCCTGATTAACCATAGTTATTCCATGGCATCCCAAAAAACACAAGTGAAACTTGCATAATATTATGTTTCATCATGTGGTATGGTTACCAGACGCCCAAACTTTATCCCACAATAATCCTTCTTAATTTTCCAATGTTGCTAGTGTTCAAGGCTTGCATTGGTTGCTTACTATCAGATCATCTGTGTGCTGGTTAATTGCCTTTACCCTAAAAAGAGAATAACTTTTAAAAAAACATTAGGGGTGAATAGATGTTGGCGAATTTTCCTAGCATCTATTCACCCCTCTTCTGTGTCTATTTACCCCGTTTTTCTGTTTTTAGTTTGTAAGTTGGAATAATATATTAACTAACCCAATACCTTTACTGAATGGGAGGAGCCAGTGTTCTCTTGCTTGGCAACCGCAAACACCATATTTGTTGTTAAGGAGAGCAAAAATGTGTTTGTTTGTTTCAATAAAATTTCTTTCTCTTCCAGGCAAACTGGCGTCCGATCGCTATGTCCGACGCCAATCGCAAATGCTCCCGTCCCACAGCGGTCAAGTGGCCTTATTTCTAAGGCGTTAGACTACGTGCTGGGTTGGTGACATTCAAGAAATAATGTGGTGCGCAAAATCGGGCCAATCTATCGGCGAATCAGGCGAGCACGCGACCACGTCACTCGCTTACGATACCGACACAGAGACTTTTTTACAATGCTTGATGAAATGAACCAATTACATTTACATAATCATCCTGAGTTATTTCACATTAATGAAATGTAGTCTGAATGTGACATTATAATATATGAGCAGTCAGTGGCATAAATTGGATTTTTGATAAATACAGTTTTATAAATGCATGTGATATATTTTAATCTAAACTAAGTTACTTATATTATTTCTTTAATAATCAATTAATTTAGGTCGCCCTTACATTGCAATGTCGTCAAGTAATGTAAATTTACCGCAGAGCTATAAAAGTGAAATAACGCTAGCAGCCTAGCACCAACAGTTTCTGTGCAGTCTGCAATAAACAATTACCAATAGTTTAACACAATAATAAATAGATACATGCTATAATTAGCTGGTCTGTTTTTGAAACCTACTTTTGTGGAATTACCATTACAATACCCAGTCAGTAATCAATAATGTATTTAAATGTTGAATATATAGATTACTTTTGCGAAAAATTTGTAGCGTGACCCAGAGTCGTGCCATATGCAGATAAAATGCCCAACTTTGATACAAGGAATAATGCGTGCTGGATTGACGAGCCACGAATTACGACAGATTTTAAAATATCTATACAGACGACTACCTGATTTGTATGGAGGGAATAATTTTTATCATTTGCATTGCAATACCTAGTTAATTGTTAATATGAATCGCATACAATAAGGTCTTTTTTCCATTATTCATGATCACAAGACCAATAGAGTGCTAGCAGATATAGGTAGCAATTGCCAAAAAACATAAATTTGTAGCAACTAAAACTGCAGGTTATTACATATTGATACATTTTGTCGATTGTGCGATATTTAGTTCTATTTCTTGTAGGTAGATAAATTAGCCAACTTTCACAGTCGTTGACTGAGCCCATTGAGAGAATCGAATTCTTGTTAATCTTCACCATGTATAATTAATTATGAGAATATTATTTAATAAAGGGTTGTTTTATGTACAAAAAATAAAATAACTGATATTTCTTAATTAATTGTTTAATTGCTAAATATTACATATAAAATACTTAATTATGAAGATTTTTTCAAATTGTTGTGAAGATACGTGTCCAATTTTAAAACTTACAACCAATTAAAATGGAGTGAATAGGGTCTAGTTTGTTAAAACAATGCAATGGATTAAAATGAAATCTGCGCTGTGATGAAAATAAAAACACGTTATGGTGTGCTTAATTCAGTTACACACATGACAAAGTTGAGACAATTAAGATCTATTTATTCATTTATATCTAAATTTACCTTATTCAAAGATAAAATACAATTTTACGCGAAACTTAGCGTCTCATAAATATTACTTTATTTTCGTCAAACCCGTAAAACATCTATAATGTTACGATTGATAAAAATACTAGTTCACTATGTCTTGCAGTTTGATTTTCCTGTTTAATTCCGTTGCGATCTTCAGCGGTGGAAGCGGTAGATCAGTCTCCGGCCACGCCTAAAATCGTCGAAAACCTCCATACATTCTTTCATGAAACAAAAAAAAAACATAATTTGGATTAATATTCAAAAAACAAATGTTTCTGCTCATTTTATGTCATTAAATCCAATGTAATCCATCCATCCATCCATGTAATCTTGGCTTGAATCAGTAGAAATGAGATGTCATGTGTACATTATTTATAAACAATGTAAATAGAGAAAATACATAATGGAACATTTACAAACTAAACAAATAAGTATAGAATGGATTGAAAGACACTATAAGCTTGGGATTTATAATAAAATGCGTTTTGTTATTACTTTGGCTTGTCTATGGTGGCGTTAGCGAGATCGGTCATCTTAGGGTACTTGATGTTATGTTTGTCGAGCTCGCTCTGTGACCACAGGATCATACGGAGAAGACTGCATAGCTTCGGGTTGGTGTACTCCTGGTTTTCCATCTTAAGTATCGCGGCGTTCAGCTCACTTGCGATCTGTTGAGGCAGAACATTAATATCGCAATAACTAGGGTAAAACAAAAACCTATTATTAATTCATACCTTTTGACTATGTGAAGGCAGTAATAAGTCTGCGAAAGGTGATGCGTGTGGGTCGGGGAAGGCCAGCAGTGCCAGCGATCGCTCCAACTCTGTTAGAGCATTTGGATCATTAGCACCTGCCTCCGCGAGTGTCGCGCTAGCAAACGCTAAAGCTTCTTCTGCCCGACCCGCGCGAATCAACTCCAAGAGTTGCAATTGCTGCAAAAAAGATTTGTGATTATCATACATAAAAAAAGAACATGCTTCTACTTCCATCTATAACAGCTTTTATCGTTAGTAAAAATAACACATGATACAATGTTGTGGTGTGACCTACCATTAAAACTTACTGTTCTTTCCTTTCACGGGACCACAGGGTCCCGGACCTTTGGAAGGCGTACGAGGAGCCGAAGCCAACTCGCAGAGGCCCGTTGAACAGTTTTAATCTAAATGTGATGGGACATCAGCCGGCAATTATCCCTGTATGCACTATATAAGTGCACCCAAGGACAATCCCCGGTTGATGCAGGACTATTGTAAAATGTGGTAAAAATTGATAGGGTTATAGGTATGGGTTGCTATGGACTGGTGGATATGATAACTATCGAAATACAATATTGGGGCCCCTGACCAATATTGATACATACGGATAAACAGGCAGGGGGTGACTGGCAAACTCAATTAATGGGCCCCCGGAAACGGCCGCTAGCATGTAGCGACAAGGGGGCAACATACGTTGAGCTGCTTGGGGAAGGAGAGGCATCCCATGGCTATCAGAGCAATTCCGGAAGTACGGTCAAGACCCCTACCAGCACCTTACTGGAATACATCCTTCCCCCGAGTCTCCTTCAACTCCTACTCTTGCGAATCTCCACTCAAGCCAGCCAATTAAGGCAAGAATGAGGTAGGAGGGCTTGTTCCTCATCAGTGTTCACTCCAGCTAGTCACGGGGACTAACCGGAGATGAAGGACAAGACACCTCCCGGGAGTCAGGTCCGTGGGGTCGCCACTGCCCAACAGCTCGCCACAAGCTGCCTTGCGGATTTATTGTTAATGATATTGGAAAATGATCTTAATATTATAGTTCATTGTATTTACTAAATTATACTTGTCAATGCTATAATTATAATTACATTAGTAACTACGAAATGCAAATAGCTAGTCACCCAGCTGCAATAACTTATGTCAATCAAGTCAACAGTAATTAATTTACCTGTAAATGGAAATATAAATATCTGTCATTATCCAACAGTTCCGGGTGCAGAGCGTTCACCATAGCAATAGCATCAGGGATGCGACCAGTTTGAACAGCTTCACGGATCATGATTCTTTCATCCAATGAACTGCATAGAGCTGGTTCCTGCAGTCCAGCCTCTTGTTGAAATTTAATGGCTGCCTCTTTGAATCCCTCTGAAATATTTTAAAATTTTGCATGTGTTCTAAGGAACTCCCAAAAGTAATAAGTAAATGAAAAAATTTTTGAATTATAGTTGCGTAACATTCACTATTATTGTAATAATTGTTACTCAAGTAGTAATAGCATTACAAGTAAAGAATTTAGTAATTGATAATAAATAATACTTTTATGGAAGCATTACTATGTTACTTTATATCAAAATATTAACATACAATTCTAAAGATAAGGTATGAGGTGAGGTATACAAAAAACAAAAGTTTATCATCTTCATCACCCCTGTGGATAAGACCACCCGTGTGGGTTTAGTAGACAAATATTTTCAAGAGACCATCTTGTTTGATTGATTTTGCAAAAATGAAGTAGTGGACACCAATTTTGTTTAACAGAGTTGAATAGAAATTGAAAATTCATTTGACCTTCTACTATAGCATTGTTTTCTCAACCAATGGCTTTCCTAATCACTACTACGTTTAATAAAAAACCAAAAACTATGTCGAAATAAATGACCACACGTATTCTCCCGTGAGTTTATTTACAAAAAGTCCTTGTTATAAAAAACGAACGTGTCGTGGGCTTTTTCTTTGTTGCCATATTTTCAATTACTGTTAAATTTTAATACCGTTTATGATCTTCGTTTAAGATTAATGTCGATTACTAGGCAATGACACATGAATTATCAGAATTTAGAAATAATAGCTCTTACCTGTTACCAAATAATTCATTATCAACATGTTCATATCTGTTCTGGATATTTGCAATTCGTCTCCTTTATTGCGATCGTAGTATTTCCGATCTTCTCTTTCTTGGCCGCTATTTGCTAGGTCAAAACTCATTTTATTTGCTATGTTAGAACGCCCTACTTGTTACAGAGAAATGAAATGAAAATATTTTCAACAAACTCCTTTCTTTGGAATAATAAATATGACAATGACAAAATGTATCGTATCGTTCAAAGAATGAATGTTTGTACTATAATTTGTTCAATATTTACGTTCCATCATGGCCGACATAGGTTTTAGGCATTTTCATTGGTGGATAACTGATAACTACCAATCATAGAAGTGTGAGCCTATCAATATTGCAACGTTAAGAAAATATAGGAAGTCTGAACGAATGAAAAAATAAATGGATATCTATGGTACAATTTTTCTTTTCAGAAAATTATTATCTATAAAAAAATAATATTTAATATAATATTGTAGTTGCAGTAATTTACAATTTTTAGTAATATATAGTAATTAGTGAAAACTTGTTTCTTATTCCCACAATCCTACCCAGGATATTTATAATTTACTACTCCCAATATTTTTTTCGTACTTTCATCCTTTACTATGCCGATCATTAAAGATTTAATGAGAATTTTGAATAATACTGACTTCTTTATCTGTTTGGTCTTTAAATTCAAGGTTTTAGATACCTACTCCCTAGAGGCCTTTGTTTACTAGATACTGATTTTTTTGAACGGAGAAATCAATTGACTTCTCGCGGTGATCCTTATTTTAATTCTTCCATAGGTGTGACCTATATACCAAAAAAATATAGAGCGTCTTCCGTAGGCGTCTACCTATTTTTTTTTTTTATAAATGAATTGGAGACATCTAACTGTTTCAGCACTTGATGGTACTTAAGTGATTAGCGCCATCTATCGACACTTGCAACATATTAGACACAGGCGCGTTGATGGCCTGCAAAAGACCTACTACGCGCGTCTCATTTTAAGCTCGCTTCTGCTTCATATAGTTGTAAACGTTGCGTTCAGAAAATTGCCGCCGAAAGATTATTCCAAATTTTTGCTGTGCGAGTAAGTCTCGCAAATATTGGGCAGTTGTCGACAGACAACTATATGATGTTTTCGCGTGGGTAGACAGCGAAAAGATGTAGCGAGGATCAAAGTAACAAATTTTATGGAGCACTCCCCGTGGTATAGACGTTAGAGAAGAGGTGCTACATGCCTAGGTTGAGTCAGAGTCCAGTGGGTCTCAGATATGGGCAGTCAGTCAACATTCGAATTGCTCGTTGCTGTATGGGGTCCCGAGGGAGAAGCTGGTACCATTTTCATGAGGAGCTAAACTTGCGCCTTGTAATGTACCTAGAACACCCCGGAGTAAAATATAGCCTTAATCTATTACGCACACCTAGCATCTTCGAGGCTGACTAGGCCTAGCCACTAAATGACCGCGGAAATAGACTTCGCTCGATGTAATATCATACCAACTCAATTCCAATAGTGGTCGAGGCCATCCGTAACTGTATGCTAAGGGTGCTCTGAAACTGAAGAGACAAGCTATCACGTAGCTGATTGTTTATAAGTATGTAACATTTACAAAAAACGTTCGTCGTGGGTCTATAAATGCACCTTTCTTCTCCAAACAGTTCGATGTGAAGGAAAACATTATATATACTGACCTCCCTCGCGTCTCGCTACATGCTAGCGGCCGTTTCCGGACCCCATTAATTAATTTTGTCAGTCAATCCCTGCCTATTTAGTCGTATGTATCAGTATTGCTCAGTGGAAAAGATAGATAGAATTACCAGAGATATCATATTTACAATAACATTATAAGTTTGATATCACCAATCCGCCTTAAGTAAAGAGTGGTGGGTGACTTGAAAATTCTGATTTCACTCGTGGCTAGGGTTTCCAAGTTGCCAAACCTAACAGCCAAACAGACCAGCCAGATTGGTCCGACATTTGGGTGTCAGACACCCTGCGTTATTGAGGATTTTGTCACAATAATGTAGGGTGTAATTTGTTAGGTACAACATATTTATGCAAAACCAAGCTTGATTATTATCATAAATCTTGGCGCTTGGTCGATAATGAAAATCAGGGATCCGGGATCCACAACCCCTGCTGGACATCGACCATAGTCACATCACGCCATACGTTCGTTTTTTTGTGAGGGAAAACTTATAAAAAATTTTTTCCCGCCTAGAGTCGGGCGTAAAGGAGTGTCACTCTTACTGACTAAATAACCCCCTCTTAATTCTCCTGCTCTGGGTAGAGGCTGCGGTGCCTCATTGCGCTTGCTCAGGTGGCGACCTACCTTAACTCCTCGTCTGCAGACCCGCGTTCTAGGTTGGCCCGTTCAGTTTATGCATGCACTAGTTTTATTCATACATACACAATTACACACAAATACACACTAATTTTTGGATACATCTCTTTTCTTCTAAAGTCTATGGATTAAAAAAAGTTCCGCCAGGACAACGTTCGCCCAGCGGAATCAGTTTTTGGTGAATTTCTCCACAATAATTGCGTGCACAAATTTTTTTTTACCATACACAATTATACGACGTCATACACTAAATATCTGCATAATTAAAATCTTTAAATTCAACAACATTCCGCTGCACGAACGCACGCGGCCCGTTGCCTTCCGCAGGCCCACGCTTATTGTAACGCTGTCTAGGAAGGGATTTCGTTCCATAGTAACTCGAGCGGGTCAGATAACATTATGTAGTATACGAAGTGTCTGTTGAAAATAACCATCTTAAGTCAAGTAGAGGAATTATACAAAATTATGTTACCAAATACCATAGTTTCGTTAGATTTTAGGCAGGCATTTGGACGATCGCTGTTAGCTTACATTTAAACTTTACATGGATCTTCAGCCCCTTTTGGTCAGCACCTGAACCAGAGATCATGATTCAGTACCTATTATACCTATCTATGATTTCCGAGCCGGAAGGCGTCCACTGTTTAACAAAGGCTTCCCCTTTAGTCCTCCACGTCGAACAACCCATACCACACTTGTTTGCATTGGGTACCCGCAACGATGAATTTATTATTGATTTTCAGAACATACAAGAGAAACAAATACAAGCAAGCAGCTAATATTTGTGAGAAGCGAATGCACTCGTACTCGCAGAAGTGCGCAAAGAATTAAAATACAATTTGTGTTTAGCTAATTTATTTATTTTCAGTTCTTAATCGCCAATAACCTACAATAAAGAGCTGATAATACAATTTAAAAAAAGTCCTATCCTATTTTTATTGAATAATGCTTGGTAACAAATATCGTTTTTGTATTCAATAAAAAGTTACAACTAAACAATTATTATAAAACAAACCCAATAATGTTTGTGGAGTGCATCTCTCGGTTACAGTAGTCATCGACTGCGATGTCGACGTAATATTTATTATCATACATTATTGAGAAAAAAATAATAACTTAAAAATTTAAATAAAGCTAATTAATCATTCTCTAAAAGCCATGTATCAGTGAGTTAATTTCGAGGAAATAAGTTCTGTAGTAGTTATTTATATATAGTTTAATATTGGCTAGAAATGCCGTTACATTATAGATAAGAATACATTTTTAATATAGTCCTAAAGTTATCCCGAACTGTCTGATACAAGAGGCCATCTCTCAAAAGAGCTAAGGGCGGGCATCTGCACCGCCCTTTACATACAATCAAATTAAATATAATTTACCAACTACAACTATAATTCGACAACACTATAAAGAAAAGTACAGTAAAAATAATCATCAATCAAAAATAATTATGGCTAACTAATTCGCACTTTCGAGGACAATGAATAAGAGGCACTCTGCGTGAATTTATTATTTGTGTAGATACAACATTACTATAGGTTTCATAATGATCCTTTAGAAAATATACAAAATACAAGTGTATTCCTGACATCCGTGTCTGCTGTAAAGACGTAATTCTGTTGACAAACCCGTTTTGTTAATTAGAACATTAAGCCAGAGCTAAATAGTGTCGTGCTTGGCTACAAGTCGTCCGACTTGGCTTCATCGATCCTCAGTCTATGAACACAATATCCAGCGTACCTTACCTAAAGCATTAAAAGCTAATTATGTGTATGTGGCATGAACTAAACTGTGGAATTTTACACCGGCAATATTGCAAATGCTCTATTTATTGCTAAGTCTATGGTTTATTGGACGTCACTTTGAACTGAAAACAAAAACACAACTGGTGGGAACACAAATTGTATTATATTGATGTACATTAATACTGTACTAAATGAAAATGTTTGGCAATATTAGCCAGTGTCAAATTCCACCAGCAATCACAATGTCTTGATTCATTAGGATACTTTACTCTCCCGCATATAATATTCACATATACCAAAATATGTTTGTCTTGATATAGTTGCAGTATTATACCGCACAGCAAAGTTCATGCTCATTAGGACAGATCTGGAAACAAATAAAGTAATTTTATAATAAATAGTAATTGTAAGGTATTTGATGTATGGCTGAGCCAAGTATAGAGTTTTTCATTTAATTATTGCTGAGTAGAAATTAAATAAGAAATAATGATTTAACAACTCCTGATTAAGTAATTAACTTTTAGCTGGTGCATCAGCATTATAAGAATAATAAAAAATTAAAATCTTAAATAAAAACTCATCAGTGAAGAAATGGGGTAATTATCAAATTATGTATATACTCACAGCTGGGGACGAGGTCCTGATGCATGTGGTGCTCGGCGTCCATGCCGAGGGGCATGCAGGTTGCGGGCGGGGGTCGGCGCTGCACCTGTCACACAAATGTCACATGTGTTACATATTATATTGTTTTGAGATCTCATTTTGTTAGATTCAATTTGTTTACAATAAAACGAATATAAGTACAGTACGGCCGCCGTATCTTGGAGAGTCGCAAGACAAGCAAGCTTGCGCACCTAATCGGCTAACTTCAGACTCGCCAAGATACGTCGGCGGTATTGTACATCGAGAATTTGGAGGAACCATGTGTATTCTTATGATGACTCAAAAGATTAATTGATATAACAAAATATAATTAATATATATCGCTATCATGCTTTGATTTACTTTTTTCATACGAATTTTTATAAAGTGATTAGACTGCTACTTTTCCTTGTCAAAGCATTTAAATTCTGACTACACATCAATGTAAATCAGCAACATGGAAACGAAAAACAAAACTAAGACAATTAAAATACAATGCTTACTTGAGCATTAATTTGAAAAGCAGCGTTCTATTTTATTGATAAGGAGAGCGTGTGAAATGTCCGTTATCGTCAGACGCCATTTGTCGTTGATATCGGTTCAAAAACAAAAACGTTAGAAACCGATAATTTTTTATCTTATTGATGATTATTTAGTCATTAAATAAATAGATATGCTAATTATGTTTCAATTTCATAATGATTTTTTAAAACTATTGATAAATCAGTGGCCATAGTTTTAGTGGACTAAAAGCCTAATGACTGACAAAAACCAAAGCTTGTGTTTCTTGAATCTGTAGGGATAACCTTTTTTCTTAGTTTCCTTGCATCCTGATCTTGAAGATGGTTTATTTCATTTGACTAAATAGTAAAAGCCGTCTCTGGCATACAAATCTTTAGAGAGGGATAAAACAATTTACTTCACAGTGTAAAAAACATTTGTTGCATTGTGGTTTTTTTTTGTGAATCAAATGTACTGCATCTGTATTTATTCACAGTTGTAATTTAACTTTTAGACACATGTTATGATGACATATCAAATCTTTTTTTCGAATATAACTGCATTAACACATTCAGTGCCCCCGACGCGTATGTGCGTTTCCTTACGCTACTCTGTGTGCCCTCGACGCACCTGTGCGTTCTATACATTAATGTATTGAAAGTTAAAGAGTAGGAAATTCTAAAAAGTACCTGATCGAGATTGAAGCGTACGAAAGCCTCATACTGTTCAGCAAGCTTGGTGCTAAGTGCAGACTCGTACTCCGAGCGCAGAGCTACCTCCTGCTCACGCAACATCCGCTCGCAGATCATACGCACCTGTGACGAAAATGTTTAGATAACAATAAAAATGTTTCATAGCAAACCTAAAATGCATATATTTTTTGATACAATTGAAGAAGTTATATCAGCAATGGTATTCTTTGCTTTTTTTCGTGTTATTTGGGAAGATAATGGGACTTTTTTTACAGACAACCATTGTATTATTAACTACACACAAAGTAACCAATGAAAACTGTTTTACACTATTCAAAACCATTTAATAACAAGGTATATATCTGAACAATATTATAACTCACGGAAGGGTGGTTGAGTTGCCAAATTACGAAAATAAACTGTTGTGACTAGGGACAATACTTATTGTTGAAGAAAAATTGCAAATAGTAATAATAATTATTAAAATTCTTTGTTCAACATATTAAGTTTTCACAATTGAGTTCAAGTAAAGCCAAAGCAGACATATTGCATTTGCTTAAGATATTAAGGTGAACATTAGGGAGGTAAATTAAATATTGTATTTAAATACATAAATAAATGTGAGGGTCATAGTTGCAGTTGTGTGTCATCTCCATTTTAGCGTAATTTACTATGTGGCAAAGCAAAACAAAATTCGACCAATTCTTGTTGGCTGCAGTTTAATAAATCCTGACCACTTCATTCTTATTAATAGATAACAAACAATTTAGGAAAAGTTGTTTCCTTTACTGCAGATATAATTTCTCCTAGCACGGACATAAACCAAAATTAGTTATCAATTTATGGATTACCTGAAAATCAGTTTCTTTCAGGTAATCTTGTAATCTTACACTACCATTAATTCCATTCCTTAGTATTACTAACTACTATACTTACTTGTTTAAAAGTGAAGAGGGCACGGTGGTGCACCTTCTGTGTGTTGTGTGAGGAGCGATGAGGAGGCGAGCAGTCACCTTCGGAGCCACTAGAAGAGGAGCAGGATGCCGCTGCGTTTGTCAGCCGCAGTTGACGACGACGATGAAGGCGCTTAATCTCGTCACATATCTCCTGTGCCATACGCTCTGCAGATCCAATTTGATCAAATTAAAAGTGGAATTTAGTATTCACAAATGTCTTTTTAATCTTGTTTTATTTTAGTTATTTCCCAAGAAGTGCTTTTCCTTAAAATTTAAGTATAATAAAGATTATTAATTTAATAGTCTTAGTTGTAAAATGATTGTCATTGAAGAAGTTTAAATAAAAACCATACGTTCAAATTGTTTAACCAGTGGCTTAAAATTGCAAATTATTATTTGAAATAGTTGTGCTAACAAATTATTCCTTATTAATTGAGACATGTGATAAACAATACCATAGTGTAAGGTTGCCAAAACATTTGACTTGATACAAATTGTTTGAAGAGGAATTTAAATATAATCATTGTATCTTAGTTTAGTCAGATGTCAATTAAGGTGTCAAAATTAACAACCAGTCAGTTGTAAAATAAGACACGGAACACAAACAAAAAAAAAAAATATGTTCTAGCATTGCACAGAATGCTGTAGTTTGGAATATTACAGATTTGCTTATTTTTCAGATGTTAGCTAACATTGTTTAGCAATAGCCTATAATTATAATAAGTTTTGAAGGGTTATTAACTCCTTATTGACCAAGATAAGACAAAAGGTAATTTAATTATTGATTAACTATCCAACTCTAGAATTCATCAGCTCTACTACTACTCATAAATTCACATATCAGCAATATACAATTAGTTGAATAGGTAATTGTATAATTTTAAGCCTGCAATTTCTTTCATTTATTCCAGTTAAGTTAGTAAATGTAGCAACAATTGATTTAAAAATGTATACACTCATAACTTTTTATAGTGTTTATAAAGTTAAAGTTGATCAATAACTGTGAAATAAATATTGTGAAAGAAAGTTGCCTTTTTCATAGCTTTACCTTATTCAATGACTTAGAAATTTCTACTAAAATAAAAATAGAAACTATTTGGAACATGCTTTTTTAAGATATTTGATTTCATGGCATTAAATGAGATATTGCAAAAAGTATGAATAAACCATATTGAACTCTATGGTGTAAACTTATTCACAATAATGACAAAGGTTTATGTTCATGGACCATGACTGAAATTTGCCTCAGGTAACAAATGCATAACTCCATTTTGAACATAAAAAAAAGGTTAAGGGCATAGAGATCTGATCATAAAAAATATGGTATTTTTACTACAAGCTACATGGTATTTTTCATGTCCTTTAAAAGATGACTATTATAATATTAAGTGCTATTTAAATCTTTATTTAATTTTGTGCCTTAATTGTGTGACTACTAAGCATTTAATGATGGCAAGGTTAATCATGATGCTTGCAACAAAATCATGACGTATTTTTAATATTTTTTGTTGTAGTCATGAAATTAATTTTTATACATATATATTTGTATTATGGTATAATGTGACACAGCAAGATCTAGTTATTTGATAAAGTATAAGTACAAAGCATCTAAAATAGATTACAAAGTTTATGAAAAATACCCAGCTGTTCATATATTCTAGTTATTTACATTCCTACATACAATATAACCTTCACACTACGTGTTTAAGTAACATAAGCCACACAATAAAAGAAGTCTTTATTATGTTTTGATGAATACTAATAATCAAGGTATAAACTGTCAACTCGTAAATAAATCAACCTACATATGCATTTAATTGCTTTTTATAAAATGTCTAGTCATCCAGTTAATTAGTATATGCTGAAATGCAGACAATGCTGCGTGTAGGTATTTAGGTACCGTCCATATTTTGGCTGATCTGACTCAGAGGAAACACATACTACGGGTAAAAACTCCGAATTCAGCAAAAACCGTCCTACAATTTACTACCACAAAGACATTTGAGATAGGATTTAACACAAAAACCAACAAAAGGACATGAAAAAATCCACGCAACGGTCTTCATGCATCGCTCATCTCGCTCTAACGCGATAAAAATATTCATGATGCAGTGGAAACAATGGCGTTAGATAATACAGCTGATTAAATATACAAATAATTTACCACACAGTATTATTTCATCGAAACTACTAACGTAGCAAGTCGTCATCGCATTCTTGAAGCCTTAATAAAAAAAATAAACAAACCTGGGGTCAGTTTCGCAGGTGCAATAACGGATTCTCCAAATGACGATTGTCTGTTTTCAGAAACTTTTACTCCAGGACTTGTGCTTGAACTGCTGGCTGCAAATGGTGAACACCTTCGCCGCTTAGCAGGCATTTGCGCCATGGACTCCCAGTCCAAATTTCTTTTGAGAGTAGCACACGCCATTTTCTTTTTACGCCCAGCGAATGTCCTCTACCTATCCGAGACTATGTTTGGAATTTCTGCTTTTGTCACGAAACTAGCAAATATCGAAATAATAATAAATCTCAAGGAAACGTAACACTACAATTTTAAAATTGATATTTCTAAATAATTTTCATGAAGGATTTTAACAAATATTAAAGATTATTCGACGCTCTCTGGTTCTCTCACTTCCAAATAAAATCCAGCAGCGAACACTTTTCACTAAATTCAATTTTATTTTGACATTTTGTTGTTATAATCAGGTGTACCAACCTACGAAAATTTAAAGACATAGACAATCATGAGACAATCTTGCACTTCAAGTAGTAAATTGTATGAGAATATCATTAAAATATTAAAACTGGGTTTACAATTAATTTACCATTTGATTGACAATTAACCAATATACGATTATGAAATTAAATACTTTTCTGCAATACTTACCAAACAAATGAAAAACATTGGAAAATACTTAACATTCTCTCGCCACTCGCCACACTGAAACCCACTGATACTGCGTTATCCAGACCATAAACTCAAAAAAAAAAAAATACTGATACTGATAGTTCTTTGACAGCTGAAGATAGGGCAAAATTGTTTTGACGAGTGATTCTGAGTCATCGTCTAAATAAATTAATTGGAACCTCAGTTCATTAGAACCGCAACTCCCTTAATTATTTTGTTATTCAACCCTGTGCTTAGCACTAAGCTAAAAGGTCCTTGTGACTATTGTTTTTGTGTTATAAGTTTTTTAAAAGCCGTCAAGCTGGGGAACGAAATGTCTTCATCCGCTATGGAAAGTATCCTTTTTGATAGAATCGTAAGTTTTGACACTAATCTATTCTTTTTCAGTGTTTCAAGCCCAATATGTTGAAATTTAAATTGTAAAATTAAAACTTAATAGTACCTATGTAGAATCCATCTGAAGCACAGAACTATTGATGGATTTTCTTGAAGGTATTTCTCAGTTTGGCATTGAACTTAAGTTGTTTCTACTATGTTTACCTTGTATTTCGTTATAGATTTACCAGTGTCTGTCATTGTCTGAATTTTATATTGTAACATTTTCGGGTTTAGAAAACCCTTAACTTATTTTAGTAAGACAATGTAGTGACAAACTAACTAGTATTATTTGCTCAATAAGTTGATGATTCATAGATATACTTAGTGAGCAATATTGTTTTAGTCGGATGTGAATGTTCTACAATTAAAGAAATTTGGAAGAAAATAAGTTAACTGAAATTTGAAAAACTATTTAATGTTTTTGATGTCATTTTAGTTAAAAAATATAAATTGTGTAATCTTTTACTTACCACATCACAACAACTTTTTTTCTTTACTTAAAAAATATATCCTTAACTTACTCCCATCAGAACACCTATTTAATTTAAAATTTGCTGTGAAAGAGTTAGAGAGAAATTCTAAAAAATGTGAAAAGGAAGAAAAGATTGAGAAGGAAAAAGCAAAGAAGGCAATACAGAAGGGAAACTTAGAAGGAGCACGAATACATGCAGAAAATGCCATAAGACAGAAGAATCAGGCACTCAACTATTTAAGGATGTCAGCTAGAGTTGATGCAGTGTCAAGTAGAGTGCAGACTGCTCTCACCACTAGGAAGGTGTGTTTGTATTTGAATTTCATTTACATAAAATATCTAAAAGATTAATGAGTATCTCCAATGTCTGGCTATTTACTACTAACCACATAATTTAGTTGTTGTAGATATACTAGACTGATTACAAAGTCACAATAATAAAATATTGCAGATTACAGAACCACAGCTATAAATTACACCATAATTAAAACTAGTGTGAACTTAGAAGTGAATTATTGTAAGTGTTGACCTCTGTTATATATCTTTTAAGGTAATTAATCATTTGATTTCAGGTCACAAATTCCATGGCAGGTGTTGTAAAGGCAATGGATGCAGCAATGAAGTCAATGAACCTTGAAAAGATATCCACACTCATGGACAAGTTCGAGAGTCAGTTTGAAGACCTGGATGTCCAGTCCTCATACATGGAGAATGCTATGTCACAGACCACAACCACTACAGTACCTCAAGGAGATGTTGACAATCTCTTGCAACAAGTTGCTGATGAAGCTGGGTATGTTTATATATGATAGATTTGCAATGTAATTTTTTAAAATGTGATTTGCCTTTTCAAAGCTGAGGTGTACCTGAGAGCCCAGAGTACCAATGTAAAAACTAGTCTGTGTGTTTCCAGGTTTTATACCTATTCAGAATATATCTTCACCAAATTTAATTCAGATCAGTTCCTTAGTTTATACATTATTATTTACTAACTTTCAAATTTTAATGTTAGCAGGATGATACTTATTACTCCATATTTAACATTTCAGTTTGGAACTCAATATGGAGCTACCGTCCGGAGTACCCAGCACTTCAGTGGGACAGTCCACTGTAGTGTCTCAAGAACAAGACGAGCTTACACAGAGGCTGGCCAGATTACGACAAGCAGAATAACCATCATTGTACATAAATGTTATGTATTATGCACATGTTTTAATGTAAGACCTAAATGATGCATGTTTCTTTGTCAGGTTGCACAGTTTATGCCCTTTCATATTACAATTTGTGAAGTTCATTTTATGAAGTTGTCATCCTTATGAATTTATTTAATTCATATTATGAACATTAAGCTAATTGTGAAAAGGCAAGAAGTACAAGAAAAAATCTTTTTTGTACTAAACAGATCACATAAAAACAATATTTAATCTATTTCATTCATGCAATGTGTACAATTTTCAGTTACAAACAACCCTTTTCAGTAAATATCCTTATTCTATTCTTTATATTAATTGTTCGAGATCTTACCGAGTAACTGATGACGTCATATTTACTTGACGCAATGCAGCGTGGTGATTACAGTTAGAAGAAAAGAAAACCATGTACTGTCGTATACTTAATGATCGCAAGCCCTTCATTGAATCTGTGTCTCATTCCACATATTACAGTATTAGAAGATAAATACTATTTTTTTTGTGAGAATGTGGCTGTTGCAAATTTACTTTGCGTTAAGGCGATCGACAAGTTTATGACGTTATGCGCCCTGATTGGCTAGCTCCAATTCACCCGACCAAATTATAACGTTTCAATCACGTTAACGTAAAACTAGCACTAGGCACACTGTTATTTATTAGTTTATCTGAGGTGTTGAACGTCACATATCTATGTTCAACACGTATGTACATATTTTATTAAACCGTAGATCTGTTTGTCTTTGCTGTGCTATGAAATATTTTAGACATAAACTACGCAACATCTGATTAATAAACGTGTGGCTTTCAGTTAAATCGGACAATAAAGTTTGTATTTTTTTGCGAATTATAAATCAGCAAAATTTAGGTCATAATAGCATTTTTGCAGATCTTACTTTCAACAAGAATCTTATGTGTTTTTGTTATATTACAATGGTTCGCATCATTTCCACTTTATGCTATTGTACTGTGATCATAAAGATAAAACTGGAATATAAATAAGTATCTAAGATAAAATATTAATGTCTTGTAATTTTTTGTAAATTATCTTTATAAAGTTATGAATAATGAATTCACTTTTATTTTGTTATGTAGCTAGTATTATTTTACAACCTAAATATTACTTGGATACTTTTCTTTTCGCGTTTTATAAAAATAAAACTTGGAGACTGCTATTTATCGTTATATTCAAGGAGGGCAGTAAATTAGAATCTACTTTGGCAGTTATTTATTGATTTACGCCCGGTTCCTATAATTGAGAAACGATCCGTTTTAATTACGAATAGTAGTTTTAAACGTCTCGTCGTGCAACTTACCGACGGTTTGCAACGAACGGATATCGGTAAGCGAATTGTATGGAGATCTATGGTGTCTGTGGTTTTCCTATAAATATTTTAACCGTCAGTAGACGGTCAAGATAACTATTCGTAATGTCATTTGGTCGTAATGCGTATACAACGACGATTCGTTAATTAGAGGAACCGGGCATTAATCTATATATTGGTGAGTCCCGATAATTTCTGGTTACTGGTTACCATCATCTTGATGGGCATGTCCTATTGATTAAACCAGTAACTTAGTCATAAATTTTACACTAAAATCAAGGAATGCTTTGTGTACCATAAATAGGTTGAAAATTGAAAACGCAACTGTTGGTAAAATACTTTTAATATTCATAAAACAATTAAAGAAACAAGCACATATCAATAGAAATAACAGTAAACTTCCAACTAATACTAATAATACGGAAAAATCTGTAGTGTGACTACATTTCTTACAAGCTACAGGCGTACTAGCTACCTCAATACCGTACGGTGCGCCAACCCTGCGGCCCAGGTCATTGGCGGATCTGCTAAAATGTATATCACAACTAAAACTCAGGAAAACATTAATCTTAATAATACAAAATAACTCCACGAAATCTTCGTCGATTTCATTCGTAGAAACTGTATGCTTTGTCCAGATCAAGGTGAAATTGTATGAAGTTTTTTTGTGAAATATTTTAATATTTTTGTTTGATATTGTAGTACAATTCCACCCCAATTTGGACACTGCTTCTAACTTATTATGTGTGGTGTTTATACCTAGGAATATGGCATTAATATGACTTAGTAAAAATGTGAATACTTTTATATCTTTGGTGTGGTGTTAAGCATCCCCGTTGTCGGTGGTCGCGAAGGATATGTGGTAGAAGTACCAGTCTTCTAGGAACGATGGTACGAAGGCTTTGCTCTTCGTGTACTTGACTGGCGGCTTCAGCTTGGCAAGCTCTTGCTCGTACAGCTCCAGAGATTCGGGGGAAGTGGCGCCATTACCCTGGAATCCAAATACCATATTAAAAGATGTAAATTTAAAAATATTTTCTAATTTATTTACAGCAGAATATTATGGATTTCAGCTTAAGTGAGTCTTAAAATGAATTTATTACATACGTGGGTCATAAACTTCCCGTTAGGCTTGAGAATCTTGAATGAAGAGTTCAGGATAGTGATCATGAATTCCCAGAGTTCTCCACATGCGGATTCCGAGATGGGAATATCGGTGAGGTCCCCAAATATATAGTCAACCTTCTTGCCCTCTGCGATGAATTTGTTCACAGTCAGCATGCAATCCTCAACAATCACCTGTAGAAATAGAATTTTGTAATTGAAACTGCGAAGGAGGTTTTTCTTATGTTCACCGGAGTCGATCGCAAGATCGCCGTATACCGCAGCTGGCTTGAAACAGTAATTGACATAGTGGTTTTTATTGAATGTTGAATGGACTGCCACGTTTTTGTGGTGCATCAAGGATGTTTGCGGAGGCCAGAGATCATGGTTTCCATTTGTAATGCGTTAAGTTTAAACGTCATCTTGAGCCTATTTTGGGATAAATGGGACAATTTGACAAATTTGGGCCATTTTATTACACTGCACCACGCGACTAGACTAAAAAGTAGAATTCGTTTTATTTATAATATTAAATTGCTAACATAGGTACTTGTTACTAACATTTTATGTCATTTTAACCTTTTTTTTTAATTTTGTAAGTCACATTCCGCCCACATACAGTAAGTAGTACCACGGATAAATATTCTTTGTATAATACTATTACTAGAAGTATTTGGAAAAAAACGAACGATTTGTCGTGGTTAGGTTTCCAAACATTAATTTTACATACGACCAAATATTGCTCAATAACAAAAAGCGAGTACCAATAATGGTACTTGATTCGTTTAGTAAGTAATACAGATTTACCTCATTCTATTACTTTAAAAATTCAAACGTAGTCCCTGAATATTCGATTACGATCGTCCTACATCTACGTGCATATTACCTAAATAGAAATCGGGTTGACAAGCTACAAGCTATAAATAGCGACTGATATTTACAAACGGTGGCGTAATGATAGTTATTTGGCCCGCAAACGCAAAACTTGTGATTCAAGAATTATGATCGTAACAAAAATCACAATTTTAATTATTTTGTCATTAATATAATTTAGTTATATCGGTGTTATGTTTTCTGTCTGGTTTGGCGTAGGCATATAAAATGAAAAATTTAACCGTTTATAGAATAAACGGTTATAACAGTCAGACCTACATTGTGATTTAGTTAGTGTTGTAGGAATAAATTCTAGGTTGGAAGGAATATTGAAATTTTAACTTTTACATATCCTCTTGTTCTAAATTGATATGGAGAAGAAAGCGCAAAAAAATAATAGTAATGGTAGTTAGCACGGCACATTTGTGATGATGACTACGATGACTGCAGGTGGCTTTAAACAGGCACATCTGGAAGTCATTGAGGGAGGCCATGTTCAGCAAAGGACGTTATGTGGTTGATATAATGATGAAATTGCAATTAAATAGAAACTAAAGATTTTTATGTGATACCTAGGACGGCAAACGAGCAGACGGACAGGAATACCTGATGGTAAGTAATCAGCGCCGCCCATGGACACCCGCAACTACGGAGGAGTTACGAGTAAGTTGTCGTCCTTTTGAGGATTAGAGTTTTTGGAGAAGGGGAGGGGAAGGATGGGGCTTCAGTCACACGGCGAAACACAAAGATAATATAATAAAGAAATTACTTCATAGTTAGGGCCTTTTCTGGTCTCCAGCACATCCCCGCATATTGACCGCAAGTATTTGTTGCAGGCGGTCATCACAACCTCGTCAATTTCCAGCATCCACACGTACTTTGGTTTCTCCTTGAGGAGTTCGTACAAAAGAGCTCCGTCGCCGCCACCTTAAACAATCAGGTAGTTTCCTATGTCAAAAATAAACTATTTTATGTTTTCAATCAATGAATTATTAAATTACGTAAAGATAGACGCAAAAACGTAATGACTTCACATGTTGAGATCTCATACAAAATTCATAGAAAAGTATCCCTTTTGACATTTCGATAAAAGTAATGAATTTGACTAGTTGGAAACTACCGAATTAGCCCCTATTAGATTGAAAGCGAGTTAGGTAGGTTAGGTATTATGAAGTATCCATGACCTACTTGTATCGTTTTGGCATCGCGTTAAACTGAAGTAAATACAAATTAATGCCCTGATTATTTACGGTAAATCTTACTTTTACTAATCTATACTAATATTATAAAGAGGTAAAAGGACATGGCCAACTTTTGTATGGGCGTTTGCATAGTTATTGAATTCAATGTACATCAATGATTTTTGGTGTTTACATTCGTGAATATTATTAAATTAAATTGCAAAAAATAAAACACATGAAGAACTCGTAATTATAACAAACAAGACGAAAATAGTTTCACTAAACCTTTAGTCAGATTACTGGCCATAAGTGCACGAAATAAGATTTTGCTTTTAAAAACCATGGCATTTTAATTATTTATTTATTTATTTATAAAATAAAACAAAAGAATATGTATAAAGAATAATGATTTATTTATTAAGGAGAACAAATAAAATAAAACTACATAATAATTCACTTTTATATTTTTATTATGAAGTGTATTTTATTATGTTTGTGTATGGAATGTACGTTTCTGTAATATATATTCTGTATAATTGGGTAATAATATGGTAGTACTTTCCATTTGAAGCGGCCTGCTTAAAACAGGTGGTAAAGGTGGTGGCTCTGGTGGGCTAACCACTTGAATATAAGGAGCTGCTGCATTGTTGTCCGAACCTAATTCCTGCAAGTTTCGTGATAAGTCCTGCACTGTCTGTCTATTTGCCTGCATACAGCACACATGACAAACATAGTTGCTTCTTGAGGTCTGAAAATAAACCCCAGTAAGATTAAACACATGTTTTCAAGTTTTATGTTATTGTACAGTGAGAAGTATTATGTTACAACATGCCTACTTTAAAGAAGTCTATGCAAACATGGAAAATACATAAAGATAGATATTATAATCACACATACCTACTATGAGTACTTTTTTATACATTAATATAGATAAATACAAGTACATAAATAAAACAATGAATAAAAAACAAAATGCTTACCACATTAATAGTATTTTGTGATATTAGGCCAGCTAGCAATGGAGAGTCCATACTGACATTATGGTGTCTTATTTTTCGAACCGATTTTCCACAACCAAGGCAAGCCATGTTATGCCCCAGTAGTCTCTCATGTTCATCAGCCTCAGTATTCAATAATAAGAAGCGTGGTTGACAAATGAATGTCCCCAGAGGCAACTGAAAAAAAGATGCAGTTTTTAAAATCGCATACCATTATAAAACATAAAAAACTGACTAAGTATTATACTATTCCGACTTCATACCTGGGTTTGAGCATTGGTTAACCAACGCGAAAGTATTGTTGGATGGTGTGCAGAAAGCGAGGATATAAGACGCCTCTGCAGCCTTTGTATGGCTATTCCGCATTTGATGCACCTCATCGTAATCCACAAAACAAAACAGTCCAGTACTCCAGTATTATTAGCAATGTCAACAGAAACACGCTGTCAAAAGTGTCAAACACTTTCCGTTTCGTTTAAGTTTTTTTTTTTGGTGAATTGAATAAAAATTGAACATAATATTATTATAATACTAGTATTTTATAAAATGCAACTGAAACCAATGAATACAGTTTCGTATGAATAAAATGTTCCTAGTGTAATGCATTTGTCGATCATATCACACGTTTTCTACGAGTGTAGTTTAAGACACGTGGTTTGGAATTGGAACGTCTTTTTATTTATCTTTCTCTATGGACTATTATGGCGAAACTTGACAAACGATAAGTTGATTTTGTTGCATTACTTTTACATTTTTTTAATAATAATTGTCAGGTCTGGAGAGGCTAAAAACTACGTAATAATTCATATTTCTATTTGTATTTTACAGTGTATTAATTTTGTTCGTGTACGTGGAATGTACTTTTTTGGCCATGTCCTTTGTAAGTTTGTATGTAGATGGTAATGTTTTGAATCACTGGCCGGATTCCCAAAACTCTTTCCCTTATTGATAGCTACAATGTGCCCGAGTGCTATAGGCTATAAAACATCACGCTACAATCAAATGAGGCCGAGTAGCGAGTGAAACACCGCGCGGGAGTAGCTAGTAGTATTATTTTAATATTCTCAGATAACTTTTATCTAATTATTGAAAAATCAGCGCTATTAAATTTTAGTATGTCACATACCTATTATTCAAAAATGTTGATTAGACATCGTTGTGATATTCAATCCATTGATTGGTGTCTGGGTGTCAATTGACGGGTAGATCGCGGTCGGCCCAGGGGTTAACAAGACAATTTGCACATACATACATAATGTAAAAATTTATATCGCCCCAATAAAGCAGAATTAAATGAAGATACCAATTTTAATGCCATATTAGTATCGCAGATAAAGTCTAACTCTTAATTTTGAGAAAATCATCAAATGACTTCTCCCGCCCAGGGTAAGGCGAGAGAGAGCGTCAGACTCTTACTGACTAAAAAACCCCCGTTTATTATCCTGCTCTTGGCCGAGGCTGCGCTTAACCCGCAACTTCGGCTGAACATCAGCCCTATAGGGCTTCGTCTATGGTGGTCTATTGGCTCTTTGAGGCGCGCGCGGAACGCTACGCGCCGTACTCTCGTAAATCTGAGCTACCAGTAGCAATAAATACCCCTTAAATAAACCGCCCCATCTTGTCTCCACTAGCTTAATACGTTTGCATTAAAAAATAACGAACAAAATGTGCGAGTTTATAATTGTCCTAAGGAACATTCACAAACGTAGGTACTTAAAATAATTTGATATTTACTTAACCCAGTCCTTAGCCTTCTTTGGGAACAAAATCGTTCTTAAAATAGTTGTTTAAGTAATCATTAAACGTCTCTTAGTACGGCACTGTATATTACAATTCGAGTGCAGATAAAAAAGGTGCGTTACCTAAGATGACGATTTCTTTCCCTTCGTAGTTCTCTTTACCTCTCTGCATCAAAGTTTCAGTATAAATGAGATCAGCCTCGGAGATATCTGCAAGCAAATTAAACAAGTCATAGTCTTGTGTCGAAACAAACCTTATCTAGTGCGTCGTCAAATGTTTGCCAAGTGCGGGAACGGGTAAAGTTTCGTCCGTGTTTCAAACGCCCTTGTAGTAGGCGTTAGGAACTCGTAACTTGACTTCGTCATTTGTAGATTTCTTTCTCGCGTGGTTTGATGTTGCGGGTTTAGGTACATCGGCAGCGGTGATTACTTACCATAAGGTCACCAGTCGGCTCATCATCACCCTATAAATGAGCCTGAACTGCTGAACAAGGGCCTCTTATCACACGGAGAAGTTTTGAACATTAGTCACCACGCTTGTTCAATGCAGATTGGACATTTCAAACTTATAATTAGAAATTCAGTCCAGGTTTTCTGACGATGTTTACCTTCACCGCAAGTCAGTCGTGTCGAAAATAATAATAGGAAGTATATTAAAAAAACTGTAAATTGCATAAAAGTTATAAACTTACTTTGTAATTCATCTAGCACCAACATATTGCCGAGAGTCTTGGAATGGACGATTTGAACTCTTTGGAAAGGCGACTGTTCGTCGAATATTACGGAATCGATATCGTACTCTAGTAGGCGATCGTCTGTGAATCGGAATTACATTTTAGTACCAAAGCTATAAAATTAAATGGTGGTTTTGATCAGGAATGTGTAGAGAAATTTATTTATGTATGAGTATAGGTGGTTTTGCTTTTTATGAGATTTGTATTATCTATTGAGAGGGAAGAACTTGGTAAGGGCATTAGCACAAGAGACAAAATATAAAGAAAACAGTTTTTCTTCATTTCAAAACAACTAAAAGAAGAAAATAACATTCAAACTAGTTCTAAACATACATAACTTTTATGTACATAAACGAATTAAGTATAAAATAGAAAGAGTTCAATGTTACAGAACGTGAACCACTTACCCGATGTCGGATAGTACCTGCCGAAGAGGCATCGCTTTAGCGGCGCGTATGCTTGCGATTTAATAATATTGATGTATTTTTTCAGTTGATTTTCCAATACTCTCGCCGACTATTGAAAAAATAAATCATAAAGAAGGAAAAACAAAAAAAAAAATGAATGCAGGTAAACTAAACATGCATAGTTTTATAAGTTTTATGCGAAAAAATGTAAGGTTGAGCGTTTTGTTGGGTACTGGAAGGTCTGGTAGATTCGTTAGTCTGCTACTAGACGGGTCTGGTAATAGGGTCATGCAAACAGTGATACATCTATTAGTTACGGAAACCGGAGGTGTGCAAAGCATACTTTATGCTATATTCTATGAATAGGTATAAGAAATAGATAGTTGAAAGAGTTTGTGTGATGGTGAGAGTGAAATATTAATTTTTAATAAACAAATTACAATAGTTAAGTACTAACTTTAGAACAGCTTGATTATAAGTGCCTGAATATGTTAATGATACTTGCGAATTTGTCGTTTTAAAGTGGGACTTATAGATTAATTCGTGAACGGCCTAAATATCTGAATAGATTTACATGAACCTGTAATAACTCTGAACCTGAATGACGTCGTATTTACGAGGTTCCTAAGAAAAAAAAAACATGCACATTGGTAAATGGCACTCTAGCAAAGCTGAGTTGGTTACTAGTATTTTATTTTTATATTGATTGTGATACCTTTAAGTGGACAGATTTAAAGTTTTGACTGAATGTGGTATTCAATACTGTCGTCAGCATTTAGCACTAGCTAGAAACATGATGGGTGTGAAGACCTTGCTCTCTACTACCTTAATCCTTAATGATTATGAAAATGATCCTTATCAAATCTGATAAATACAAACTACTTTGGCTTGAACTTTTAATATTAGAAGCAAATATAAATCTATGCTTGTAATGTCAATAATGATAAACTGATAAGTTAAAATTTGCCAAGATTATTCAATCTTTTTTGGTATTATTAATGGTGAATGGCTGCCATTTCCCATGTAATGATTTATTTATTCCCGAAGATAATAATAATAATTACAGATTATTTTTATAACATAACTTCTTACAGGTCTTAAACAGAGAACACAAGTGTGGAAATCTATAAGCAGTTGTAGTTTTTTAACTTTGGTGGTGCGAGAACTAAAACCCAAACATGTTGCATGTTGCCCTGGGTGATTGCAATGCTCACACTAAACTATGACTGTCTTTTGTGTAAAGTTCAGCTAGTTATGAATTAATAACTTAATCTATCAAAGTGACAAGTGAAAATGTGTAATAAATAAGAATAGTCCTTTAAAAAAAAGTGCTTTGTGCTATATAATAATACTTAAACATAAGTACTTAAATAAAATAATGGTACATAATTTAAGCTGAAATATCAATAAAGACAACCAAAAACAATCTAATAATATTTTATAAGGGTAATGCCATCAAACTAAGTAAAAAAATGGGTATAAATAGAACAGGTATGTTATCTAACCTGAACTAGTGAGATAAACATCATATTTATAACCCCTTTTGATTGTTGGGAATAATTTTACCCTTTCGCAGTCCAATGACATTCTTACCGAACTTTCCAGTAGTTTAGAGCACTAGAAAATAAATGTAAACTCTATACGCTCAACCTTCATATGTCTATGGTAATTCGTTTTTTAATCTTCCTTTTTACCCTATGAATGCTAATAAATTTGAACAATAATGAAATTGTGATTTGAAATGTTTAGGTTTTTCTACTTTATTAGATAGGTACTTATGAATTTATTCCATTATTTTTTGTTTCTTCATTTCATTTAAAATTTATTTTTCGTTTTTTTTTATTATGTAGGTATTATATAACATTTTTAATTTAAGGTTCCTCCAATTTATTAACATTTACAGGGAAAATATTAAGATTGATGCATACTAAACAAGATCTAATAAACAGGATTTTTAAATTCGAATTTATGTTTCAAACATTTTATGTTTAAAAATAACATCACATGGCACTGTTCAATTTCACAGATCATTGTTTTAATGAAGAAAACAAATATTCAAAGAACGGTAACCGTAAATAATAATCATTGATTTTATAGCGAACAATGCGTGACTTACAACCCTATTTCGAAATTAAAATCAATGACCGCACAGCGATGTAATCATTGCTTGATGTAATTTATTTTCTACTTATTTAGTGGACACAGATTAGAAAATTCAATAATCGTTCAAAGTAGAAGTGTACTATCATATATTTCGGTATAACATTACAAAGCGCGCTTACCTTGAGGTTAATTAATGGTTCCTCGTTCTCCTCCTTATAATATTCAATGTTTACAGTGACAAGGCCACGGTCAAACAGTCTCACAGACACCGTAGTGCCCTTCTTGCCAGTCAACAGCTTCAAAGATCCACCTTCCAGCTTTAACTCGGTGGCTAAAATAAGATTCGGAATGTATTCCTTCAGCACGGTTTCCAACTGTCCGAATACCGTTTTTTGCCCGATTTCGTCTCCTAGGCGGGCGGGGTCGATCGAGAAATCTAGCAGCAACGTTTGGACAGACATTTTCAAGTATTTAACTTTAATTGCACCGTTTGTGAAAACGAAATTGGACGGGACCGGCGCAATCAAGAGTAGGAATAAAACGAAGTTCAACGAAGCCGCTCACTGAAATTGAAGGAAATGGCAAATTGAATTGAATTTGAAGGATATATTTTGATAGTAGGACAGTGTGACCAAAGTAAATTTTGTGTATCGATTCTAAAAATTGAAAATTGAATAAAAATAGATTTTAGTTACAGTATTATATTTCAGGTATTTAATAAAATTTACCCATTAATTGGTGTACTTGACACTTTGTTTTGCTTATAATTTTTTTGTTTTTTAACCTAATTTATTTTTTATGTTTGGCTACCCTCATAGGCAAGCTTGACATTTGCGTCTGTGGGCTGCCATAAGAAAATAACATTTAGGAAAACAAAATAATTGACTTCTTCACATTGATTTTTAACCTTTGAAAATACTTTATATATTCTGAAATTTCGTTTTAAGATTTATTACCAACAATTGGCAAATAAATATGAATCTCCAAAATATTATTGTTAAAAAACATTGTTGTGTAACTGGCTTGTAAAAAGTTACATCTTAAAGTTAAAAATAAACTGAAAAGAAAACATTATCTTTATATGCTTGCAACATTGACTCCGTCTGTCTTTCTTTTTGTAAAAAAATTGCATCGTGAGATTTTTATGATACTTCAAAATGGCTGGGAATAATACTGAAGAAGTGGAGGTGGGTAGTCCTACTTATTTACGTAGTAAATTGCACCGACCACCCGTAATTGACATGAATTATATCGAACTTCCTTTACTTTTTACGCGATATGCTGATGTGGCTGCACTTACTTTCACTGTTGCATTTGTTTCGTTTTACGAGTGCAATTTTTCTCGTTTAAAAGTTTTACCTAAACGAAAAGCAGTTTAACTTACTAAATAATTGTTAAAAACTTTATATTTTCATATCTATCAAGCTCCTTGATAAGTTTGTTTTTAAGGTTAGGATTTGAGTCTGAAGTATGACAACTTGTGTGTTCAAGGGTTCTGCGACGACAGAAACTAAAGGTACGACTAATGCAGAGGTGCCGCCCGAATTTTTGATAAAGCATCCTCTGCAGAACACCTGGAGTCTTTGGTTCTATGACAATGATAGAAACAAAACATGGGAGGAGAACCTGATCGAGCTTACCACTTTTGATACAGTTGAAGATTTCTGGAGGTGAGTTTGTGTGAGCGAGACGCAAATAGATTGCATGAAAGTTATTCATGTCATCTCTCTTCAATTAAAATATTTACATTGATAACATGTTATTTATTGATATAGCAATGATATTACTTAACATCAATCTATATTTTCTTTACTGAACTTTAAAATGTCAGCAAATAATCAGTACTAATATTCATTCTAGTAGTGTTTCTTGTGGACTCATTACACTTCATTTTTGGATAGGTTTTATTGTCATATTATGCAAAAGATTGCATAATTATAAGCACATAACAAAGATTTTGTCACATCAATAATAAAAGTATTTTAAGTTGAATCCTTTAATGTGTGTGAACTAATTTTTCAGACTGTACCACCATATTAAGCTACCTTCAGAGCTCCGTCAAGGTCACGACTATGCTGTCTTCAAGCAAGGTATCCGTCCGATGTGGGAGGATGATGCCAACAAGATGGGTGGCAGATGGCTGATCAATCTTGAGAAGAAACAGCGTAACTGTGATCTGGATCGCTTCTGGTTAGATGTGGTATGTATTGTTTAGAAATTTTCTTTTTAACTTTCCAAAAATAACTAAATTCAGTAGCATGTACTTATAACTTAATACATGCCAACATTATTTCATTCCATCATAAAGAGGTTGTTGGAAGTAAACAACTAATAATAACAATTTTACATTCAGATTTTCTTATTGCTTATGATAGGGGTACAATTGGGCCAATACACGAATACCTATTATTCTAGTATGAGAACAACTGACTTTGTTTTCATGTCCATCAATAAACATAATTTATATATATTTTAATTTAAAATAAGGTTTGTTACCACTACAGTAATTCAACCAAGCATTTAAAATTTTATATTCACATACCTATCTGGGAATTTAGACCGGCCCATTAAGATGAAAGTCATGTAGGTAAATCCAGATATAAAAGCAAGTAATAATTAAAACTTCAGGAAAATAAACAAAAAAAAAATTTTTTTTCTGACATATGAGTAAGTCACAAACTCATAAAGTGACAAACACAATGATAATAATTACAAGTGTTTTTTTTTAGAAATTCTAGAAGATTGTAATAAGTATTGCTACAAGTTTTACAACATTCTAATGATGCCTAATTTTAAAAATGTTTTGAAAATATACCTTCAAAGTTGTTTTGTTAGTTTGGCCCTGACCCAGTCAATCTAAGCTACAAATGTTTGTTCAGAGCAAAATACAGTTGAAATGATGAATCATGCTATGCTTATAAGCATGGATGTTAGCTGGTATGCATGTTTAGACATGTGTGAAAATCAAGCTCTGTGACATCATGAAACATATTGTGCAATGCATGCAATACACATATGGATATGGCAATCATTCCATCTTTATTTAATACTAGCGGGCCGCCCTGGCTTCGCACGGGTCCAACTATCGCTAAAACAATGAAAGGGTCACCTTTTCCCAACATTCAATTCGATATTTCAAAAATTTTCTTTGGTAAGTACCTTCTCCTGACAATAAAAAACAACAAAAAAAGAATTAGCAAAATTGGTCCAGGCGTTGTTGAGTTATGCGCTTACCAACACATTCTGCAATCCATTTTTATATATAAGATTATTTTCAACAATAATTGTGAATTTAGGGAATTGGGATGTGTTCTAGATAAGGATTTATTGTATTGTACCTCTGGTAATCTCACTCATATGGCTATGTACAAGTATACAACACAAGTGTTATAGTAGGGGAGCCCAGGAAGGAATTTCGGTAGTTACTCGAGCGCGTCAGATTAACATATGGGGAATATTTAGTAACCTATTGAATATACCCATCATATACATAATGTAAATAGAGGAGGGGGGGGGGGAATTACAATACAAAAAGATAACTAAATACAGTCGTTTTCGTCAGATTAGGGGGTAAAAGTAGACGTCATGTCAAAGAACGGGCGTTTAAAAAATCTGCAATTTCATCGTGGTTTACAACAGCAATAGAGTTTTGAGCGGGTCCCGTTTCTATCCCCTTAGTTAGTCAACCCCACCAGGCGATTCGGCAGATTAAAATATTTTCATTGTCAAAGATACATGAAGAATATACATTATTAATATCTGTCACGCTCGTGCACTAAAACAAAAGTTACACCTTACAATTTTGGAAAACTATCATTCCCCTCTTCCCCCACAGGAGGAATGAAATGTCATTAAACCATTTTTTCTTTCTATCACCATCTTCAGAATCCAGTTGCTCCCTACAACGCTTGAGTAACTACAAATTTAGCATCCTGGGCTCCCCTACTATTATTTCAAGCTGGTATTCTGTGTGGATGTACATATTTCTAACTTAATTAACTTTATACTTATTTTCAAAAAACTTTAAATCTGTGCTAGTTTGCTTATCTGTTACTCTTTTGCTTATCTGTTACTCTTGAACTAACCAAACCTTTTTTTTCTTTACAGGTTCTCCTCTTGATTGGTGAAAATTTTGACCATTCAGACGAAATCTGTGGTGCCGTGGTTAATGTTAGGGCGAAACTTGATAAAATTGGTAAGTTGTTGAGCCCTTGATCTAATTATTTTTATAACAGAAATAAAAGTGCCATTTTGATAAATTATTCTTATAATAAAAGTGTGTTAAAAATTATAAGAAATTATAAACATCTTGATCTAATAAACACTTGCCTGTAGATAGCACACACTTCGAAATAGTAAAATGATCTATAAATTGCAATAACAGTCAATTAATGGGTATATATTTTTTTGGTTATAGGAATTTGGACGGCTGATACTTCTAAGCAGCATGCTAACATAGAGATTGGCAGAAAAATAAAAGAGCAGCTCGGCATTCACGGGAAAATCGGTTTCCAAGTCCACCGCGACACCATGGTCAAACATAGTTCGGCAACTAAGAATCTATACACTGTTTAGTTGCTTGTCATTGTTTGTAAACTCGATGTTAACAGATGTATGGGGTGGCCAGTTAAAATGTCTAAGAATGTTATTGTTGGTGCCGAGTGAGTGCGGTAAGACAGATGAATCGACTAAAATGACCAAATCCTTGATCAATTTAGTCGATTTTTCATCCTACTAACACTCGTATGTCTTCCTTTTCTGTTAATTCGATTTTTTGAATTCGAAAAGGAATTCTGGATTCACAATGTTTGTGTGTAGAAGAGGATATTTTATCCATACTATGAGCTATCTCATACATGTTGTTGTGTTTTCTAACCATTGATTAGCTACCAGGAGTTATGATATTTAGGTTGATTTAAGGAGTTGTCTCACATAATTTATCTTAATATAACGTGCATGTTACGTCTGTGGCTAGAAAACTATAAATTTTAAGTCTGACTTTTGTACTAAAGTGTGCATTAGTTATAATCTATAGATGTAATTGTGTCGAAATGTGTTAGCTTGGTTGCAGGATTTAAATTATTAGTATTATAAAGGAAATAACCGTTATTTCTACATTAAGCACTTATTTTATTATTCAAAACACTTGGCTTTTAACACTGCCGTCTGTCGGTCATATTGTAACAGCATTTCAACGATGCAAGTATACTATAAACATTAAATACCATTTTGTATAAAAATCTAAAATTGTGTTTTTATTTCTACCCTTATTTACCATGTTTTCGCATATTATTGTGTTAAGATACCACTAATAAAGAACTGAATATTTCAAAACAAACATCCTAAAATAGTTCGTTTGTATGTATCACACTAGTTGTATTGGCTCTCTGGATAGATCGTCGAAAATGATAGGGTTTCTATTGTAATAATAACTGAATACTTTCTTTTGCGCAAGACGTAAAATATGTCCTCCCTGCTGACGCTTTCGCACTATATTCGATCCGAATCCAATCAGAATCCGTTAAAATCTTATAGAACTATTACTTACGACAATCTTCGTCCTCCATCATTAGCTTGTGTAAAGTGTAATAGGAAAGTAAAACACACTTCTTTTTGTTAATTTCAGTTAGGTAAAAAAAAGTATTTGCCTTGTCACTTCTTTTTTTAATTTTACTGTCAAATTTTGTTCATATTAATTGCCTTATTGATACACTCATAAAAGAGTGGTAGTGATGATTGATGATGGACGGCATTTTTCCCCCACATTTTTCAATTAATAAGTTAACTACCAAAATAAATTAATATTTTAACTCTAGCAACATTGATGTTACGTCTTCGGGACTTTCAATGACAACGGTGATTCACAGATACAAATACTTCAAAAGTACTGGCTATTGTAATAAATAGTGCGTTCGTCCCAAACTTAATTTTATTGTTTATTTATCAGTGATAGGAATAAGTGCATCGGTATTGTAAATCAGTAATAACAATTACACCACGAGCATAAAGAATTGTACCAGACACAAGGTAAATATCTTGATTGTTTGTTTATTAACTTGGAAAAGTTTTGATAAGGTTAGAATTCTATTTAATTGATATATTTACGTAGATGTGATCATCAGTTGAGTGGTTGTGTGTATGACAAGCAAAACAGTACGTTTTTTATTTTGAATCCCAGTGTAGTAGTGATTTCGCAATTTTAAGTGTTTTTACAGAATCTAAATTTTTGTTTCACAATAGGATTAACCATAGTTATCATAGCTAGATAAAAATTATGAGGTGACTGACATATAAATATTATATAAATGTTGAGACGTTGATCCTATTAACTCTATTATTATAAGTAGTCATTTACCTAAAAACTGTCCATTCCTTCGTGGTAAAATCCATCGCCTCGCACGCTCCTACGAGGCGATGTTTTTTGATAGGTACCTAAAATCACTATTGACTATGAATTTTCCAATCTAATTTCAATGCCATAAAGTTGTGATTCGACTGACAGCTTGGAGTATCTTGATCTGCTGATGTCAGTACAATAGGTACTCTCTAGGAACAAGGTATCTATTGTCCTTTTCTACGAATAAAGATACCGGCGTATTGTGTGTGGGATGTAACTTTGTAAGTAATACAATTTCAATTAAATTGAATGAACCATTAAAGTACGCGTATGGTATTTAGTATTTAGGTCCGCATCACACGTATACTAAACATACTTTGTAACATTCATTAGTAGGTATCTGCGAGTAATATACCTACGTATCAATTAGTGCTCCTAGGTCTACGTTAATCAGCCAGGTAAGAGGTTATGAAAGTATAGAAGGTACCTACTATAATTATGTAAGTACTGGTAAAGTGTAGTAGGTAGTACAGTACTGTACAGTACCTACTTACTATACATAAAAATATATTCATAAAAATAATTGATACCGATATTTCACTTTTAGTAGCTACTTGCATAGTTGTAGGTATATCTATAAGTACCTATAGGTAATAAGGTACATAATCGTCATGGTTCACTGAGGTCTCGAATCCACAAGTGAAAAGAGCTCTAACATCAGTACGGTACTTTCCAACTGGTCAAAGTCAATAGTTTTTATCGAAATGGCAAAAACGTAACCGTACTCACGATACAGAAGTAAACTTGACATAGGTAATATCTGAGTACGAGGCTGCGTGGTACCTAAATAAAGGTAACACAGACAACACTATTCAATCACCGTCAGCCATGAAGCATCCGGTGCGTGATGAGTGGAGTTTATGGTTGGTAATGGGTGTGTAGACAAATACCTACTTGTATTATAATATAAATCTTTGATTCTTTGTTTAAAAAAAACCTAGCCTCACACTAGGATGTTCTCCTGTTTCGTAGGTCCGTGTAAACATGCAAAATCACACACACACTCAGACCCGAAACAACAATTTGTGGAACACACCAAGTGTTTTTCTGTGCGGTGAGACACGTTGCACATACGCTAAGCCACTGCGCCAACAAACAGTACAGCCATCATATATACTCTTTCTTCTCTCGCCCAGGATCCGGTGAGAGGGAGTGTCAGATTCTTACTCACTAACCCCCCCCCCGTTCCTTCACCTGGTCCAGGTCGTGGTCGCAAAACCTTATTGGGCTTCACCTGCGGCCTCTGATAAACATGGCTATGTTGGGTTCCATCCGTGGCGGTCTATGGGCTAGTCAACTTTATCCTGAGAGACAGCATATGAATGCTTATGTCTTTATTGGAAGCATAATGCGTTCAGACTTCAGACACGTTGTAGGATGTTCCAAGTATACAATTTCCGAGGATAGAATGTTCCCGACCTGTCGATGTATTCACGATTTCGATCACATTTCTAGTGATTAGATTAGAACAAATGACGTCAGCGATGACTCCTGCATTGCAGTATCTGTACCTACCTTTCATGATACTTGCACCACATATCTTTGAAAACTAGTCTGTGACATACATAAATATTATTGCAGCAGTGGACACCTAGAGGCATGATGATGATGAGGGTGAATTTTTTTTCTTTTTTTTATTAGACAGCCATTTGGCCGCTATCATGCCTGGATGGTAAGCGATGATGTGGCTTCCTATAAGCAACATACAGGGTGTAAAAAGACACTTAACGAAGCCGTTAACTACGCATACTGCAGTTCTAACTAAGTAGCTTTACGCTAAAATTATCACTGGGAAACAACTTTAATTTTTAGGTATCAAAAAAAAAAAAAAAAATATTGCGCGCAATGTAAAGCAAACGGGCTTCGTGTCATTGTGCGCGTAGGTTCACAGCTTGTCATTAAAACGCTGTGATAAGTACGTAGGTCGACGTTTTACTTCGCAATAACAAAACAATTCTGTAAAATAAAAATCCTACTGAGATGCACGATGTTTTTTGTGCGGGTCTGCATTTATTTATTACTTTTCGTAACTTCAAATGCGTAACTTATTTAGAAAAATCGAAAATTCAGGTAATGTTTGTTTGGAAAAAAGTTTTGTAATAATACTTAGAATTCGACTGCGCAAAAAAAAAAAATTAATAATGCTACTTTGACCTTCAATATCTCGGGAACACGTGGAGTCCCAGCTATGGTCTTAAAGAAAAAAATGATTCAAATAATGGGTAGAATACGTGGCTTTCGGCTTCGTTAAGTGTCTTTTTACACCCTGTATTTGCTCAATTCATTTAATTCTACAAAAATTTCTTTCTGTCTTATAGTTTTGATTACCTGCACTTTTCTTTTTAACACGCTTTTATGTTTTACTGTGTATGTATGTTTCGGTCAGACGGCATCTCGTTTTCAGTTGATTCCTTGCTTATCTACCCAAGATACTGCGTAGTTACTGATTTGCAACGCTAACATGGTGCTTTGATAGGGAACCTACATCGTTTATTATCCATATTAGCAGTGGACACGAGTGAAATCTATAAAGATTGATAAACATGAACACATAAAATACCACGTACCAGTTCACCGATTTTATTATGTCTATAGCAATGCTTGAAATGCAGACTTACTATTTTCAGATAAACAATTTCTGTAAGAATGTCATCATCCGTCACTTCCGTCAGTCATCTACCAGAAAAAATGAAGCACCCGCTGAAAGACGAGTGGAGTTTCTGGTTGTTTAAGGGTGACAAGAAGAATTGGGAGGACAATTTGGTGGAACTGAACAGTTTCAACACCGTCGAGGATTACTTTTGGTATTCAACACAATTAGTTACAAATTATGGTTTAAGACACAGCACAAAGGACTCATCGTAAAAATCTATTTCCTTTGTAAACAAATCTTTCCCAAGGTGCCTACGAAAAGTAACTATTAATCTGATCTTAGCTATGACCCTTGGTGGACAAACTGTTGCCGCAGCGATAAGAATTCTACAAAACATGGAAAACGTACAAAAAACTGCCGTGTTCATTCATGGTTCATTTAAATGTTGTTTGATTTCATCAATCAACGATTTGCATCATTCAATCAATTGAGTTGTGATTGAGTCAAGTTTGAGTCAAGTTTTGAGTCAAGTTTGAGTCAAGTTTGAGTCAAGTTTGAGTCAAGTTTGAGTCGAGTTTGAGTCAAGTTTGAGTCAAGTTTGACTCAAGTTTAGAATTGTGATTATTACAAAAGATAAGAAGATTAAAAATATGCTAACGGACTCGTGTATGCGTGCGTCATGCAGTCTATATTTACGAATATTATAATAAAGCGAATTATTTATCTACGCAGCCTCTACCACCACATGAAGTTGCCTTCCGAACTAAAGCTGGGCCAGGACTACATGATATTTAAGAAGGGCATCCAACCAATGTGGGAGGATTCCCATAACAAGAACGGGGGTCGTTGGTTGATCATGTTGGATCGAATGACGACTGCACACATGGATTGCATTTGGGCTGACACGGTAAGAAATACTTATATTCTTTTTTCTTTCTTTTTTTAAAAAAACGTTGCCCCACATTTATCACTTACAATAACAATTTGTGTGTGGATCACACAAAGAGTTGTTCCGTGCTACCGCACCAACCTGCAGTCCCGGGGTTGCGGGGTAAGCGCAATGAGGCACCGCGACCTCGGCACAGAGCAGGAGAAGGAACATGGGGGTTTTTAGTCAGTAAGAGTCTGACACTCCCTCCTGCCCGGCCTTGGGCGGGAGAAGTCTTTTGATGATTTTCCCCACACAAAAAAAAACCTGTTGTCAAATATAATATTCATTTTGTTACGTTCTCTATACACAATTAAGAACTTCTACCGGTTAACAATTTTGGCTTGATTTGGAAATCATACCTCTTCAAAGTAGATTTATACGTTAACGTCGCATGTTTTTTTTTTTATAAATAGTGTATTTGTCTATGTAATAAACTTTATTCTTCATTTAACCGCTCTTAAGGGCACTGACAATACGCGTTTTATCTTAAAGTGTGTATTGCATTATCTGGTTATTAAAAGAAGGTGCTTCAGTCAGTTGATCCTGCTATCCATATAACAATTTATTTAATTGTTGAAGTTAAATCCTTGAGATATGGCTGATGATAATGAGCTGTTCAAGGATAAGGACTTGTTATCTACAAGCTTTGCTTCCACGCAGCTGTTTGACAAGAAACTCGACTGGTTTTAAGCCGCTCATATACATGAGCAGTATTATGCGACGTACGACGCGGAGATAGTCACGAAGCTAATTGAGTTCCCTCGTCATCAAACACTTACCTTAATAAGTCGTTACGTTAACAATAATAATAGGTATTTACCTATAAAATTGCCGTTCTGCAGTACTGGCCATTTCAAATCAAAATAGTTTTTTTAGGCTAAGGCTAATCAATTTTGTATTAAAAACATGGGATTCTCTTTCCAAAAGTGGTCATTTGTTTATTGATAAGTGTAACATTTTCATCGCATTTCAAATCAAAAAAATCGTTTAAATTTTTTCATGCAAAACGATAATTTCATAGTTAAAGACCTATTATTAGGTCAATACATCTCACGAAAGTTGAAAACACTTTTTTTTCTTCGTAGGTCCTTACCTTTTTATCGTTTATTTAAATTTGCTACTGTAACAAGTAATGTTTTATAACCGGCGTACATAGTGTTCCCCGATAAATACCTGGCTGTCCATCACAGCAATATTTTTTAATTTCGAACTAGTACTTGCGAAGATAACGCGTTTGAAAGAATTACACTCTTCAGCTTAAGGTGCCAATGTGACAATTTCCGAGTCATATGTACTTTCTAAATTCATTTAGACACCACAGACATACAGTAGTAGTACAGTAAAGATAGACATTGAGAGGAAACCAGGACTAATAATTTCTAATTATAAGTTTGAAATCGCCAATCCGCCTGGAGTAAGCGTGGTGATTAATGCTCAATCCTTCTCCGTATGAGAAGAGAGCTTTGCTTAGCAGTTAGGCACTTATTGACTGATGATGATAAAATATTAGACTGAGCTATCCATTTGTTGACAGATTTTTATCTCTTTTTGTGTCTTAATAGACATTTCTACTTATAGGTGTTAATTTTAATTGGAGCTACCTTGGAGCACACTGACGAAATAAGCGGAGTTGTCGTCAATATTAGAGATAAAAATAAAATCTGTGAGTGAACAAATACATTACCTAACCTATCTATTTTTTTTATGTAATAGGTCGGCAAACGAGCAGACGTAGACCCATGGACACTCGCAACGGAGGAGTTACGAGTGCGTTGCCGACCTTTTAGGGATTAGGGATTTGGAGATTTAGGGATTGAGGAGGGATTGGGGAAGGGGAAGGATTGGGCCTCCGGTAACCTCACTCACACGGCGAAACACAACGAAGTGGTTATTTCACGCCGGTTTTCTGTGAGGCTATCACTCCGGTCGAGCCGACCCATTCGATCCATCCATCGATCCACATATTCCATTAAACCCACAGATTATAAAATTTGTTTTATTATCTGTGATCAAAACTTTTTTTCTAATATTATTTCTATGGTGTGACTGTACACCATAGAAATAATATTAGAAAAAAAGTCGATTATTTTTTGTGACTGTACCGAACTCGCATAAAGAGGAATCCGTAATTTTTATTAAATGTTACAATGATATTTTTTGCAGCTGTCTGGATGAAGACTAACCATCCCGATCCAGTTCTTGAGGTGGGTAGGAAGCTGAGAAAGCAGTTCAAGATACCGTACAAATTCAATTACTATAAGCACAATTCTACTAAATCTATGTACTCTATGTAATCTATACTTTATAATAGTATAAAGCTGAAGAGTTTGTTTGTTTGAACACGCTAATCTCCGGAACTGCTGGTTCAAATTGAACAATTATTTTTTGTTGGTTAGTCGATTTATCAAGGAAGGCTATATACTAAACATCAAGCTACGATCTGTAGGAACAAAGCAGCCGGTAAAACTGCGCGAGATTAGCTAGTTTAAAATAAAATTAGACTAGAAACTTTTGGCTTGTATTTGTCGTAACGTGGTGTTTTATAGTGTATTAGCCTTCTTCAATAGTTGTTTTAACACAAAATAATTGTTGAATTCGAATCAGCATTTGCGGAGAGCGCATTCAAGACATTAGCGCGTTCAATCAAACTATCTCATCAGTTCAGCATAACTTTAGTATAGTTATAGCATGTTATGTTAGTTGCGTATTGGAATTATGAAGCGAAAAAGTATGGACGAGTACCTCATATATTATTAGTTACCTATTAAGTGTATTACTTATTAGTTATTAGGTCCTTAATATCCACATGTCACATAGGTAAGTGCTAGTAATTACTATTCAAAAATAGACCGTAATTTGTATGAAGTACACAAGTACAAATTGCGTTCTAAATTCAAAATTATCTTGTTTGTTTTTGGATATACATATAGCTCAGTAAGAAACAGACTCAAAGGCTAAAAATTCCGCTTTATTAATATTAAGTTAGTGTTTTATTTTTTATTTTTATTTTGACATTACGACAAAACATCGGAAGACAAGTTGTTGATATGATTGCTTTCAGATTTTTAATCTGATTTATTTTTGAGATGTCTTTTTGTTTTAAAAAACTATATAATTGTTTTATCTTAGAATTACAAAATGTTGTGATTATTTTGTTAACTGTTACTTCTTTTGAATACTTATTACTACCTAAATAGGTAGGTAGCTTCTAATATAAATGTTATTCGCATTTTAAGCGTTTTTTTAAAGATATATTTTTCTTTTGATACATGTTGTGGTATGTGGATAGGTCAAAATGTAAAGTATCTAGTTACTGTTGTTGTACTAAGTATAAGTGTACAAAGTCGGTACAATTACCTTCTGAATATCTTAAATTCATGTTAAAACCGATTTAATGAATGGATCTCAATTTTATTATAGTGTAATGATATATTTGACGATTGCGCAGCTCGTGGATCACTTATGAACCACGCATTCCTCACTTTATTGTTTTCAGACTCTTTGGACAGACCTGGCCTTACTAGACCCATAATACATAGACAACTGAATATGGTTTTGGTTGATATAATCTGTGGAATGTCAGTGTCAACAAAATATATTTAATTTAAGAATAATTCAAATACACATTACGTTTTGGCATCATTCAAATTCGGAAATTGGATGTAGGTATTTTAGAAAATTATTTAGTTAACGAGAGTTTCAATTCTTGAGAACATTAATATTATGCAGTGTAGGTACCTATTTCTGTGATAATATTATATTTGTAATTATGTAATACATAAATAAACAAATTAATGTTCAACCAATCTTTTTTGTACGTTATTACAGTCACTCATTTTTATTTTTACTTTCTTACGTTGCCCCGCATTAGGATTTTCTCCTGTGTCGTGGGTGCGTCTACAAACATACTATGTCACATACACATTACACCCAGACCCGGAACTACCATTCGTGGATCACACAAAGAGTTCTGTGCTGGAATCGAACCCGCGACACGTTGCGCGGCAGTCAGTTGCCCAGCCACTGCGCCAACCTTGCAGTCAAACTCATTATCACATCATCATCAGCATCAGCCATACTTCAACACCAATGGGTCGGCTCGATCGGAGTGATACCACGGCCTCACAGAAAACCAGAGTGAAACAACCACAGCGTTATGTTTCGCCGTGTGAGTGAGGTTACCGCAATCCCAATCCTTTCCATCCCCCAATCCCTTCCCCAATCCCATCCCAATCCTAAATCTCGTAATCCCCGACGCACTCGTAACTCTGTTGTTGCGGTTGTCCATGGGCGGCGCAGATTGCTTAACATCAGATAATCCGTCGTTTGCCGTTCTATCACATAGAAAAATAGTTGAAATGCGCGGTTTCAATTCTCAAGCTGTAACTTGGATTTTCAAAATTGAAAGTTCTCTATTATCTATTTTAATTTTTCAGTAAGATAATAAAGAGTAAACAAGTAGCAATAATACAAAGTTTATATTCAATCTAGATATAGGCGAAGACGAAAACAATTATAATATCGTGCACGTTCTGGAGTTGGTCTGGTTCCTAATCTCTGTTTCAATTGTTTCCTCGACCTTGTGGATGCTATCCTCGGCTGTGTCGATTCCCTTGTGGACGTTTTCTGGAATCATGTTAATGTTATCATCAATTGGGTAGTTTCCTAGGCAAAAATAAATTAATTCGACGTTTCAATACAATTACACATTGAAAAATAACTAGACTTTCATTCATCGATCGATCGATACACTGAGTTTTATATTTTTTTAGCTAATTATTAAGAAACTAGCTACTCTCGCGCGGTTTCACCCGCTGCTTGGCTCCATTTGATCGTAGCGTGATGTTTTATAACCTATAGCACTCAGGAACATTGTAGCTATCTACCAGTGAAAGAATTTTGGCAATCCGACCAGCGGTTCTAAAGATTACCCCCTACATACAAACTTACAAATTTTACTAGGTTTAATATTAGTATAGACAAGGCTTTTTGACGCAAAAATGTTATGACATCATAACTCAGTTTTTCATACAAATAGAAAAGTATCGTTTTTGACGTCGGTATAAAAGTATTGAATTTGACTAGTTGGAAACTACCGTCCTACCGTATTGACTGTCCCATTACTCGAAAGAGTTCGATCGAATAAAGTTTCTATGGCCTATCGGTGAAGGTAAATAATAACATAATGTAAACAATCTTTATCATATCTTTTTATATAAAAGTTGTCTAAAAATTCGTATGTAAAAATGTTTACAATCAGGTATTTACCTAATTCGATGTTAGGTAATAAAGTAAATTTGAATATCCTTGTACGTACATAGATATTTTATACGACCTATTTAATTTAAAAAGACAAACAAAGTTCTTTTTTCAATCTTTATTTAAAAGAGCTTATTTGCAATTACAAATATGAAGCTCCGTACACAAAGCAAAAATTAATTAAGAGTTTTGAAAAAGACGAATTAAAGGATTAGCTTTAGTTTACTACCTGTCAGGACCATAGTAAAAAATGATGTCTGAAATAGTTTTTAATTAATCATAGTGTAGAGATGTTTTATTCTGATATTGATATATTTCTTAAGTCGTATTAGCATACTACTACTGAGTATTAGTCAAAATTGATCAATTCGATGTAATATTTACAACTCGATTCTACCTAGTATTGATATACCTAAAACGTAGCTTTTTAACCTATTCAGCCTAGAAGATATGAACAAAAATTAACAGCGAAGTTGTGATTAAATTTTCTATCGTACGCACGTAAGAACTTGTATCGTTAGAATATGTTTTTTTTATATTTATTACGTATTTATCACGTGACCCCAGTGACTGACCAGACGTGGGAACTGGCTTATATTTGTCTGGTATTGCGTATTCATAATATTTATATTAGCCTACCCTAATACCTAATAAAACTTTATATAGGCTAAGCCTACAACCAAACGCTTTTATTATATCACCTTAACTTAATATGAGTACTAAACACATATTTCATCTCGTTCTATTTGTGGAGTTTTTAATTGGCAATCAGTTGGTGTCCCATCCAATAAAAGCACATCGGTTTACGTTTTCTAGAGAAAGATGATGTTATCGTTCGAGGGAAACACCACACGTCACACATACCTACTCTTGTTACTGTTTTATATCTTTATTACATTTCCATTCATGTAATATCCCCGTAAGACGTTGACGACTAAGTACGTCAATAATAAATTATTCACAACATGCAAGCCTCGTAAAAAACATGACGTGACGTAAACAACTAAAACTCACCTACAACTTTTTCTTCAATTACTTTTCCTTTGCCCATACATGAATGTTCTTTATCTCTGATAGTCTGGAACATGCGTGCAAAGCGTCCTTTCTCCGGAGATTTCGGTACTACAACATCACTTTCTTCATTATGCTCTCCAACTTCAGCGCCATCAATATGATCTTCACTCCTAACAATAGGCATCACAGCCTGTGTCTTAGTTTTGCCTGCTTGTGGACTAGATTTGTCTGATCCACACGGAATGGTTTCGTTCTCTGACTGTCCTGCCTCACTTTTTTGCCCGTCATCACTGTGTTTACTGAGCACTGGGCTTATCTGACTCAAATCAGGAATGTGTAACAGTTCCGGTAATATTGGCGTCTTAGGTGGAGGTGAGTTGGCTACCTCTATCATTTTGTCAGGAACGTCAAGTATTTTCTTCGCTTCATCGTGTATCACCGGAGGCACCACTGCAGCTTTTTTCACAAACTCCTCAACTACTTCCACCTTTTCGTTCACTTTGTCTGTAACACTTGTAACAATTTCTTCAACCTTACTTTCTGCCTTGTCAGCCATAGTGTCCATACTCTCCATGACCTCCATGACTTTTGTTTCTCCATCAATCGGTTCAGTGTTTACGTCGGGCGCGTCATGCGTGCTTCCGTTTTCGTTCTCAAGGTCGTTTATGTTTACTATGTGGGAGCCGCTGACGTTGGCCTCTAATGAATCTATCGATCCGGTCTCTTCGTTCACATTTCCATTCACGTTATCGGTGTTATGCACGTCAATGTTGGAGTTCGTGATGTCCTCGATAACATGGGAGTGTTCTTCGGATTTATTCATGGCTGGTACCTTCTGTAGCGGTGGAAGTTCAGTTAAAGAGATCGGTCTTGTTTGTTCGTTTACTAAATTGAAGTCGTTGTTGGTGAAGTCCGCGTTAGAGCCTTTGGTGGCAGTCAGTAAAGTGTGGCACCCTCCGCAGGCTACATTGTCGACGATGTGCCCATTCATAGCAGTGACCCGCTTAGGTGTGTATTGATTGGGGACCGCCTCGTTTGCGTTACCGGCATCGTCAATTTCTTCCAAACACAGTTTATTGTGCCGGGACTCCCCACAGGCGTAAAGCAATCCGTTGTCTGTAACGAAAACCGAAGTTTAATACGACCAGCGACGACAAATGGTAATCGAATACTGATCATACCGCCCCGCCGAGGGCAATTTAGACACTATTTGTGTTGACGTGACAATGAAAATGAGCCAATTACATTAGGTTTCGAATGTATGTCAGTAAAATGACCGCTTTTGATGAATTGGAACGACGACGCTTTCAAATAAATGAAAATAATGTGTGTCATTTCCTAAATATTCATTTAGTATTTAGGTAGTTATAAACAAATATTGTGTAAGTACGTACGTACGCAGTTGTGTTTAAGAAAAGGTCTCAGGTCGAATTGTACTTGACACTTGATTATTTTATATTCGATAAGTGTAAGTACATTGTTGCCTCGGGCTAGCCGATACGAGTATTTTGCCTTAACACAGTATGGAAAGTAAAAACACAAATGCATATTTTATTAACAGCACCTTGAAAAAAGAAACACAATTTTGAAACAGTAAGTGTAAGACACGCTCTTCACCAATCTGCTTACCGTTCACGGCGTGCTATACAATAAAACTGAACTTAACCTCACAAATACATTTTTTTAATAAAATCAATATTACCTGTGACAAACGCAGTGTGCATCGCTCCACACGCGACTAGCTTCAGTTGGTAACCATCAAACATCTTCTCCATATCAATTTCAGTGGGTTCTTTGACGTGTTCCACCTCTTTGGGAAGGCCTAGTTGACCCTTTTCATTGGACCCGAAGGCTAGGATCTTGCTTTCGTCCATGGAGAGGAGGAAGGTATGGGCTGCACCACAACATGCACTCTTAATCGGTATGGTGAGAGGTAATACTTCGGGAACGTAAACTGTGGAGGGTTTGTCTGGGATTCCAAGTTTTTGGTTCTCATTGTCACCTGTCACGAAGACTGCGCCTTTGGCTGTTGGGGATGATCAGAAACAATGTCATGTAAATCAATATGTTATGTCTAGCTTCTTACTTACTTAAATGATCGTGGAATGTAATGTTTTCGAACGAGAAAGATTGTTTTGTTATTTTATAAACTGCGAATGTATTTGGAATGTCAATTACATTCGATATAATATTGTTGTTAAGTTTGGTTTAAACATATAGGAGCCAGTATAAATATCTTAAGTAGGTATGAAATTTAGATATAGTAATGACAGGCTAAAATTTTCAAGCACAATACGTATACTAGTTGGCTTTAAATATTAATCTTTATAACTATATACCTAATACGTATTTTTTATTAATATACAACACTAGCGACTCACTCTGACTTTCCACGGGTGCAATGTTCAAACTTAATTACCAATTAACTACCATCCAATATATAGTGGATATTTTTGTATTTATTTATTTATATATTTAAACTTTATGCAACAAAACATTACATAGGCGGACTTAATGCCGTAGGCATTCTCACCAGTCAACCTTAGGGTGATGCAGAGAGAGTATTTGTGCATAATAATTATAATATTTTTTTATTTGTTTCTTAATTATTCACATAGCTTAATAACCAAAAACTTTGTAAAAGTGAGAAATAAAAGGCTTATTTATTTATTTATAAATCTTCTATCAATCTATCTAATTTAAAAACCCGGCATCAAAATCCGTTGCGTAGTTAAAGATTTAAGCATACATAGGGATATAGGGACAAAGAAATCGACTTTATCTTAAACTATTTAGTGATAATACACAAACAAGACAACAGCGGAGTCATGAATATTCGTAGCACTGATGACCGCGTAGCATTGACGAGTTCGTAGCAAATTGCTACGGCATAGATTGATCGTCTACGAGGCTTACGAGGTCTACGAGGTTGGATGTTATTATGTTACCGTGAATAAGTCTTGAATAGTTGCATGACTGTTTTGATTTATAAAGGTCATCAATCAACATAGTGTTTAAATGACTGATTATAATTATACTATACCTAAATATTTTATACACATGACACTCGGTATGGTGTTTTGAAAACATGAATATGCTTTATATTTTAAATTAAGTTTTTTTGTTTATTTTTAAATGTTTTAAACGTATACCACTTTTTGGTGTTTATGTAGTAATAGGTGACATGTACCGGAGTCTCTCTACGTCTTTAAGCAACTAACATTATTTAAAAAAAATTGCTTTATTTGTTTCTTATTCTTTTTAAGCTTGTACTGTGCACGGACCGAGTTCTTAGTGCATCACCTACTTACTGGCTAGCAAGAATGCCTGCAACACGAATGCCTGTAGCAACATTGCCTGTACAGTGCAACGTGTCGATTAGCGCATGAAAGACACTGCGTGATCCCCAAATTGTCGTTTCGGGTCTTAGTGATTGCACCCATGGACACCCGCAACATCGAAGGAGTTACGAGTGCTTTGCCGACCTTGTGGGGATTTGTGATTTGGAGATTTTGGGATTGGGGGAGGGGCAGGACAACCTCACTCACTCGATGAAACACAGCGCTTTTTTTTTGTGAGGCTGTGGTGTCATTCCTATCACGCCGACCCTATTGTATGTTTGTAAATGCACCCGTGATAAAGTAGAAAATTCTAATGGAAGTGTAGGTAAAAAGTACGTATTTTTTTAATAAAAGAGTAACTTTGTTATGTATTAGCAAAGCACGCATGCTGTGACATCATAAAAAGTTTTACATTTATCTGTTATTTAAGAATAATATTAAGTAAAGATGAATTAATGGAGGCGCCCAATCCTTCCCCTCACCGGACCCTTCCCCAATCGCTAAATCTCCAAATCCCTAATCCCTGAAAGGTCGGCAACGAACTCTTAACTCCTCCGTTGCGGGTGTCCATTGATTAATTTTGTGATGGTCAAATTTTTAAATGACTTCTTCGCCCAGAGTTGGGCGGCAGGGGTTGTCAATTTGTCATTTTGGCTGACTGAAAATACCCCCGTTCCTTCTCTTGCTCTAGGTCGAGGTCGCGGTGCCTTATTGCGCTTATCCCGCAACCCCGGCTTAAACATCAGATCTAAGGGGCCCCTGTGATGGTCTATTGGCTCTTTGAGTTGCGCTTGGAACGCTATGCGCTGTACGCTTGAGTAGAAGGCTAGATCTTGTTATTGTAAGCAGATAACTATTAGGGTGACCAAAAATGGCTATGATCATAATAAAAAGAAGTTAAAACTGACCAGTGATAAACACAGTGTGATAGTATCCGCACTCGACGAAGGCGATTTTCTCCATGAATTTGAGTTCAGTGAACTTGACGCAGGACCGCGTGTCCTCTCCCAGGCCTAGTTGTCCCTCAGTGTTGGAGCCACATACGAACACACGCCCGTCATCTGGTAAGAAGAGGGTTGAACAATGAGTGGGTACACTATGTAATGCGTCACGCCTTTTCTCTGCATCGGAAACCTCGAGACAGGCAACGGTACTTGTATATGGCAAGTGCAACATTGGAATTTGTGCTACATTTAAGACTAATTTCCGCCCGCTGCTTCACCCACGTGGTATGATGATAAAAAGAAGCATATGTCCTATTCCGCAGTGTATCTTATGCCTGTTCCAAATTTCATCCAGATCCGTCCAGCCGTTTTGGCATTTAAGTCAGTTCAGAAAATCGCGAAATAATCGCTAATAAGTACACGTACTTAGAGGTCGAACTAAGAAGCACCTTCTTAAAAAATGAGATTAACAGTTTGCTCTTAAATAAGATAATAATAACCGTGACGGATGGAATTAGGCCAAGAACACATTGCCGTGAGAATGGCCCATAAGAGATAGAATGACCTTACAGTACCTAATTGATTTAGGAAATTTATATCAAGGCAAATTTGTTACAATATGTTTAGAAATAAAACATTAATTACAAGCTGCAAACTGAGACACAGCTACCGAGTGAGTTAGTGTCGATATTCGGTTATTGGTATAGTCACCAAAAGAATAGTGTGAGATGGGCAGGAGCGCAGTCAGAAGTGTACGGATTGGACTGCGGGGTGAGGCAAGGGGGGTTGACCTCGCCACGGCTGTTCAACCTGTATATGAACCAGCTGATTGACGGGCTTGGTAGTGCTAATGTAGGTTGCTCTGTGGATGGAGTGTCTGTAAATAATATCAGTTACGCAGACGACATGGTCCTGCTGAGTCCGTCGATTGGAGGGCTACGGAAGCTTTTGAACATATGCGAGTCGTATGCTGTGGCCCATGGACTCAGATACAATCCTAAAAAGAGTGAGTTCATGGTTTTTAAGGCTGGTACCAAATGCTACTCAATTGTACCTACCGTTACTCTTAGTGGTACACCTTTGAAGAGGGTTAACCACTTTAAGTATCTGGGCCACTGGGTCACAGATAATCTGTGTGATAATGAGGATATTGAGCGGGAGCGCAGGGCGCTGTCTGTACGGGGTAACATGTTGGCGCGTAGGTTTGCTCGTTGCACTAGACCGGTAAAGGTGACCTTATTTAAAGCTTATTGTCAGTCATTCTATACGTGCAGCCTGTGGGCCGATTTTACTCAGCGGGCATACAGCGCCTTGCGCATCCAATACAATAATGTATTTAGGATGCTGTTAGGGTTGCCGCGGTTTTGCAGCGCTTCTACTATGTTTGCGCAGGCACACACAGATGACTTTTTTGCCATAATAAGGAAGCGGAGTGCCTCGCTCTTAAATCGCTTTAAGCGCAGCACTAACGGCATCCTAAAGGTATTGTCCGAGCGGTGGGACTCGCCTATTCTTGAGAGGTGGATGGTGCTACATGCCAGTTCGTCACCTTTTATTAAATAGTTATTACCTATTATTGTTAGCTAAGTAAGTATAACGGAAATGGAATTGTATTTATTATTGTAGTATATTTTCTGTAAGTACTGTTTTGTCAGAAATTGTTTTTTTTTTGTGTGTATTTGTGTATTCTGTGTTTGCTTGACTAGATCTATGTTTAATTTAATTTGTTTTTCATTCTTAATTAATTTTTGTTTGATTATTTTACTGGACATTATGGATTCTTATCTGAAATAAATAAACGAATTATTAATTAATCAATAAAAAAATATTTACTACTAACAATAAAAAAATATGTACTAAGAATAGTGCGAGATAGTTTAAAGTAATAGTGAGCGAACCCGTAGCATTTATTAGTATCCTAGACTCCATGCTACACTTAAGGAGCTATTTAAATAATAACGTAGGTACGTCGGTCAATCAGTCATTTGTCAGAGAGTTATCAGTCACTTAGTCAGTACTTCATTCAGTCCGTCAGTCAGTCAGTCGGTCCCCCAGGCAGTTAGTCAATCAGTAAGTCAGTCAGTCCGTCAGCCAGTCAGGTGGGCTGGAAGTCGCAATTTCCAAGGTGCAAGTTTTAAAGAAGCCCTTTTTGTAATATGTCTATCCCTTGTTGGTGACGGTGCCATGTGTTCGGTACAGAAGAGAAAAGGTAACATTTGTCCAACAAAATTATAATGAATTAATTATTTTCAAATAATTTTACTTGCAATGAAAATTCTATTATTAATGTCTGTAAGTTAAAGAGCAATGTAATGATAAATAGGTATATTCTAATCTGCCGACCGACTAAGTGTGAATGACTGACTGACCGGTTGACTGACTGACTGACTGACTAATTGACTGACCGATAAAACAATGGCACTGATGAAGCAACAAAGTTTTTTTTCTTCTTGCATGGCTTCCGACTCTCCAGCTTAATGCATTAGGCTATACTGCCAAGCTACATATTAGTACTTAATACAACATCATCATCATCATCATCATCATCAGCCCTTTTCAGTCCACTGCTGGACATAGGCCTCTCCTATTGCACGCCACTGGGATCGATCTTCGGCCACTCGCATCCAGCTCCTGCCAGCCATCTTGCGCAAATCATCACTCCACCTTGCCTGAGGACGTCCTACATTACGTTTGCCGAGACGCGGTCTCCACTCAAGAACTCGTCTACTCCAACGGTCATCGGTTCTTCGGCTAATATGGCCAGCCCACTGCCATTTCAGCTTGCTAATCCGGTGGGCTATGTCGATTACCTTGGTTCTCTGCCGGATCACCTCGTTTCTGATTCGATCTCGCAGAGAAACGCCGAGCATAGCCCTCTCCATAGCTCGCTGAGTGACTTTTAGCTTGTGAACCAGCCGCACCGTCAGTGTCCACGTTTCGGCTCCGTATGTCATGACAGGTAGGACGCACTGATTGAAGACTTTCGTCTTTAGGCACTGTGGGATCGACGACGTGAAGACTTGACGCAGCTTTCCATATGCTGCCCAACCTAGCTGAATTCTTCTATTCACCTCGTTCTCGAAGTTGTTTCTACCCATCTGCAATGTCTGCCCGAGGTATACATATTTTTGAACGACTTCGAGAACAGCGCCGTGTACTGCAATCGGTTCCGGTAGTACATGTTCATTGAACATGACCTTGGTTTTATCCAAGTTCATCCGTAGGCCGATGCGTATAGAAGAGTCAGCCAGGTCATTCAGCATCCGTTGTAGGTCCTGCAGCGTTTCTGCTACGATGACGATGTCGTCTGCAAATCGCAAGTGAGAGATGTACTCGCCATTTATGTTGATGCCGCGTCCTTTCCAGTTCAGCGTCTTGAACATATCCTCCATTGCATTTGTGAACAATTTCGGGGAGATAACATCCCCTTGTCTCACACCTCGATGCAACGGTATCGGCCTTGTTTGCTGATCCTGTACTTGGACGGACATGGTGGCGGCCTCGTAGAGACATCTCATCACTTGGATGTATCGCCAATCTACTTGGCATCGCTGCAGGGACTCCAGAACAGCCCAGATTTCGACCGAGTCAAAGGCTTTCTCATAGTCCACAAATGCTAGGCACAGGGGCTGATTATACTCCTCAGTCTTCTGTATAATCTGCCGCACTGTGTGGATGTGGTCTATGGTGCCGTATCCGCTCCGAAACCCAGCCTGCTCCGGTGGTTGGAATTCGTCAAGTCTTCGCGCAAGGCGGTTCGTGATCACTCTCGAGAACAGCTTATAGACGTGGCTTAAAAGGGAAATGGGTCGATAATTCTTCAGTAGGGTTTTGTCACCCTTTTTGAAGAATAAGACGACCACACTCCGACTCCACGCCTCTGGAGTTCTCCCTTCAAACAGGACAGCGTTAAATAGCTTTTGCAGCTCCCTGAGTACCGGTTTGCTGCCTGCTTTTAGAAGCTCTGTCGTAACGCCATCCTCTCCAGGGGCTTTTCCATTTTTAAGCTGTCCAAGAGCGATCTCGATTTCGTCAATGCTGACTTCTGGCAGGTCTTCGGTGTAATGGCGTATTAAAGTGGCTCTAGAGTCCTCATTTCCGGGGTCAGGTCGAGATGCATGCGAAGCGTATAACCGGCCGTAGAAGTTTTCTACTTCCGAAAGAACTGCCGGCTTCGAGACAACGACTTCTCCACTTGCTGTGGTCAACTTCGTCAGGTGGCTTCTTCCAAGAGATTGTACGAACACTTTTGGCCCCCGGTTTTGCTCGATCGCTCTCTCGATTGCAAGGGTATTCGAGCACCGGAGATCGTGTCGCACGTGTTTGCTAATCTCTCGGTTTAGAGCCCGCTTCTCTGACGAAGTGACGGGTGGGTTTTCACGTCGTCTCTTCATAAGCCCTAAGTCTCTTCCGAAAGCTTCGACTTCTTGCCCTTACGCTGCATTTCACAAAATCTCGTACCTTCTTCCCTGAGAACTCGAACCACGTTTTCAAGGTTCCGGTTAACGTCGGTTGTGGTTTCCAGGGCAGCAAATCGGTTCTCCAGGTTTAACTGAAACGCTTCAGATCCCATTTTGATTTGAAACAGGGTTGGTCGGAGCCTGGCCTTCATCAAGCGGACTCGTTCGGCTCTGAAGTCGATATTCAGAGAGCCTCGGACGAGTCGGTGATCGCTACCGGTATTAAACCTATTAATCACGGAGACGTCTCTGAATATGTGCCTTTTGTCCGCCATGATGAAGTCGATCTCGTTCTTTGTCATAGTGTCGGGGCTTTGCCACGTCCACTTCCTTTGGGGCTGCTTCTTAAAGAATGAATTCATTAAGAACATCCCCTCCCGTTCGAGGAAATTGACGAGCATTTGCCCCCTATGATTCCTGTTTCCATACCCATGGGATCCTACTACCGATTCACTGCAATTTTGTACTCCCACTTTGGCGTTAAAGTCCCCCATAACAATGTTGAAGTGAGTCCTAGTGGTGGAGTGGAGGGCCCTCGATATATCATCGAACATCTCCTCCACCTCATCATCGGAGTGTGCCGAGGTCGGTGCGTACACTTGGACCACCTTAAGGCTATACCTCTCGGTGAGCTTTATAATGAGGTACGCCACCCTGTTCGACACACTCGACATTTCCACAACATTGTTAGATAGGGACTTGTTAACCAGAAACCCAACGCCACCTTGGGATTTTTGGTCTCCCTCACGGAAGTACATCAGGTGGCCTGATTTGAGAGTTATCGTGTCCTCCCCCTCTCTTCGGACTTCACATAACCCTAGTATGTGCCACCTGATCTTCCCAAGTTCCACCTCTAGTTGCGCTAGATGCGAGTCAAGCCGTAGCGTGCGTCCGTTGTACGTCGCCAGGGTCAGTCTGTTGTGGTGGCCTCCCGTAGCCCGGAGATTCTTAGCACCCCCTACCCCACCGTTACCATGGTCGCCACCATGACCAGGAATAGTGGGGCTGCCGGGAACTGGGGGCCGTGGCCTTCGTTTTTTGCCCATAGGAGGTATTGCCCATAATCGCCACGCTGGGCAGGCGGGTTGGCGATCGCAGGGCGAAACTTTTCGCACCGGTAACGCTGCTGCCCGTCACCGGCCTGCGGTACTTAATTTCGCCTGTTTGTAAGGGACGGATATACCGCCGTCGGTCGGTCGCCAGAGCCTCGTTCGTTGACCAGCAGGATGCACCGCGTGCAGGTGAGGTTGGCTTGGGGCGAAAGATGGAAGTTCGCCCCCTTACATCCCACACACATAATACAACATATGTACCAGTAAGTATGGCGGTGTGGTTGCTCCCAGCTGACACCTGTTTGATAGGCCCGGTCTCGCCCTCCAGCTCCACGAATTGTGGTACTGTGTGGTGCTCCAAGTCTCCTGTGCCCAGCTGACCTTCATCGTTGCAGCCAACTGTGTAGATCGCGTTCGAGTCTGGTTTGTACAAATAGTTTAAAAGTTGGATAAGGTAGTTAGGTAAGGTCATTTTTAAAACTTTTTTTTAAATGGGTTTTTTTTCCTGTAATAACACCCCGATATATTTTTTCTTATGTAGTATATAGGTCGGCAAACGGGCAGACGGATTACCTGATGGTAAGCAATCACCGGTCACGCGCAACGGAGGAGTTACGAGTGCGTTGTCGACCTTTTAGGGATTAGGGTTTTGGAGATTTAGGGATTGGGACGGGTCGGGGGAGGGGAAGGATTGGGCCTCCGGTAACCTCACTCACACGGCGAAACACAACGCAATATGCGTACGGAACAACAATATGCGTACCACACAAAGTGCATTCGTGTGAGAATCGAATTATAGTTTAATGTTGATTTCGGACTTACTTAAATCAAGGTTTCGCTGTTTTTTCCAACATCCTAAATGTTTTTGTGTTTTCAACAGTAAACTAACTCACCGGTGACAAAAACTGTATGTGCTCTCCCGCAGGCCACAAACAGAGCTCTGTGGGGCTTCAACCATTTGACACAACTCGGTCTTGTCACTTCATCCTTGTGACCCAGGCCTAGTTGACCCCACGCGTTCCCGCCAAAAACGAACACGCGGCCATTTTCTAGAAAAGAAGAAATTAAATTTTAGATATGGAACAAGCCATTACCGATGTTTTTTTGTTATTTTTTATTTGCATATTAATTATTATTTGGCTTATTATTTTATTAACTAGGTAGGTAGTATCTTTTCGTCTACGGTTCAAACCGCGTAGAAGTGATTTAAAATGTGTTTTTTTGAATTTTTTATAAACTTCAGTATTGTTTCTTGATGAAATACACATAGGCTTGAGACTGACACAAATAATAAACTAACAGCCAAATAATTGCTATTGTAGATATCATGATTTAATGAACAGTAAGGATAAAACTGGAAAGCTTCGTTTAGAAGATGGCTAGTACATGCAATGTCAAAAAACTCGGAGTGTTCTATACTAAACTTATTTATTATTTTACTGAATTTAGGAGATATCTTATTAAGCATTAAATGGTTTTTTATATTTGTGTACATAGTTTTTATAGTAGGTACCTACAGTACTTGATTTACATACTAGTCTACTAAACTAGAATATTAATAATTAGCTTTGGCTCGCGGTTTCGCCCGCGTACTTTATACTTAGATTATGTTCACTGAGGACAAGGACGGGAAGCTTCCCAACAATAAAAAAACGTTGTGACTAGAAACAAGAAGAGATTTGGACAGTTAATTCACGTTAGTAGGTCGTTATTTTCAGTAAGACTAGTATCATTCACGATAGTTACTATAAAAAAAATCTATTATCTTTTCAACCAATTGGATTTAATTAAAATACATTCCGATATTTGGTTAGCCACTTTCAACTTTTAACGTCTGTTTATTTTATTAGAGGAAAGTCACCAAATATGGAATACTATTTTGTTTTTGGGATATAAAAAAAAAACTTCATATAAATTAAAACAGTTTAATGTTTTTACTAATCAGTCATACATTTATATGTAGTAATTAACAGCCTTTAATCAAATATATTAGTTATCAAATTAAAATCTAACATAAAAAACAAAATCACAAATGAGTAACCAAATATGGAATAGGTACCCATATATGGAATATAAGCATAAATCAACATAACAATAACAAAAATGGACATTAATATCTTTGAGATCAATTAAATAAATATAACATATTGTGATAAATGAAAGAAGTTACATAATTACTTGCAAAAGTGACAGATCCAAGTATCAAACTCTGGACCAGCACAATCATAATGTGCCCAGAGCCCACACATCAAGCATTTAATCCAGCTTTCTCCACTTTTATCCATGGAAAAAAGTCTTGAACAGAACATACATTCTGCATCAGCAGAGTCAGGAGGTACTTGGTCCATCAACTCATCATGTTCACTACCTTCGTCAAACTGGATAACGTCTAGTTCCTCAGAGTCTTCTTCTTCACTATCATCCTTATTTTTCTTCGTTTGTTTGTTTCTCTTCGCAGTTTTCTTCTTATTCTTTGTCTTGACTAGTTTATTTTCTTAGCTGCTGCACTTCTGGAGACTGTTCATCTTTTTGGCAGAGACGAAATAAAGTTGTCCTAGGCACTTGAAAATGCTGTGCCGCTTTCAAATACCCCATTTTCTTTTCCCGGACGAATTTTATAGCTTGTGCCATTTTTTTTTCATTCCAGGTTTTTCGTTTGGTTGATTGTGAACCGGACATTCTAAAAACAAACATTACATATATTTTTTAGCAAGCAAGTATCTATCATATGAAATATTATATCTAATTATGGAATATTCCATAATTAGACACCGACGACTGTCCATATTTGGATTTTTATACTAGTTCAAACTCTTCTAAATATTTTTTTAAGTCACAATATTTTGAAATTGAAAGATCACAAAATGGTGAATAGTATAAGTATACCGATATACTAAATAGTATAACACTTATGTATACAAACATATCAGCTGGTAATACTCATTTATTACTTACCTTTAAAATTTTCCGCACGACAACAAAACAAAACACGCCTGCCACACGTGAAGTGTTCGCGCAACTGACTCGATGGTGTGAGTGCGATAGTTAGTAGACCGAATGGAACAGAAGATGGTCGAGTGTTGCGTTTCATACTTATAGTCTTAGAGAAATGAAGGTATTCCATATTAGGATACTATTTCATATTTGGTGACTTTCCTCTAGTATTATATATTATACATAGTCTGGCCATAAATACTGTTACAATTAAAAATAAAGAAAATATTACATTTGAATTTGGAATCTGTCATTTTTATATAATTTTTCATTGTGTTTTCTTATTTTGGCGCCAATAAATTGTTCAATATTTTTCGATATTAAAATGGAGTGGGGTGATAAAGAGAACCGAATCGCTGTGATTGCATTACACAAAGTGGGTATGGAGCCAGATACAATTTTTAAAACTCTCCACACGTTTGGCATTAGTCAAATGTTTGTGTACCGGGCTATTAATAGGTACAATGAGACCTCCTCTGTTTGTGACAGAAAAAGATTTGGCCGTTCACGTAGTGTTCGTACGAAAAAGGTGGTCAAAGCAGTAAGGGAAAGAATTCGAAGAAATCCTGTCCGAAAGCAAAAGATTTTATCTCGGGAGATGAAGATAGCACCTAGAACCATGTCGCGTATTTTAAAAGACGACTTAGGACTTGCAGCCTATAAGAGACGCACTGGACTTTTTTAAAATGATAATTTAAAAAAGAATGTGATAAAATCTAAACAACTACTGAAGCGGTACGCAAAGGGAGGTCACAGAAAAAATTTGTTTACGGATGAGAAAATTTTTACAATTGAGCAACATTTTACTGAACTGAGCCATACTTTTGCGAAAAAGGTATCAAAACATCGGCACAAGTGTATCAAAATACCACTCTTGAGAAGGTAGTTAAGCCCCTTAACAACACCATGTTCAATAACCAACAATGGTCCTTCCAGCAAGACTCGGCGCCGGGTCATAAAGCTGGATAAAAGCAAGACTGCGTGGACCGCCACGCAGTCTTGGTTGGAAACGAACATTTCCGACTTCATCAGAGCTGAAGACTGGCCGTCGTCTAGTCCCGATCTTAATCCGCTGGATTATGATTTATGGTCAGTTTTAGAGAGTAGGGCTTGCTCTAAACGTCATGATAATTTGGACTCCCTAAACAATCCATACGATTGGCAGTGAAAAATTTTCCTATGGAAAGAGTGCGTGCTTCTATAAATTGATAACTGGCCTCAACGTTTAAAGGACTGTATTGCAGCCAATGGAGACCACTTCGAATAAGCTTTTAAGTTTTAAATTGTTTTATATTTATGTATTAAACTTACATACTGTAATGTACTGTAAATTTTACTTGCAATAGAAATTTTTTTTTTGTTTGTTACAGTATTTATGGCTAGACTAGGTATATTTTAAATTATTGAAGGCAAATCCATCGCCATCGTCTGTCCTCAGCGACGGGCATGCACCCTTTAACGAGTGAATCGAATTGAATGTTTTAAATACTTACGGCATATAACAGCACTGTGCTCGTCTCCACAGGAGATGGCGACAATAGGGTCATTCTTGATGAAGAAGTGGCTCGGCTCGTTGTCCGCGAAGTGAGACTTGCCGAACGTGAACACTGCGCCTGTCTCTGTGGAAAATAATTTTTATTGATAATTCTTATTGTGAACTAAGTATGTAGTTTCTTGGCTACGGTTTATTCTGTAGGAAGATAAAGAGTATGTATGTATATATTATATAGTGTTGCTTTTTTCTCCCACACTTACTGTAATATATACTACAAGCATACATATATAGCATATAATATGAAATTGGAATAAAATATGTATAAAAAAGTATATAAAATTGAGAGCCCGCCAGTCCCGACTCCGTGGAGAGGTGACACTTGTGCCACCTGCAAATTGAGATATATAAAAATAACAAAACATTAAATAAAACGTGAGGATCCACTAGCATGCAACTTCATCCACGTCTTTAAAAGGGGCAGATCCCTTCGTTCGGATCAGACAATACCTTCAGAATGAATTAGTGCTACCACAAAGGCGACTTTAAGTAATAAGTAATTTTTATAATTTTAAGTAATAACTATTTGCATAATAATATAATTGTGAATATAGGTAAGTACCTACTTCTGGTGCTATTATTGTGCGCTAACCGTGTGAGAAGCACACATGTTTTATATGTCACGTAGATCTAAGTAGGTATGGAATGGGCGACATTGCAAGGTTTTATAAAAAGGCACTCCCCACTACTGGTCTGGACCACATTATATGCAAATACAGATAGCAATCATATAAAGAATACATTTTCAGTGAATATAAGGACAGATAAATGTTACTTTGTCTATCTGAATATAGATAAAAATGTATTAATAAGTTAAATTTTATTGTGTTATGCCACGCAAAATTTAATTCTTTAAAAGGGGATTTTTCATGATGTTCTTCAGGACTGGCAAATAGGTTGGCAAAGAGGTAGGCTGCTATCAATATGAATAAAATAGAACAGATTCTAACTAGCCAAATTCAATACTTTGCTATGAGCTGACTTTATTTAATATATTATATAAATAATAATAATGATTCTATTAAATAGTAGGTATACTGTATTCATTAAAATAAGCTAGACGGCATAAAAAAATAAATAAATAGCCAAATTAATAAATAATGTGTATTAATTTTTTGTAAAGTAGAAATAAATAATTCTTGACTCAGATCAGGAAACATTTGTCTGACTATTAAAAAATCAGACCTAAGTAAAAAAAAAAAGATTTGGCGAAAAAATGGCGTCGCTATAATTAGAAACAGATGCGTATAATAAATCATGTATCATCATAAATCATGTAGTATGACGTCACGCGCAGGCAAATGATGTAGTGCTTTGGTAAGGGTCTGCTATCAAAAGTAAAAGTATAAGGGCCATTAACAATGGTTCACCGGTCACGTCACATCCGTCGTCCTTGGGCCCTTAGTACATTTGATTGCAGGATTTGTTCTTTTGTTGTGTTATGACGTAACTCATGAATTGTACATAGTTGGGAATGGGTACTGACGTTTGTTCAATTTTGCCATTTAAAATAAAATATTAATAATGAAAAGTAGAATTGTTAACCAAATTTGTGATATGACATGGCAAGTTGGGTAAGCGGGAAAATGTGAAGTGACATCGCCATTTAGTTATGTACATTTTTGGAAATTTGACGTGTGTCAATATTGCTGGGCACAGGGGTGTGATTCTGTAAGACTTCATTCTAAACTTCGAATCTGATTCCGCTGTGAGTAATAGTACACTAGCGCTAAACTTGCGAGATGAACTAAATTGACAGCAACATTTTGATAGATAAAGTATGAGATGACGTTAAAAGTGACATTCTAAAATTTAATTACCTCGTTACTTCGACGCTCACTTCGCACTCGAACAAGATTCAAAATCAAACAAATTTTATAGAATTGACGGGCTGTACTTATCGAACAATCGATTTGAAATTCGAAATAGAACCATTACAAACGATTTTCAATAAAAAAAGTTTAACTTGCTTTGACTTAATCAGCAAATTTGTTTGACATAGTAATGTAGTAATAACAAATCTTAATAATGTAACTTTGTAATCTTTATAACCTCACACGGCAAAACACAACACTGTGGTTGTTTCATGACGGTTTTCTGTGAGGCTGTTGTATCCTTTCGATGGAGCCGAAAATTTTGTGCCGAAGTTCAGCTTTCAAAATAAATTGTAACAATATAATTTAATCCATAGACGTCATTACCAATGACCAAAAGTATTATCGTTTATGTAAATTTTGGCCTTCCAATAAAACACTTACTTGATAGCTTGGCCAAGTCATTAAGCTTATCAGATTTAGGATTTCGTGAGGCCTGAAAATAGCCTGACTGTAAAACTAGAATTACATGAAAGAGGTATTAAAAAGGATTTTGTTGAGCTGATAACGGCCAGTGCTCAGCTTTACGAACTTATAAACATTTTATCAGCATTTGTGAAATGATTAACTTGATCTAGTCATTGTTGAGGTAACGATATCTTGGAAATCTTTTAGTGTCTGAACAGACAACTTGACAGGTGACTTTTGACTAAGAGTGGGATAATATTGTCTGTTACGAAAGTGTTGTTGTAATATAGAGACACAGCCAATTGAGTTTGCCTTCCTTTGTCCCTCGGGCGTGGGTTCGAATCCTACTTCTGACACCATGTAATAGAAATAAAAGATTTTTATCTGGTTAGTCTAATATCACAGTACATAGTCGGGCAGCTTACTGCATCAGAGTTACATTGTCGACATTATCTCGACCATAATATTTACAGTAGACAATGACAATAACATTGGCAGTTCTAGTGGTTTACTTGTTACTATGACTAATTAGAGATGTTAAAACAATCCTATTCATAGAAATATTTGAAAGTATAAACTATATATACCTATATACTAGCACAGTATGTAAATACACAGAGTGCAGTGCACCAGTGCGTACATGCAACGTCCGTCCGCGTCACGATACTAGTACTTTTATTACTTTATATGGTAATTACACACTGTGTTCCAACGTCAACCTCCCTGCATTACTTTACATGGCAGCGGAAAACTATTTCAACTTTTTATAACATGATTTATATTTCATATTTCAAATAAGGTCAGGATTAGTGAGAGTTGCGTTTTTTAGCTAGCATTCATGGCTCTTACTGCAAAGCCTGGTAAGGGTTTTGTGGTAGAATTAATATTTGATTAACATTTGTGACACAATGGATCTGATATAGTTCGTGCTTTGACTAAAACTGTTTAGGCGGATAGAGCGCACAAACAATAATACTTTCATTTTTTTTTCAGTTCATACTTGAATACACATGAGCAAGAAAAGATTATCACACTGTGGCATCGCACATAGAAAATCAATGATAAAACAATTGACAGGCGACCTCAGAAAACCTACATATCGTGATTAAACACTGATTATGAAGAACCTGACAAATAACTACCTACTAGCAGCAATCCGCTAGACCGGATGACTCTCCTTTCTAGATTCCAGGGAACTTTCGTCTCTGTTACCTAAACTGTTTTCAAATTTAAAAGCTGTTCTTATTGTAACGACCCAAATGAAAATAAATAAACCTATTATAAACTATAACACCAAACAAAACAAGTCCACAACAATAACGAAACAAATATGTACAATAAAAATAAAATTAACCCAACATAGTATCACAATACGTTGACCTAGTAAATATTTAAATCGATACAGAGAAATTGCTACACATGTATTCAAATAAAAACATGCAGGACCAATGGAAATTATTCAGTAATTATATGCTTGGGCACGGCACTAAGTACTAAAATATTCGACGATTTGAAAATTAGGTTTGAGCCTTGAACGACAAACAGAATTCTTAGACGACATTTTAATGAGGCGTTGATTACCCAAGTAGGTAAAAGGGCAATAACATTTGCTTGGAAAAGAAAATTCTAACTAGTAGGAAAGGATCAAGAAAATCTTACCAAAGTAGTAAGTTCAATTAAGTGTGACGGTATTATAATGCCTACTTTTCCAACCATATTTCTACAATCAAATAACCTATATAAAATAAATTATGAAAAAGCGATTTGTGTTTTTTTTTGCTTCCACAATTTCGCTACAAAGTTCAGATATCTCAAAATTAATCATTATACTTCCACAAACAATAAAACCTTTTTTTGTTAATATCCCGTGTATATTATTTAAGTGAAAACAAATGGAATATAAATTCAAATGCATTTAAAAACAGAACAGTCTGATTGTGAATTGGTAGTTTATAGTTTTTTTAATTGGAATAGGCGAATAGCTGGCAGACGGACTGCCTGATGGCCAATCGTGTTGAAAAGTTTCATGAATTTTAATTGATTCCAGTTTGCATACAAGACTAAAAGAAGACATTTAATTCAATATTCGTATTGTATTTGAGCAGCATCAAATGGAATAAGATAGCTGTTTTTGACGATTTTCAGCTCTTCTCAATTGAGACCAAAAATCGACTAGGACTTTCCAGCAACAAGTCGATTATTTCATATATTCTATAGTTATTATGCGCATGGTTTAATAGACTCACGTAAAAAGTCTTTTATAAGCATAATTAAGAAATAATGTACGTACTTAAGATAAAATCGGACTATTTGCGGGAAGAGGAGCCAAATCTAGTTGGCAAGGTGGGTTTCCAATTCTGGGAACGATTCATTTTGTATGATAATAATGGGCAAACACAGTAGAAATGAACGAACGAAAACGTTGAAGATCTTGAAAATACTTAAAATCTGCTGTTAGGTGGTAGAGAACATTTAAAACCAAAATAGGTACAAACTTACTTCAAAATAACCAACCCTTACTAAAAACAAGAAAATAACAATGACAGCACAATATCCACAAAACGGCCAGCATTCGCGGCTATCAAAGACAATGATGGCGTCGATATAATTTTCAAAATAGGAACACAATCACCTGGTATGTCGTCCGTCATGTTGGTAGTGGTTAGTCGTGTCCCATGGCGTGCACTGGCCGGCCGCGGGGCGAATACTGACCGCTGGCCACGTGCCACCCTCGGTAACCACCGTGGTTGTACCACGATCGTGGAAAACTAGATATGACTAGTATGTGTAGAATTAATATTGAGGAAATCACAGTGTGATCGTACAGACTTTTCTGGTTCTAATGCTAATTTCAGATCAAGATTATTAATTATTCGTAACTAAATGCATCGTTTGTTGATTATAGCTGTTAAACTTAAAATTATAAGGAGTTCCGTTTTAGGGAAAGGGCGCCATGGGATCCCTATTACTAAGAATCCATCCGGCCGTCTGTACATCTATCTGTCTGTCTGATAGATGTACATCTATCAGTCTGTCAGTCTGTCACTAGGCTATGTCTCATGAGTATTCTATAGGTATATCGCATAGCTAGCCAGTTGATATCAATCGTGAACGACTTTGACTCGGACTTCGCCGAATTTAAATTTAAATATTAAATGAAAAAATAACTTTCATTCTATTCAAACTATATCTTCGACCCGTGTTATTGTCGTGCAGACCACTGGTAACCAAAATGAAACGACCTCCCTGCCCCGCGTCAACCCTTTAAACTTTTCCAGTTTTAAGGTCGCCAGTACTTTTCCAGGGGTCACAATAATTTGGCTATGTTCTAAAATAACTTTTTTTCCTGTGGCAATAAATATCAGCTATTGGTTTGTTTACATAATAAGTGTTTGCTGTGTGCATCGAACTCTCAATGCCGTCGGTGATAGACATGGCCGTTCGATAAAGTGTTGTCGCTTCGCGGAAATCGTATGGAAAGTGGTTTCATTTACTTATTCATAGACAATTTTGTGTATTCAAATTGTCTGGAATAGACATTCCTAAAAGAGAAAATAAAAAAGTATGGTTATGTTTTACACGGTACTAAAACTTTTATGTTTTAGAAGATCGATAATTCAACCGATTTTAACAAAAATAGTGCTAAGATAAAATTAGAGGGAAATTGGCACAAAGCTATTTGAAAAAAAAATACCCAATTAACAAACCACGGGATACAACATTAATTGATCACTCGGGAAACGACGGGGTGCTAAACTAAGTGAGTCATTACTTTAGTACAGACGCTAACCATGTACATACTCTATCTGTAGAATTATAATAATATAATAATTGATTTTTAACTTTATAGGAAAAGTGTTAGATTGAAAATCTTTTAGAAAAATTTCAATATTGATGATACCTATTTTGTTTTAAGTTAAAATCTCAAGGCTTGATCACTTTACCATTTATCAAATACGATTGTACCTACAAAATTCCATATTCGAATGACCGTTACATATTTTGAGCGGGAAAATGTGACATTTGATAGCTGACAATATGACAGCTAGTGCTGCCACTAATAATCGGTTAGAATAGAGACGTACATTTAGTTTTTATCGTCTAACAGTAGTTCTACACATACTTATATGTATGTATGTGCAAGTTTGATAGTTATTCTTTTGTAGGTTTATTAGGACAATGGACTAGCTTCCATTACCTAACGGTACTAACTTAACATACGGGCGAAAAGTAAATACATCGTCAACACACCTGTGCCTTATTATAAACAAGTTTAAGATATACAGGGTGTAAAAAGACACTTAACGAAGCCACGTATTCTACCCATTATTTGGATCATTTTTTTCTTTAAGACCATAGCTGGGACTCCATGGGTTCTCGAGATATTGAAGGTCAAAGTAGCATTATTAATTTTTTTTTGCGCAGTCGAATTCTATGTATTATTACAAAACTTTTTTCCAAACAAACATTACCTGAATTTTCGATTTTTCTAAATAAGTTACGCATTTGAAGTTACGAAAAGTAATGTATGTAATAAATAAATGCAGACCCGCACAAAAAACATCGTGCATCTCAGTAGGATTTTTATTTTACAGAATTGTTTTGTTATTGCGAAGTAAAACGTCGACCTACGTACTTATCACAGCGTTTTAATGCCAAGCTGTGAACCTACGCGCACAATGACACGAAGCCCGTTTGCTTTACATTGCGCGCAATACATTTTTTTTTATACCTAAAAATAAAAGTCGTTTCCCAGTGATAATTTTAGCGTGAAGCTACTTAGTTATAACTGCAGTATGCGTAGTTAACGGCTTCGTTAAGTGTCTTTTTACACCCTGTATAGAAAGTTCATATTCTATTGAGTCTATTTCGACACCAAATTGCAATTGGTTTTGTTCAGTTGTGTTACGTAAAAGAATAAAAAACTTTCATACAATTTTTAAAGTTACTACGCGTTTATAGTAGGTATGCGTTGGGTAACTCGCAGCTGATCAGGATGATTCTTGTTTAAGGGCAAGAAATCAAAGGTTAGAATGGTATTTCTAATTATTAACAAATACAAATGCTTTTGACCAGCATCCCGTGGAAATCTACTATTGGACTTCGGGCATCCCCTTATCCTCTAGGTACATGTGAGAGTTTGCCATAAACGTGTCGCTTGGCTGGCAGGTTAAGCTCGTTAGTAGTTGACATAGTAAGTGATCAGCGCTCAACCGGGTTTGCGGGGTAAGCGCAATGAGGCTCCGCGGCCACGGCTTAGAGCTGGGGAAGGAACGGGGGGTGTTTAGTCAGTGAGAGTCTGATTCTCCTACCCGCCCGATCATGGGCGGGAGAAGGCTTTTTTATGGTTTTGCTCTCACAAAAAAAGTGATCAGCGCTGCCTATGCAGACTCGCAACACTAGAGCAGTAATAACAGGCACGTTGCCGTTGATAAATAACAGAAACTAAAAACAATTCTATACAAAGGCATAAATATTATTCCTCAATAATGTCCGTCACAAAGTACACAAGATAAATAAACAAGAGAACACATAACACACGCATATATCACTTTCTGGGTCGTGTGTGTGTAAAGCGTAAAGCTCACAAATCACATACATATATACACAAACAATACACACTTTTGTTTGTGTACATACACAAATCATTCGTCTTTCTCGATTTTCGGTGATATAGCTTGTTGTTGTCCTGACATTCTATGATTTTATGGTTTATTTTTTATTATGTATTTTGTTTTATAGTGTCATCGAAATAAGTGAAATTCACATCAGAATACGCGTGTAATAGAGAACTGTTTAATTTTTAATAAAAATAATGGGCTCGTTCTCCGCCCCCCACCAATTTCAAGAAACAAAAAAATTATAAAGTTTTCTGAAGGTCATCGAAAAGTCACGTGGTCAACGTAATTTACGATCATTTGTTTTGTTTTTAAAGCGGTCTTGGGAGGTTGTTGAGGCAGACGCTAAAAAAATGATTAAAATAATATAATTATCAAAAAAGAGAGCAATGAAATGGTTTCTGTTTCCTACCATATCTAGAAAATAACGTTTCAAAGTTACATGGGGATTTATAAGAATATAACAGCCAATGTATGTTTGAGAAAGTATATACTAATACATCCTCAAAAATGCCTTGAACAACTCTTTAGCATACTAGAAAGCAGTAGGTACTTCTGGACACGGTGAATATTGTCCGAAAGTGGCTCTCTCTGGAGGGGTCCAGATAAATCCAGATTTGTCGTTAAGTCCTTATCCTTTATAACGGTGAGATACTGCCTTTTATATTTTTTTTATGCGATAGGACGGCAAACGATGATTCGCATTACCTCATGGTAAGCAATCAGCGCTGCAAAAAATAACTACAGAGGAGTTATGAGTGCGTTGCCGACCTTTAGGGGATTAGGGTTATAGAGATTTACGGATTGGGGATGCGAAGGATTGGGCCTGTGGTAGCCTCACTCACACGGCGAAACACAACGCTTTAAACATTTATAAATGTACATATCTTTTTAAAAATAAATAAAGGAAATAATAGTTGACTAAATCTAAGTAGGTATATGTCTATCTGTTGCTTATACCTGGGAAATACAATCTCTTTCGGTACAATTTTTGAAAACAAATTTTTAAGAGCTTAAGCTAAAGAAACCGTACCGGACTGGGGTAAAAGCAACCCTCTTACTTCTAATAATAAAGTTATCGATAAAACGGCCAGTCATTGGTCAACAGCAATCAATCAATCAACGTTACCTGCAATCAAGCTCTTTATTCGCAAACATAATTCTTGTGAAGACAGACCTTGACCGTTCCGTAATGTACTTCATATCGATTTAATTTGATAAATCTGGATTATAGTATAGGCCTTCATTTATTTTCTGTTAGTCTTTTTTCAAGTGCAATTATTTAAATTTACCGTAGCAGCACTGGAAAAAGAGTGGTCTGAAACTCCCTCTCCCTTTGCCTCGAGCCCTATAAAAAACCTAGTAAAGTAAGAGTTTTATAAGAAGGGAGGACTGATTGATACTTTTCTTAGTCCTACTAATATTAAAAACGCGAAAGTTTGTTGGTGTTTGTAGCTCTTTTGCGTGTAAATTAGTGAATTAAAGATAGATTATAGCTGTGAATAACAACAAGGCTCTTTTTACCCTAGTATCTATATAAATATCTATACTAATATTATAAATGCGAAAGTAACCCTGTCTGTCTGTCTTTTCTTCAAGCCTAAACTACTGAACCGATTTCTGTGACACTTGGTACAGACATAGTTAGGAACTCGAGAAAGGACATAGGATAGTTATAATACCAAAATCTGCAGGAAGTCACTATTCCAAGCGAGCAGAATCGCGGGCAAAAGCTAGTTATACAATATATCAGTGAAAGAGTACATATATTTCACCAGCGACGACGTTACACATCAAAACAGCACTTTAAATGGTAACAAACAAGTTCACTTGAGCCAAAATCCATCCGGAAGTTGACGAGAGCACTATTGACTTCCAAACTTTACTGGCAGATATCCGAAGTGGGTTCCTGAACTTCCTGACCAGCAATAAAGGTTACAAACTGTTCTGTTTGTAGGATTCTTTTATGGCATTCGCTCGCCTTTTGTTTTTTAACCCTATTTATAAAATTATATCTTTCTTTTCTTTTACAC